ACCCCGTTAGCATCAACTCCTAGCACCCTTGTATTTTATTTGATTTACCTTAGCGAAGTATAGTCCTTACACGCACAAGGAATTGTCCTGTTTATAATTTCCTATGAATACAATCTCGTACTTCTTGTAAAAGTCCTCGGAATCCGAATTGGTGGGAATGGTTGGAATGTAATGAATAGGACAACACAGAGTAATATTTAATGGGGCAAATACAAGTCCTGAAAAGGATATCCGAACACTATACTTTGATACACATCGGATCTGCATTAAGTCTGAAATCTGATGCTTTAGAGACTACTCTCGTACTGATATCTAAAAGATCGATTCACATGACTTATGGTGTAACGCATGAACCCGCTAGCTACCGGCCGAGCTTAAACTCCAAAGGAGAACTCCATACAACGGTAGTAAGCTTCCTAATTTCCACTCTAGCTGCAAAAATTATATTTCAGCTCTTGCTATATCGGAATCATTTTTAAAATGAGTTCCTTCAAATACATACCAAGATCCAACACAAAAAGCTTACTCTACCTCTGGAGCGGCCATAGGAGCAAGACTCTGGCGCTTCTAGAACGCCATCAGTCAGGCTGTGAAATAAACCAGTGTACATGAGCATCAAGTTACCCACTACTTTCCGTCAGCAAGAGCTAGCCACCACGAGACTAGACGTGTTGCTTACAACTTCTTTAGGAGCAGCCATGGGGGCAAGACTCTGGCGCTGCTACAGCGTTAGCATTGAAATCGAAATGTTGGGTCAAGTAGCGTCTTACTTTCTATAGACAAGTTAGTGGCATGTTGCGCGCGGTATTACCAAGACATTGTACTTACCCACTAGCGAACCTTCGTGTCAGAAAGCCTAGAATTAGCATATTTAAATTTCGTACGAGTGACTCACGACCTGCCCAAAACTTTGAATTAGTCTACTAGAATGAGCTTTAGTTGACTGACTCACCGCATCACCCTGCACTTCGGGGACAGCGCTGGCCACTCCCAAGAGAAACAGAATAGAGATGAACTTCATGTTATCGGAAGACTTAAGTAAAGTGAAGTGAAGAATAGATGAATTGGTTCTGTCAGTCTACTAAGGCATGTAGGAGTAAATTGAGGCTAGGACGGTTTTTTCTTGTTTCATTTATGGACTTATTTCACACACCTATCCACATCGTTGTTCGGAGCTTAAACTCTTTTAAGGATAGTGTTGCAATCACCGAGGTTTACGGCTTCTAAAGCGCCTTCGGTAGATTAGACGTCTTGCTCGTTCCAGAGAACCTCGGAAGTTGTAGGTTGGGCCGTTGCTAAGTTCCGTGAACGACGCAGAATAAGCTGCAGTAGCCCGTACAGGACTCATCATTGTTGAAAGTATCTCCACAGGGTATGACAAACTGCCGGAAGTAGTTTCAACTTAGTCTACATACAAGCAGCGAGGTAGTGATTCAGACTCTCATCAATTGGAGAGCGCCTTCGGTTATTGGTGACTTTGTTGTTTACCAGAATTCTTGCCCATCCGACTTGCCACTATTCATTCGTTAACCGGGTGTTGCTTGGTTATCATGCTGGAGAATCATTCATTGGCTATATTAGCCAGAATCACAATTCTCGTTTTTTTTCTTGACGAGAACTTCATTGTGTAGGGAGTCTGTTCCGCCTGAGGTGACACTTGTTACGGCATGGTATCCTCATCCGGGCTACAGCCCGAAGTATCCTGATCAAGCTTCTTATCGCAATGCGATTCAGAACTTCCTGACACGTGTGCTCACACCCATCGTTGTCTTTGCACCTACTTCTGAAAATGAGTTTCTACTCTCGTCAAGACCTGACAAAGGCCCCATGTTTATCAACAATACCTTCGAAACCATATGGGACGTCCCCGAGGTCTCGCCATTAGTCGATACTTTCCATACCACCCAGCGCGAGTTAGCGAGGATTCAGCATGGTCCAGAACATTTGAGAGATACCCCCCATTCATATGGAGTGTGGAACGCAAAGACAGCCTTCCTGCGTTCCGTTGTGCTTGCAAACCCTTTCGGATCTGAATACTTTTTCTGGCATGACATTGCCGGCCGCCTGCCGTACAACGGTTCTTTAGGCACCTGGCCAGACGTGTCACGCGTTCGAGATTCCTTGTCTGTTCAAAATAACAATGACACAATTCTTGTGGTGGCTCGGGAATGGCGACCTCCCATCACTGTAGCCTTATCGAAAGAGATTGCTCCATTGACACGCACAATAGCTGGCAAGTGTATGTTTTGAATCTTGGCATTAACATCACTGACTAATATCAGGGGTATTTTTTGGCGGGACCGAATCCGCCATTGTTTCATTCGCTGAAGTGTACTACTATATGCTTTATTATTACGCATCACTAGGCCAATTTGTTGGGATTGATGAACAGATAATGTTGGCCTTTGCGATGCTGTTCCCACAGAAAATAGCTTGCATACCTTCGTTCTTGTATCGTGATGTAACATCCAGAACGCAGGATCACATCTGGTATTATCTGGATTTTCTAGCTACGCCTGACCCAGGCCAAGAATTTCCATTGCCGCTAGCCAGACGCTACAGCAGCATTCCTGAAGATGATATATTTACTCTAGTACAAGAGTCCATTAAAGGATAGGAGACTTGGTTATTGTTAAGCGCTGTCTGATGCGAATGGTTGCTATGGTAGTATACGAGAGGTGAGGGGTGGTCCGCCCCATGTGTCAATGGCAAACGATACAGCAGTGGAGGGAGCTTTTCGCTCTTTTCCTGTCTAGCTTGAGATTTTCGCAATATTATAGAATTTGCGGCAGAGCCTCAATTCGCCTGTGCTGCTGTGATATTTTATAAACAATCATCGCTTCAATCATGGACCTCAGCTCCGTAGTGGCTGATTCTCTCTTGGCCTCTTCGTTGTTCCTTGCTCGGGATTGGCCAGTATGAGGCCATGTCCTTGAGTGCCTAAGCGTTTCGCCTGTCCCGCTCACCCCCAAATAGTATGTCTTGGTATTCACCACAAATATCATCCCACCGTATTGAATGTCCAGCATCCGTCGAAATCCATGAACTGCAACACCCTTTCTTCTTGCTTGTTAGTTCTCTCCCCCATCCTGTCCACCACTGCAAACGCCACCACTCTTCAACTTTGGTCTTGTTGCCGTTATGATGTAATGCCACAGGGATGGTTCGAGAATGGAAATCGGTAAACAGCTGTACGCTGCGCCAGTTCAAGCCGGGGTTCTGCTCTTTGACACCATCCAAGCTTGTGTCCTCTAGGTCTTCGAATGGCGGCGTCGTGTTGTCCAAGTCTACCGGAAAGGAGAAATGTTCGTGATAAATATCTGCTGTTCCATGTAATCGGTCCTCCTTTTCTACTTCAGCAGCATTGTCATGCACTACCGGCGAGAGATCTTCTGTAGCACTGTTCAGCGACTGAAAGATCTCACTGCCAGAGTCCACACCGACATGGTAGTCCACATGTTCGACGGGAAGGTTGACGGCGACAAAGTCGTCTTCGGAAAAAGACTCGTTAAATCCAAACAACCACTCCCGGCTTCCACGCAGCTGTTGCCGTCCAAGTTCCTGCATGCCGTAGATATAGCTGAAGTACTCCTGATCACCTCCCCACCCGTAGTACGACAGCCATAGTGAGTGTGCCCATTCATATAGCACTCGCATGTCATGTACGGGGCCTATAACAGTACCAGAGTTCAGCCACCGCGGGCGATTGGTCTCGACAGATGTGTCCGTATTGTGGCCATACGCATCGGCGCGTAGTCTCGAACCTGGTACTGCGTAGCACGCAGGATGGCGGTGGCTCAGGGGCCAGCAGTACTTTTCCGCACCCATAATGATGCTCTGCATTAGCCCGTGCTGTCGCACCGCTTCTAACCCATGCTGCGTAATAAGTTGCATGTTGACGCGCTGATTGATTGCACGATAACGAGAGAGGAGGATCTTGGGTGGCAGCTGGAATACAACGTCGAAAGCGTCCGTCATTACAATGATGTCCTCGTCAGCTTCAGGAGGCAATGACCGTAGGTATTTGAGGACCCCCCAGATCTTCCCAGTCACTATATCATAGCCATTCATGCCTACGTCGCCCTCTTTGAGTCCCCAATTGACCAGAACAGGCTGCGGATAATCAGTAAGTAGTGCGGAGGTCAGCGTTCGGCATAGCGCTCCCTTAGCCTCATTGGCTGGTAGGAGGAGATGTATGTGCGGTATGGACTCTTTCTTGCGCAAATGCAATAAAGCTGGTGAGCGCCCCTACCAGGACCCGTAATAAACTACGTATTAGTGTTTTTGTTCTTCTTGTTTCTAGCAATAGTATGGAAGAAGAAAAAAAGGATCAAAAGACAAGTTTCAATGTGCAAAGGTAGGGAGATCGGGAGTAACGGAGCAAACCTCGGTGTAATATTTCCTTACTAAAATAAAGTACATCAACAGTAGGAGGCAGGTGGTACGGAGGAACCGATAAAAACGAGACATTGGCAGCTAGATTATCATAGGCTGTTATCAAAGCGGTCAGTAAGCAAGTCTCCGGTGTCGCACTGCTGCTCCAGTTCTGAGATATCCTTGGGTTGTACAGTGGAGAACTTGGGTTTAGAAAAAGATTTATGAAAGGACGGTCAATTAAATGAAGCCAACAACAAGACTTTATAAGCAAAGGAGAGGCTTGGCAAAAGGTTCATTTCGAAAATTGCTAATAGCGTAGTTCACCCTTAAGTGGTCCAAGCCCCAAGTGAGCCACTTAAGGCTTCTTCGAGCGGACAGTTTGCTATGTAAGGTACTTGGAAACTGTCAAGGCCAGTAACAATCTCGAGGCCCCCCTGTCCTTCCCTTTCTTTCTATTTTTTTATGGTTGTTGTTGGGGGAAGAGAGAAGGGGGTTGGGGTTGGGGGGCGCGGATCCAGGCTTCGGTATTTCGATGGTAGAAGTACTGTTACCCAACTTTCATTCCAGGTTTCTTGACCGCAAGGAGCCACAAAGTAACGAGGGTGACTGATCGCATTACGTAGGTGCATCAATTCCATAGAAGGGGAGAGTTTGCAAGCAGAACGTAAAACCCCCCTAATTAGACTTAGCCTTGTTAGGTTTGGTCTATGCGCGCGTGTGTTCAAACTTTGAAAATCTTGGGCACTCACATTACACATCATTTTGCCTAAGAAATTACTTCCTTTACTATAGAAATCAGTTTTCCTAGTTTGATATAAATTTCAGGACTTATAATCCATTTCATCCTCCATTATGATCTCGAGTCGAATTAAGGTCTTTATAGGCCATTAGTTGCTGATTTGCGGCCTGGCCGTCGGGCTTTTAGTAATCCCCGGGCCACACATTCTTAATTTCCCGATCTCAACAACCCTTGCTCGTTGTATTATGTCTGCATCCTCTCGTAAGGCCCCATGCTGCTTTATGAGTATTACTTGAACATGATTGGAAATTTAACTCTTCCTCTGTGAACAGTAAACTTTCGCATAGCCGGCAGATCCGAGCGTACCGCAACTTAAACTTAGTATTCCGCACACTTCACGATATGCCAGGGCTCTTCCGGCAGTCCCGTGACTCAGTTGCCGTAGAAATCTGCCTATTTTTGGCATTACATCTGCCGGGCGAAGTCCGTCTCTTGCCAGTCACACTACTTGATGCGGTCCACATTCTGACTAAAAGTAACCTTAAGCTATGGCGGTAACGTCTTGGATTCGGTACTCTCTGCAGCAGGATATCTGACCATTCAAGAGATTTCTCCTTGGTCTTGTATCATTGGCCCAGACATGTATTTAGGCGAAATCAGTCAATCCCGCCTTGCAGCTTGTCTCTGCGGTCTTTTGCAAACGCCCCGAAAGTACATGTAGCTTTATCTATGCTTGTTTCTCGGCATCGTGCAGCCAAAAGCTGGCTTGTTTCCATCAGCCATCCTGATTGGGAGCTCTCTGAGTAAGATCATGTTGTCGCGTGGTTGGCCTGGTACTCCGTTGCTGAGGTTTGGCGCCTAGTCGGATGATTTAAAATTCACCGGATGGAGCTCCGGAAGCAAGTACCGTTTCAAGACAAAGATTTAGAGTTTATGGTATAGATATTTCAAGCCTTGGCGCATCCGCGCCAAAGATCTGGTCTCTACAGCCTATGCAGAGGTCTCCGCAACTGGCATCTGACATCTATGGAATAGACCAGCTCTTACTTATATCCAAGTGAAGGGTGCCTTACTCGTCGTCCAAGTTTTCATTCGGTGTGTACACCTAGCAATATGTCTGAGCACCCTTCCCTCGGAGTCCATGATAGATCCAAGATGGAACTTGCAATGTGGGCAAATGATGAGCCCGGTGAAAGCGATATCTCAAAGTCGACACAACAACCAAACTTCAATGCCTGCGATCAATGCTACCGTCGGAAGGTCGGCTGCTCTCGTGAAAAACCTTCATGTGATCGTTGTAATCAGGCCGGCAGGCATTGTACCTACAGCTTAGCTCGACCTTCCGGGAGACCCAGGAAATCTAACCTCGAAAAACGAGTAGGCTTGAAACGTCGCGCTGGTGATTCTCACAAGTTTGATTCGAATATCTCACAATACCACAATGATGCCAGTACGTTCAGTGTCTCCGCATAAAGCTCCTTGAAGACAAATCATTTGACCGCTGGACTCAGTGCGAAAAACTCCATGTTCAATTGAACGCATGGATTTATCGGACCCGAATCCACATCCTTACCCACAAGAGCCTAATGTCAATATACTTCTCGACCCAGCACTTTGCTCTGAGCCGTTTGTTCTGGACATGACTTCTGACGACCGACGAATACGACTGGAGGCCGATTTGATTAATGGCCAATCCGGCGACGTTCCACAATGTCGGAACTCTGTTGCAAATTTGCCACGGAGTAGTGGGTTCCGTCGAAAAGAAAACGCCGCGACTTGCGAATTTGGTGCTTCGCAATTACAAAGCCCAGAACGCAGTGGGCAATCACAGCCACAACCGACAAAATCAACAATGACCGACAATGCGCTGTTGTTTGATCAAGAAGGCCATGAAAATATTGATCCTTTGCAATCTCACATATATGATCTTGATTCTTCATCAGTTAGCGCAAGTGGGGATGAGGGTTGTCTATGCCAATTCGATATCTTTAGGCTACTGAGCTGGAAATTGGAATTGTCGCGAGCCAAGTTGAGCACTGACGCTCTTCTCAGTGCTCTCAATGAAATCGCGGAGCGTCTTGTTATGTGCGAAGAAAATCACGATACTATGTTCTTCATTGTGCTCTTGATACTCTATCAAGAAGTGGATCAATGCATTGTGCACAATGAGAACACTACAGGGAAATCTCGATCTGCAGCTGACGGAACACCTTATTCCGCGTTAATATATGAGGGCTCAGACAGAGAGGTCGGCAGCACTCCTAGAATGCTAGAGGTGAATGGCCCTGCGATCATGCGTTCTTCGAAGAAGCGCATCTCTGAAAATTCAAGTCGCAGCCAAGACATCGGAGGGGTCTTCTTGAAGGCCTTTGTCATCTTATCAACCATCGCAGCTACGTTACCTCACAGGTCTAATGCAACTTCTAACAGTCCTACTAGCAGAGGAAGGTGGAAGGATTATGCCGACCAACTGCGACAGCAGTACGAGAGTTATTTGAGTTATACTCCTTGATATATAGGTCACATCATAGGTGAAGTGGATCAAGTGATGTGTGTTTCAGATCCTAGAAGGGCGTAAGCTACTCGTGAATAGTGATACATGATCTCGCGTTTGTAGCATACCCAGTTTTCGTTGTGACTAGGTTGGTCACCTAATCCAGGGAAATTACAATGGTGCTGGAGTTCAAGGCTCTCGTGCTGAAGACTGATCTGTCTAACGTAGTTAAGAAGGCTCAATTTATACAGCACCTCAAGGAAAATTTATTTTGAATTGGAGAGGTGCACCTGGGCCAAATTCACCAAGTAACACAACCTTCCCCAACGTAGCCCTCCTCGTTAGTACCGACGAGTAAGACATGCATTGTACGTTTTGTAAGATAAACAGACAAATCGACGTTGACCAAACTAGGTAAGGGTGGATTAAGGAGGAAAATTGCGATGAAACATTAAAATCTTCGAAAAAAAAAGGAGAAATGAATAAATAGAACGCAAATGATGTAGCTATAAACAGAGCCACAGCTTGCTAAGCCATAATTCTATACCGCGTCTCACCAAACCGAGCTCAATACCCAACGGGCCATTGTTACGTCCGACGATTACGATGACTTTGGCGATCTCGTCCCCAAGTGCGTGCGCATTAACTCGGAACTTTACAACATCGCAGGGCGCACTGGGCGCTGTCAGCTCAAGCAGATCCAACATCCGCGACAAGAACGGAAGATTCCGAATGCAGCCTAAGAAGCAAGAATGGATACAATAACTAATTGCGTAACCAATTGCCCCATATCAAACAACGTGGTCAGTCCGTAGGACAACAAATGGAGGGGTCCGGGTGGGTAGTAAACCTCCCACGTACACTGCGGAATTTATCACGTGCTTGGAAACACCGTATCATAGAGGACTAAAAATATACATTTAATAATGAATGATTTAGAATTGATATATTATAGTATATTACTTCATATCAGCGTGAAGAACTTGCTGTATCGCGGGCCATTTCAAGACTAACGAAATATGGGCTCTCTACGTTAGTTTCTTCCCAATCCCCCGAATCCGATGAATTGAGACGTATTCCTTGCAGGTCAAGACGAGTAGCCAGCTCATTTCCCCCCAGCTCCGAAGCCTGGTAGAACAGGGGTCGCTTTTGAGCGTACACATTATAATATCTGTGAGTTAAAGCAATCAAAACGTCGATATGTGCGGAATGAGCGGATGCATCTACAGAGCATCGTTGCCAGTTTCGAGCGAAACGCTCCGATAGTATAAGCACTGCATGTGTTGATAACATGTTGTACACCTGCACCAAGCCATCAAATTTCTCTTCTGATAAAAAAGAGTAAAGAACGCCGCCAGGAACGGCTTCACCTGAGCTGGTGCTCACCCCGAAATAACTCGTCGATACGTAGAGTGCATCGGCATCAGGAGGCACTGGCACCATCGGCTGTTTGATCTCCAAATGAAGCGCATCATCTTCAAGGATTAGGAAAGGCTTAAAGGGACGACGCTGGAGGGCTCGCTCCACAACAAGGCCGTGACTATACGCGCAAGCAAAAACTGGGTCGTTTGGATTATAGACGCCGTATACCGATTCTACATCCAGAAACCCGCTAAGGTTAAGGGACTCTTGCACGGCATTTCGTCGACGGCTGAATTTCGCCACTGTTGTGTTCGGAGTGACGATGTATGTGGGAGTACTCAGTAGGTTGACCGAAGGCTGTCCGTTCGTCGTGGGCATACTGGTGCTGAAAGTCGGACAAGCCCGTACAAATGGGATTTTGCACACAAATACTCACTAGGAAGGATAGTCATGGGAAATTTTTGTTTGATGACAGTACTGCAAGATTGCCGCGATTATGAGGACCCAACCCACAAAAACACGGGATACTGAGAAACTTGTGAACGAGTCGGCACCAAACATCGCAATTCGAGCTAGCTGCGTTCAGCTGGGTTCGGGACATACGTTAGAAGAAAAAAGGTGAAAACTGGAAAGGTTCAAGAGTTCTGAGGCAATTTCACAGCTATTTCCAACGCATAGTCCACTTTTATATGGTCCAGCTGGTCTGGCAGGATTGTGGTTCTGTCAAGAGCAGACAACGAGTATCCAAATTAATCACACCATACATCTACACAAAGCGAATCACTTCCTGGTCGATTATTGCCGGAGATAATTTCATTGACCACAACTGCAACCAGTGACAGCCGACGAATTGTGACCAAACTCAATCTCCGAATGCTCTTTGAAATTGCTATCTGGACAGCAAACTCTTCAAACTTTGGCTGCAATTATTTCCGCAATGTCACCCCGTGGAGAATCATTTTAGCTTCATTTAGACAAAGGAGGTAAACGCAACCGGCCTATGGTATACCTAAAGGTCATAAAATGTCCGTTCTGTAACAAAGAAATATCCGAATACCTGTGAAGTTCGGTAATTGTCGACATTCTAGCTCATTGTAATGTCCCATAACAACCCTCGGACATTCAGAGACCATCATTGATGCATGACCAAGACATAAATTTCATTGCGAGTCGATCTTACAATCACCATTCATACAGCGTATTCCTTTATGAGAAATTCGACGCTGGCTTAGTCGGCTCAGCTCAAATCAACTCGTCGAGGGTGTACAAAATCCAAAGCTACTGGAGCATGGTGGTTTGCGATACGCTTTTGTTAACCTTGATACCAACATCGGTGATTCAAGGCATATTGAAGTCAACAATGCGAAGTTAAAATATGGCTTTCTTAGTCAGGAATGGGCCCCCCACGAGCAAGAAGGGAGCTTTGCATCTATGCTAGCACGTTGAACGGAGTCCTTGTTCCGGAAATACGAACATTCTGGCGCATCGTAAGCGCGGGGCACTCTTTTATTCACCTGATCCCGTGCGCGAACAAAAGTGATCTTATTCGAGAGAAACCTATGGTTCAGCAACGCTTTCGAGGCACAGTAGTATAATAATTCTTACGGTATGAGCCTCGAAATACTCCCCACAGCCGATGACATTAAGGACAGTGTACGCAACTTCTATTGTACCTCCTGAAAATCAACCCTGTTCAAGCCTTCCCGGGCTACTCAACATATGCGGACCATCCGGATGTTCTGTCAGGGTCCTTTGGGGCTGAGCTTACATCAATCAACTTTCCATGGATTATCAAAACCTTACTACTATAGGACTGTGTGATTGCCAAAATGGACAACGAAGGGCTGAGTACGATATCATTCCCATCTGGTTGGTATGAAGGTGTGGAACGTGATAGACTCCCTTTACCCTTGACTAGCACCTATACATTGCCGATGGTGCAGCTATCAGATACGAGGGAAGATATAGATGGAATGGATTGATTGCTTGACCAGAAGGAGAGTTACGAGTAGTACACCTGTGAGTGTAGTTCATGCTGATGAGCGTAGAAGGATGATTCCGCTCAAGCTCTTCCATACATAATTCTAGTTCTTGCCGACATATTGCCGCTGCCTCTTCATACTTTCCTTGACGCTTAAGCGCCAAGACCAGATCATTCAGGCTCCTGGAGGGGCCGGGCCCTTCGCAGGCCCCGGGATTGTATGCATCGTCTCTTTCCTCCTAGTATCTCACCTGGCCGTCCGCCACATCAGCTAGACGATCTGAGTCTTGGAGCGCGGAGGTGTCGGTATGCCCTGGGCTCCGCATCTCATGTTTCAGCTTGAGGGGCTCTTTTTGCCTCGTCGCCGTCTTGTCGAGGGGTGGCTCGCTTTGGATATCTCGATCAACTACTGCAAAACTTTGTACATTTTCAAATTAAGTATCATCGCCTATAGCCCGATATGACAGGCGCCTGTGAGTTTGCTGCGCTTTTGTGTATATTGTCACTGGAGATGAAGCGTCTAGGCGCTATCAAGTGCTCCAGACAGTCTCCCGACGAATATCGAGCAATTATGGCAAGGTTTCGGTCAGCAACCGGCTGCCAGTCGATGCTCGTGCTGAGGTGACCCAGGTAGTTCCTATTAAAGACAGTCGCGTGCTGTTGTCAGAATGCTGGGCCTCCCTCCAAGACATACTCGATACCGGGGATTAGCCGTCGGGATCATGGCGTTGGGCAACGTGGCTGGTCTTGCTCAGCAGCAGCCACATGGCCGAGTGGTCGAAGGCGCCGATATCAGGGACTTGCACTGCAATTTTAGCCCTCACGAGGGGCCAACACCGCAACCAAGCTAACTCTTGGCAGCGACGCCAAACGGAGAAGGAGTTGATGACCTTTGATGTTCCCATTCTAATTTGTAGTAGAGGGAGAGAAAGAGCAATCACGATCTTTATTTTCATATTTGCCCCTCCAATGAACCTCCATGACCAAGGTTTCGAGACTGGTTCTTATATATATGGGTGCTCTATACCTTTAAGATTTGGTCATGCAGAACTTCTGCGGCTGCCGACAAAGAGCTCTTCTCGTGGCACTCGATTTTTGCCCTCGGTAGACTTCTTATCCGAAAGGAGCCCGGATAAATGAGTATAACCATGCGGTAGTTTAGCGGTTGTATTCTTGGAAGTCTTTTCTTTCGTTCAAGTGCCATAACGATCATTCGAAGAGGGGAAAAAAATGTAGAATATCAGTAGAGCTGAAGAGCCTGGAGACTTGAATCATCATATGTCACACTAAAACGCGCGCGAGAGTATGGGAATTGACTTGAGTTGATCCTTGAGGAGCTACAAAAGAAATGGGCTGATGAGCCTGCTATATAGGGGGTGATCCCCCGGATTAACGTTGTTCCGCTCCTTTATATATCCCCTATATCGTGATATTATAAATCTGCGGTAAGATTAAGGTACTGAAAGAAGTACCTCGCAATTGTATTGTTTACTCCCTTATAGACTTGGAGTGCCCAGCTCATCTTTGGTGTCCAGACTGATGTCCTCGACCTGGTACAAAGCTCTAAACGCAAGCAGGTCTAGAAACATAGTTGTCATTACCATAGCATATTCGTAAACGCTACCTTGGTCGTTCTCTACAGCATCAGTGCCGAGCGCCCACCATCTACGTGGCATCACAAATCAAGCAGCGTCAACGACAAACCGACGAGCTCGGTGAGAACGAAAAGTCAATATTAGTAGTGCGCACGGGTCTTGTTCTAATCCCTCATGACTACCGGAAAACCCGCCCCTAAATTTTTGGTTGGTCCTTTTGCTAGGTTGTACAAAGTACGCCAGACGCCGTCGCGATTGTCAGTCCGCCGTAGTAATACCGTTTCCGTCCTCAAACTACCGCGTTTCTCCCTCTCTCCGATCACGAGGCCGGCCAAAAGCCCCCCCCGGAGAGCCGCAGACTAACCTACAGATTTCACCGCCCTTGAGGGCCGTGTAGAGCCATGTGAGCTTTGGTTGGTTGGCTGTCGAGGCTTACTAGTCCTCGCCGCCGGACTCGTCCACGCCGGACTCGTCCATGCCCAGCAGGGTCTTGTCGACATCGTCGAGCTCCTCATCCTCGTCCTTGTCTTCGTCCTCGTCGCCACCGAGGCCGAGGAGCTCCTTCTCCATGTCGTCTAGGTCGTCGGCGTCCTCCATGGTGACATCGCCGTTGGCGTTGCCGTTGGTGCCGGTCATGTTGCTGTCAAAGCTGTGCGAGGCGCCATTTGTGAGGCCCGGAGAACCGTTGGCAGGGGCAGATCGTCGGTTCTTTCTGCCCGGTCGAATAACACCCAGGTCGCCGCCGTGAGCCTCCCAACGAACAAGGCGACGGTTTGCGCGTCGCAGAGAAGCTGAGTATGAGGCCAGCTCCTCGCCGAAATCATCGACCTCGACGGTGAGAGGGGCGAGCCCGCCTACACCCCTGCTACGGAAAGCGGCCGGGTTCTTCTCTGCCGGGTATCTGTAGTCCTCGTCATCGCTGTCCGCTAGAGGGTCGGGCATAGCCTCAAGACGACGCTTGGCTCTGACCAGGGCACCCTCCTGCCGCCGTAATTTGCGGGCCTTGTGGTGCTCCTTCCGCAGATCGCGGGTGAGGATGTACTCGACACGCTGGTTTCTGTTGCGCTCAACGGCGAGTTGGTGTGCCGTGGGAGGTCGGGGCTTTCGAGGCATGACGCCGTCGAAGCTGGCATTAGCTGGACCGGCAGGTGATGAGGCGTCAAAGAGCTGGTACTTGAGGGAGGCGCCCCGACGTCCGGCACCGGTGCCGCTGGCGTTCAGACGGCCAATGGCCCTCGGCGGCGGAGTAGATCTGGTGCTATCAACGTCCGACTCATGCTTAGAGGGTCTGATGCGAGGTAGAATAGCGGCGGCGGGACCGTCCTCGACGGCCTTGCTCCTTTGGGTTCGGGACTTTGTTTGGTGATCCTGTAGATATGCAGCATCGGCAGCTATGATTTTGGCGCGATGGCCCTGCTTCTCCCGACCAAAGTCGATCTCCTCTTGGGGATCAATATTCTCCGCAGCCTCCTCCTCGGGGGAGAGGGGTGTCATGCGTGGGACACCCTGGTTGGCAAGATCTCTGCCATAGTCGACACCCGCGCCAAAAGGGTTCTCTTCGCATCCCTCTTCCGTGAAGTCAGATTCAAGATACTGCCACATCAGCCAGAGGAAGGCGTTGGCACGAGAGGCGCTCGTATACTCGGTTCGCATGATGAGGTCGTGAAACTCGCCGCCCTTGGCGAAGTGCAGCTCGGCAATCTGTGCCGCCTGCTGGCAGATGAGAAAGATGAGGTTCACGGGGTTGGTTCTGGGGACGTCCAGGGCCTTGAAGTCGTTGAGAGAGTGCGGCTCCTCGCGATCCTCGGCGGCGCCCTTCAGGATGGATTTGAGTCTGGGGGCGTCCTGCAGCTGCTTGTAGGCCGTGGCATCTTGGTAGGCTTGGAGAGAAGGGATGGCGTGGTAGGTACGTAGCTGAGCGCGCATCTCAGGGAAGACTGCGGAGAAGAGAAGTGTACTGTTAGCTATCTGACATAGACACGAGCCGAAGCGGCCATAGGAAACTGGGGAGGACGACGGGAGGCAATACATACAGTTGAGGGTGGTGTTCATGCGGCCGACGTTGACCAGCAGACACACCATGGCCATGCTCTTCGCGGCCTCTCGATCACTAAGCAATTTGTCGCGGAGGACCTTGCTGGTCTTGCTGCTCCTGGCCATGGTGTCGATGTACAGGTCGGCAAAGGTCTGCTTCTCGTCCTGGTGGAGGTCGTAGCTGTTGGTGAAGACGGCGCGGGTGTTGTCGAAGACGGCGCGCAGGAAGTCGTACTGGATGTCCTTGCGCCAGAGCGGCTCGCCATCCTCCTTCTTGAGGTGCCTGATCTTGCCAACGGTGCTGGCTGAGGACGAGCCAGCACCGCCGGCGCCCGTGGCCGCGGCGGCGCCCTGGGAGCGGCGGCCGGACTTGGACTTGGACGACGATGATCGGGCCATGTTGTCGCCTGCAAAGCTCAGCTCGCCGACGTCGTCGCTGTCGTAGTTGCGCGAGGACTTGAAGGCGCCGGGGCTGGGGGCCCGCGACGAGTTTTGGTCGCCATTGTCGTCGTCCATGGTGAATGGAACGCGCGGCAGGTAGCTGCTTCTGCTTCTGCTTCTGCGCTGCTGCTTGGTGCTAGGCTGGGCTCGGGCTCAGTCAATCACGGCTGGAATGGCCGTGGGCTGGCAAACAAAGAGCTCGCCAGGTTGGGATGGATGATGGGAATTGATGTGAAAACGGGGTGGTGAATGGGAGCTCGGATGCGCCAGGCTGGCAGGTCAGACCGGTGCTATGCCCCAGGCGATGCAGCGACCACACGGCATGTATATCACGATACGCGACGGGACACGGATCGGGGCATCCTGTGGAGGGCAGATGCGGATGCAGATGCAAAGGCTGGCGATGGGGATGGGCCGCGATGGGAATGGGAGTGAGGGTCTTGGGGGGTGGGAATCAGAAATGCCCGCTGACTCTCGGTGTCGCGTGTGATGGATGCAATTGCCTCCGGATTTGCCTTCCAAGTGACCGGTACGAAAATCCACTCCAGGCCAAATTGGCAGTTATCGCGGCTTAGCCTCATCCAACAAAAAAGCTCCCAGCACCAGCAGCCAGCCCATCAGCACACCAGCACCACCAGCACCACCGACAGTACATCCCAGGGCCTGGGCGCCACGGAACAAGAGTCGCGTCGGCTTGTCAATTTAATCTGCTAGCCTGCAGCTGGCCTTTGCCAGCCAACCTCCGTGCTCCGACGCCTTGAGTTTGCAGGGATGTGCAGTCTCAGTAGTCCTACCCTTGCTCATTACCACCCACACCTTTACCCGTTCCCGTAGCCTCGCGAACCCAGGTCGACATATCTGGACGTGGTCTTCCCCCAGTAGTTTTACAAACAGTCAAACTGAAGTATAGTCCACTGTTGTGATGTGTTGATCAATGAATATAAACGTATTGACTAAATCCAAGTTGTTGTTGTGCTTCTGTGGATGAGCAGAGTGAAGGAATGGATGCGGTCTTTCGGCACCACATAACTTCAACGAATGCTTCTTGGTGGGCTTATTACTTACTGCCTCCGTACTCAGCCATGACAGCACGCTCCGGTGTTGATATACTACGACGCCAATACAAGGTATGGGAATCATCTAGATTATCAAGAGCTACCAATCCTAGATGTCCGGCGTCGGTGGTTTCCTACAATATGACCTATTTGTTGTCATGTACACTACACTACGCCAGGCAGATGCCAATCATGAAGCTTCACCAGATCATCTCAGGCCCTTTCACTCTGCCAGTTTCCTAGTAAGATGGAGCTGTCCACTATGACGAGACGTCCAGCATAGCATCAGGGACTGCCGACAGTCTATATTTCGTCACATCACAGTTCAGGCAAATAAGTCAGATGTAAGAAACAAGAGATTTTTTTTTATTATGGGAGTTCTCAGTCCGTCGTGGATGCATCCTTATGCTTGTCCACCACAGCATCGAAACCGCGTAGGGCCGAAACTGCCTCAGCCGATATCTGCATTTATGACCACCGTCCATCTGCCTTTCTTCGTGGCAATGGACAGGAGTCAACCCTGATTCCGTCGAATGAGCAGCCTTCCTAGGCCAAACCTGGGGCTGTTGTTGCGATCCTAGGATTCACCCAAGAATCCCTGGACCCTATTGAGAGCCATCACCTGCTCGCCGAGACGCCTTGACTTTTTTTTGTGTCATGTCCATTAATGCCTCGGAACAGGTAACCAGTCTACCATCTTCATTGAGCCCTTCTATCAAGTTCCCCTGCCGTGGCGAGCTCTCCATGCGAGCTTGCCGGCCAGAGAACCGAGAAATCCACTTTTGTCTATGGGAATACCATCAACGAATCTTTCGGCCGCAACGCAGCTGAGCGAAAAACCCCGTTCTATGTGAAACTGGGAATGACCATCCTTGCTTGGTGCCTCCCCTCGAGGCCTAAAGCAGGTACATCGCAGCATAATAGACGTCATGAGTGTCGTAAACGCGTCGATCAGACGAGACCTTTCCGTCCGGAACATGTGCCTCCATGTGTTCCTCGGACAAAAAGTCTCATCTGCTTTCTGAAGGCGTCTGTCTGACCTTCTAAGTCTCCTGTAGCTGCTCGCAAGTCGTCCCACCGCAAACGGGGGGACTTCTATGGGTATCATCATGCGTTCTGTACTGCAGCCGAAACAAAAGACGAATGCTGTCTATCGTGTGCTCGAGTCCTTTGCCGACGGACCCGACCCTGCCTTTCCTGGATGAGGGCATCTTGTGTGTCCATCGGTAGAAGGGAGTTATGTCGCATGAAACGTGCTGGGAAATGCCAATAACTGAGCTGAAAAAAACATCCATGAACCGGAAAACATGAAATCGTGAAAAAGAAAGGAAAAGTATGTGTGCCGCGATGTGAGGCCAGCTTTCCATTCCCATCGCGGCTTCCGCCTCCTTGTAGGAGCCGGGAAGAATGGAAATGCGGCACGGTGGTGATTTACCACCAGGAAGCCTGGCCGCCAGGACCGCTAGGGTTGCCGTAGCTGCCACCGCCACCACCACCGCCGTAGCCACCACCGTAGCCACCGCCGTAGCCTCCAGCGCCGCCGGAGAAGCCACCGCCAGGAGCGCCGCCGCCGCCGTAGCTGCCACCCGAGGGAGGACCGCCAAAGCCTCCACCGAAGCCGCTACCGCCGCCGCCGCCGCCGCCGCCAAACTTGCGGAAGTCACGGTTGGCACCCTGGCCACGACCACGGCCACCACCCGATCGACCGCCACGGCCACCGCCGCCAAAGGAGCTCTCGCGGGCAATAGTCTCCAGGAAGGCGGGAACCTCCTGGTTGGCCTCCTTGAGGAGGTCGAGAAGCTCTCTGACGACACCACGGTTGCCGCGGTTGAAGAAGGCAGTGGCTGAACCAGTGTTACCTGCACGACCGGTACGACCGATACGGTGGACGTAGTCGTCAATGTCGGTGGGGAGATCGTAGTTGACAACGTGGGTAACGTTGGGGATATCGAGACCACGAGCAGCGACAGCAGTGGCGACGAGGATGGGGCATCTGCCGTTACGGAACATCTCCAGGGCGCGCTCACGCTCACGCTGGGTTCGGTCACCGTGGATGGAGGTGGCCGGGAAGTTCTGGTTGATAAGGAAGTCCGACAGGGAATCGGCCATGCGCTTGGTCTCGACGAAGATCAAGGTGAGACCGCCGCCGTGGGTGTGGAGGATGTCGAGAAGGACAGAGCGCTTGTCAACGTCCTCAACGTACTCGACCTTCTGGGTGATGTTCTCCGAGGTGGAACCAACACGTCCAACCGACAGGAAGACGTAGTCCTTCAAGAAGTCGCGGGCCAACATCTGGATGTCGCGGGGGAAGGTGGCGGAGAACATGAGGGTCTGGCGGTTCTGGACGTTGGGCATATCCTCGCCCTCGACGATTCGGCGGATCTGAGGCTCGAAACCCATGTCCAGCATACGGTCAGCCTCATCGAGAATCAGGTACTTGATGTTCTGGAGCGAGATGCGACCACGCTCTATGAGATCGACAAGACGACCAGGAGTTGCGACCAACAGATCGCAGCCACGCTCGATCTGGCGGAGCTGGGAACCGATGTCGGCACCACCGTAGACAACGCAAGGGCGGACCCAGGATCGGTAAGCGAACTTGCGGGACTCCTCGTAGATCTGAGAGACCAGCTCACGGGTAGGAGCCAGAATCAGCGATGTGGGGTAGGCCTTGCGCTGGCGGCCGAAACCACCAGCACCGGCAGGGGTGGCAGAGGGGCCAGTCTGGAAGGCCTGGGACAGGATGGGGAAGAGGAAACCACCAGTCTTTCCGGAACCGGTCTGGGCACAAGCCATCAAGTCACGTCCGCCCATGACGATGGGGATGGAGTACTTCTGGACGGGGGTGGGCATCTTGTAGCGGGCAAGCTCAATGTTGCGGATGAGGTGGTCATCCAGGGGAGGGTTGGTGAAGGTCAGGACGGGCTCAGGGACATCGTGACCGGAAGCCTCGACGGGGATGTCGTCGTACTTCTCAAAGTTGATACCGGTGTGCTGCTTCGACGGGTCGTCGGGGGTACCAAAGAGTTCGCGCTCGACGCGCGGGTTGGCAGGGCCGGCGACGTGCTTACCATCTCTCCACTGACCATCACCAGAGCCGCGGGCGTGAGCGCCGCCACCTTGACCGCCGCCTTGGCCGCCGTGGCCAGCGTAGCCGCCGCGCTCGAATCCACCGCCACCGCCGCCTCTGCCACCCCAGCCAGATCCGCGCTGTTGGGGAGGGGGAGGACCATCAAATGCGGGAGCGGCAGGGGCGCCAGGGGTGGGCCATCCAGCGGGAGCAGGACGAGCGTCGTAGGCGTTGTTACTAGAAGTCGTCAGGTTAGCAGCGGGTTATACTGAGCAGAATATCGTTCAGGCGGTTGCGGGACCACGAGACTCCGGATAGGTTTGTACGAAAAGTGTTGGAGGGGTTTCACTTACCCAGCCCAGGCGCTGTTGTTAAGACCGCCGTTCATGGCAGGAGGACCGGCCGGGGGGCCAGCGGGAGGGCCACCAGCGTGGCCACCGCCGCGGGATCGCATGTGAGGCGGGATGTAGGAGCGGCCGCCAGTGGGAGCCTGCTGCTCAACGAGGCTGAGGCCGTTCATGTTGAGTTGATCAGCCATGGTGTTGGAAGATGTTGCGTAGGACCGAGGGAGGTGCGTTTGCAAGTCGTGGACGGTCGTTGGGATGGAGGTGCTTGTGTGAATTGCAGATTGCAAATTTTTCCGATTCGTCCCAGCCGATTAGATCTCTCCAGAAAGAACGGGTGTTCTAGAAGAGAAATGAGAGTGGTGAGGCAAAAAGTGACTGCTGATTATTCTTGGGAGGGCTTTTGGCGTCGAGTGCTGAGAAACACAACCGACGACAGAAGTGAAGAGAGTGGATGAAAGCCGAAGATGCTCTCAGGTGCTCTCTCAGTTGGGTATTATGGGTTGTGTCTTGTTTGCGTTTGTGGTGACCTCGGGCAGCTGCGTCTGAACGAACTGCTCTAAATCACGTCTAGTGGGGGGGAAAAGTCTTCCAAGGTCCTCTGAATAAAAAAGAAAACCGATCTTTTTTTCAAAGGAAAGAAGACAAGAGACCAAATGCAGAACTCTGTGTTGTGAGGGGAGATTCTCGTCGAGGAGAAGGAAGGGTTGGTGGGTGGATGTGAGAGGGAAAGGTTGGGACGTGGGACGGGAGGCAGAAAGATTTTATCAAGTGTCTCTGCAAATCTTTCGACTGTTAGGAAAAAACCCCCCAGGCGGGTGGCAGGCTGGGCAGGCTGGCAGGCAGGTTTGGCCACAAAACCGTTAGCGTCCTTGGGTCCAGTCCAGTGTCTGTCTCCTTGCAGCGGGCAGCGCAACGGGGGCCAGCAGCGCAGTGCACCAGTACCAGCGGGCTCTGCAGGCCAAAACCCATTGGTTGCCAGATGGGAATTTTTTTTTTCTCTCTCCAGCCCAGCTAACCGGGGCCTGTGTGTGTGTGAGTGACAAGCGCGAGTGGGTGTGAGTGTGTGTGTGTGCCCAGCGTGGTTGGCCTTGGTGTGCTATGGTACGCTTTGCAGCAGAGATGACCGCCTCTTGCAGTAGTCGGTCGACTCTGACTGGCTTACACGGAGCGTTCGAGCAAGATTGGCCACTCTGGTGGAGATGACGAGAGCTCCCTGACAGCCTTCACCCGCTGGAGACGCCGCCGCCCGTCGTGAATTTTCCAGGAGACTAGCCTCGAGGCGTGGCAGGCCGGCAGGCACGAACAAATCTTGTCCAGCTCCTTGAATCAGGGTCGTGGCAAGCACTCTATTTGTGCATGTGGCCACGAGCTGTCAAACGTCTTCTGGAGCAGGGGCTTGTTAAGGTATCCGAGCACTGCCGAAGTATGTATCTGAAGCACCATTGGTGCCCTATGGCACTAGATACCATAGAATGAACTTGACCTACAGAATGCAAAAAGTTTGCTTATGGGCGGTCCTGCCTCCGTCACGGTGATGCGTTTCCGTTTGCTTCCACGGTCGACAACATATCTGTGGTAGCGAAGTAACTCGCACTAGGTTCGCCTTCAAGCAAGGGCCATCAGAGCCTTCCAACGCCGGAACAGGGGAGCCTCAACCCTCCCCCCACACAATACAGTACGTACTGGACAAGTTACGTTGGCCCTCTGACAACTTATTGGCAGGAAGCTGCCTTTGTTGCTGGGTTTGCTTTGCTATTGCCACCCAAGTATCTGCCCTGTGTCTATCTGCGAGAACATCGCGGGGCTAGGAGGTAAGTTAGCATATAGTCATTCGAAAACCCTGGTGGTCTCTGCTGAGTCTTGACTGAAAGCCGCTGCGACGTATTTCGTCAGATGTTCAACCCCCGACTGGTCAAGTGGTCTGTGGTTGCGGATGGGCAACGGCCATCCCACACACCACCCACCTTTGTTCTCTTCTGGGGTCTAGAAGTGCGGCCCCTAGCGAGAGTGATGGCGCCCCCCCTTGTCAGCTGCTAGCCTCCCTCCAATAGGAACGCCTGCCAGGGGCTGATTAGACTTCTGGCGACTGTGACGGCACGCAATCCTCACCGCCTAGAAACTTGCGGCTGCTTCCAGGTCCTCTCAGGTTCCATGCCAGGTATACAGCGACGCGCATATTATTGAATCATGCACCGCCCTCAGTATGCTGACCTAATCTGCCGAACCTCATGGACTGGGAGTGATGCAAGGAACAAAAACCCTCCCGCGAGTTAATTCTTTACGGACCCCAAACGGCCCTGACGCCTTATCCCTTGATAGCCACGCCTGCCACGGTACCGTACAAGGTTGGCTGTGGGCGGGCAAGGAATATGCGTGCCATAGCACCTAGCTACTGCACCAGGTTGCGATTATCATACAGATGCCCACATCGCCGACCCTGCTGCGACCGGGACGTGGGCCATGACCCTTCCATCAGTTTCGTCCAACACGCGAAAGGTAGGTACATCTAGATAGGACAGTATGAGCATGTTGACTTCCTTCCATTTCGGAGTCATGACTGTGACACTGTCATTGGCATGGTAAGTCGTCATGGGCCAAAGAAGCATGTTGCCAATAGTGAGACGAAACAAAATCTCAAAACAGACACAGTAAGGGTCGGCAGCAAGATAGTATTCTGTCTTTTTTTCCCCTTGGAACACAGCCATCCCGTGCGATAAGAGTGATCCATCGCGTCAAACGCGACCCTCTCGTCTATTGTACATCTGTGCCTTGCCAGTCCAGAAATAGCTCCCGCGCCCTCATCATGCGCACTTGACTATCTTGTCGTCGTTGAACTCGATATCCACGATGCCGTTCTTGGTGACGGCCTTGACTGTCATGCCCTTGAAGTCGATGGGCATTCTCCTCTTCAACTCGTCCGTGCACATCTCCAGCAGCTTGATGCCCTCGCCCAGGCTGATGCCGGGGCTGTGGTGCTTATCGAGAATAGACAGGCAGTAGTACTGTGCGTAGCCGTGGGCAGCGTAGGGGACGGGCGCCAGCGATGCTAGGTAGTCGAGCCAGAACAGGCTGGGCTTGTGTGTGATGGGGTCAACACCGCCCAACAGCAGGTTGACGTTGTAGGGCTTTCTCGACCGCAGGCTGGTGGCCAGTTCGCCGCGGACGTAGTTCGCCAGGGCACTGGGGGACAGGTCGGTCTCATTGCGCATCGAGTAGAGCTGGGCATTCGCTTGGATGTACTCGGCGAACTGGACTGGTGGCGGCGATCTGTCAGCATATCAGGCGCCCACGGTAGACCGCACCCGCCCAAAGAAAAACATACCGGTATCTCCTGCCTCTCCAGAATAGGCCATCAGGGTGTTCTTGTTGAGTTGTCTGGTCTTGTCGTCGGAAGCCTTCAGAACAGTGGCGCCGCGCATAGCGGCTTTCGAGGCGGCGATGAGGGCAAAGTCCTTGCCGGTAATTCCTAGTAGCACCTCCCTGATAGGGATGGTCAGCGATCTCGTACAGCTTCAGCGACGGCGGGGGATTTCGCACATCTTGAGACGTAATCAGCGATGAACGAGAAGACGTCGAATGGTACTGCAGCAAGCTGTTGTTGGGGAGAACCAAGCTGTCGAGGAAGCTTCGGGTCCCGACAATGTCCGTAGATTGGGAATTGGAAAGGAAGAATAGCGCGCCGGGGACTCTTCTATCGCTGCTCTGCGTCTAATGGAACGTGGCACGCCGCGGGAATGGAATCGCTCGTCTGCGGGTCGTGGGGTTTGCTGTCACCAAGATTGAAGAAGCTCCAGCCTTCCGTCGAGAGTGAGCGGAGCGACCTACGTTGGCTCGACGCGCAGCAGAGCTTCAGCCTGGCGAGCACTGACGGCGGACGGCAGACGGCGCCTGGGAGCTTTCTCCCCAACCAGGTGCCCACTCGAAGGCCCAGCTCCGGGCCCCAGCGCCCACCTGCAGCCTGCCCAGCGCCACGGGCCTCGCGGGCCTCAGTGGCCTCAGCGGCTTTAGTTCAGTGGCCTCAATGGCCTTCCCCCAGCTGGGTGGGACCGCGTCGGAGGTCGGAGGTCGGAGGTTGAGCCACCTGTGGCCGTGTAGTCGCCTGCTGGCAACTCTGTAAAACTCCACTGTCGAGCAGAGCCACAGATCGGTGGAGACCCCTGTCTCGCCCGTGGTGCGTTAGGCCCGGATTGGACCTGAGACCCCTGCAAGTGTCCCGCTATCAACTTTTTTTCCTCGACGCTCAAAGTCGAAACTTTTTTTGGCAGGCCATTTTGGAGGTGGGCTTCTACGACGCCTCGTTCAGTTGCGAAGAAAAGAAGCGACAGCCACGACCGCTCGCCCGCCATGTCGTCCTTCTTCACAGCTCCCTCTGCGCAGAAGAAGCGCAAGACCGCGCCCACGTCCGCCAATGGCCCCAAGAAGCGGCTGGCCACCAACACAAAGTCTGCTGCCAAGGCGCCCACCAAGGCACCGCCGCCAAAGAGACGACAGGAGCGCGATGACGAGTCGATATCCGGCAGCGATTCCGACGACGGCGACGACGGGCCCGCCGAAGACCAGGACGGTGACGAAGCCGGCTCCGACTCGGAGAAGGAAGGCGAGACCGCGGCCGAGAAGCGGCTCAGATTAGCAGAGCGATACCTGGAGCGCGTGCGGCGAGAGGAGGAGACCGTGGTGGGCTTCAATGCCGAGGACGTGGACCGCGATCTGATAGCAGAGCGTCTCAAGGAAGACGTGGCCGCATCCAAGGGCAAGGTCTTCCGCCAGGTCGCAGACGAGCTGGATTTCCACAAGGCCACCCACTGCCTCTTCCGCGCCGATACCCTCTCCACCACAAATATTACTACCTGCCCCCCTTATGCCTACACCGCCTCCAAGGACCGAACGATAGTCAAGTGGAGGATACAGGACCTGCCCAAGGACCAATATCCCCAGACCACCAAGAAGAAGCCCAAGAGGCAAGCGCCCCCGCGCAAGAAACCAGACAAGGTCGCCGTGCTCAAGCCCTCCAAGAACAAGGCCAAGGACAAGACGTACCAGGGCCACGTAGCGGGCGAGATTCTCTGCATTGCCGCCTCGCAAGACGGCAAGTTTGTGGTCACCGGAGGCACAGACCGGCGCCTGGTGGTATACGACAGCAATCTGAAGCCTCTCCGGGCCTGGCTGCACCACCGTGATGCCGTCACCGCCCTGGCTTTCAGAAGGGGGTCGAATCAGCTATATTCCGCGAGCAAAGACAGAACAATAAAAGTCTGGAGTCTCGACGAGATGGCCTACATCGAGACCTTGTTCGGCCACGCAGACCACGTTGTCGACATTGACGCCCTCGCCCTCGAACGCTGCGTGTCGGTTGGTGCCCGGGATCGGTCTGCTCGGTTATGGAAAGTCGCAGAAGAGACACAATTAGTGTTCCGCGGTGGCGGGAACTTTGACAAGAAGCGTCTGCCCAACATTGACCCACGATCATTAGCTGTGGAAGGCAGCATGGACAGAGTCGCCATGATCGACGAGGAATTATTTGTAACAGGGTCCGACAATGGAAGCATGTAAGCAGCCTTTTGGCCCCTTTCGGTGAACCTTTCATAGTTCTCATCACTAACACGGGGCGCAGTGCTCTATGGAGTATAACGAAGAAGAAGCCGCTTTATATCATGCCACAAGCCCACGGGCTGGAGGCGCCCCTGAAGCCCGAGGAAGCTTCGGCAGAGGTGCACCCGGACCCCAGGATCGTCCCACCCCCTCAGCCGCGCTGGATCACGGCCCTGCGGACTGTCCCGTACTCGGACGTCATCGTGTCCGGCAGCTGGGACGGCTGCATCAAGCTGTGGAAGCTGAGCCAGGACAAGCGGTCCATCGAGCCCCTGGGCTCACTGTGCGAGGCCGACGCGCGAGACTCTTCCCCCGAGTTCAACGGCGTGTCTGAGGACTCGGACGACCAGCGCAAGGCCCTCAGCAGCGTCGGGGCCGACTCCTGGCTGGTCAAGGGCGTCGTGAACGACATCTCGGTCTTCGAGCGCGGCGACCGCGGCAAGGACGGCCTGTGCGTCGTCGCAGCCGTCGGCAAGGAGCACCGCTTCGGCAAGTGGAAGAAGGTCCAGGGCGCCAAGAACGGCGCCGTTGTGTTCGAGGTGCCCAGGTCCGCCCTGGCCAACGGCGACAACGCCGACGAGTCGGGAGCGGAGGAGTAAATGGATCTGTTGTATATAAGGGCGGGGCCAAAACAGCGTAGGGATGGGTGTATTTATGTCGCCTTCCGCATGGCAGGGCAGGTCGAACTTGCCTACAGTGCAGATATACCCGTCCGTGTAGAATGGTCAAAAAGAACTAAAGCATTTCAAGAGTTTTCGACATGTTGACTTGAACCAGTGATATCGCTTCGTCCTTCCCACACGGAATAGGAAAACAGATGCGGTATGTACATGCGTCGAGCATGAGATCCTTCACCGGGAACAAGATTCACAATCAGCCAGATGAGAAAGGAAACCTGATTATTTGAGCTTCGTTATTGCTAGAGATTTTTCTTTGAATCATGATCTGGGTGTCCTCCGCTCTTGACCTGAACCCATGGGCATAGCTCGATCTTGCGGTCTCCAAGAACTACACCTCATCTTCATCTGTATACTTCTGCATCCCCGCGAAGAAAAAGGCTGCACAACAAGATACAAGACAAGGACTAATCCGAAATGATATCATGCCGTTAAATTCAAAATTCTATATATTGTACCAAGCCCAGCCCTCGTCTCCCCTGATCTGCACCATCCCTTCTAGATCCGCATGCGCTCCGCAATGACCTTGTACTCCTTCCTCCTCTTGGGGGTCTTGGTGACGGCGAGCTTGGCGGCGCCGACGAGGCGGGCGACCTTCTGCAGCAGGTAGTTCTCGGCGGTCCAGGCCAGGATCAGGTAGGCGACGCCGAGGGCGAGCAGGGTGACCTTGAACGAGGCCGAGATGCTGGTCAGCTGCATGAGGTGCTTGACGCCGCGGGCGGGGCCGAGCACCATGTAGCCGGTGATGGCGATGGCGCCGACGATGGTGGCCATGAAGGGCCAGTTCTGGACCATGGGCTGGCGGAAGGGGCGGCCGGCGCTCAGCACGACGCCGATCAGCGTGTATTCGAAGCACGAGACTAGGAACAGGGCCGTGTTCTCGGAGTTTTTGATATTGGACTTGTCCGGGTTGACGTGCGGCGGGATGTACCAGTCCTGCTCGCGGACGAGCAGCCAGGCGGCCGCCTGGATGAGGATGCAGATGATGATCTGGCCCAGGAGCGGCGTCAGGACCTTCCGCGAGACCAGGTCGGCCGTCGGCCGCTTCCGGCTGAGGACGGGGAAGGGCCCGGACCAGCCCATGAAGATGGCGATGGGCAGAATGAGGAGCACATCGATGAACAGGAACTGGAAGTCGCCGAGGTTGGACGCCGACGCGTAGAGGAAGCTGACCGAGGTGAACTGGATAGCCGAGTAGAGACTCATGAACTTGAAGCAGCTGAAGCTGGTGACCAGAGCCGCTCTACCCTCGCGAATGACATCTGGCACACAGCGGATGTCGAAGACTCTTGAAGTGAAAGGCGCTGCCACGGAGGCCTCAGCTTCCGAAAGAGATATGCCCACATCTGCTGCTTTCAGCGCACCACAGTCGTTGGCGCCATCTCCGCAGAAGCCCACACAGTAGTCAATGCTCTGTAGTTTCTCTACGAGCTCGTGCTTCTCGTCTGGTGACATCCGGGCAAAAATCTTGCCACGAATGAGCATCCTGTGAAGGACATCTGTGGGAGCGTAGTCGATGACCCAGCGGAACACATCTCCACTGACAGCGAGAGAGTAGTTTGACAGATTTGTAATGTCGTATGGCAGAGAAATGTCCCGATCAGCTGGGATAGGCAGGGGTAGTAGAGTACGGCTGTCCAGCTTCAGGTTGTTGTCGTCAATGCTCTCCCATCGAAGGTCAGCATTCGGGTCCTGGAAGTTCCCTTCTGCAAAATGGGGAACGAAGCAGGGTGCACTCTTTTGAATGAGGCCACAGTTTCTGGACACGCTAATGGCAGTGAGAATATTGTCTCCTGTTACCATGATCGAGCCGATATTGGACTGTGTCAGTTCCTTCAAGACCGCAGCAGTAGTAGGCTTCAGCTTGTTCTCAAATATGATAAAGCCCACGAAGTCGAGGTCTGACTCAACATCTTGTCGCTTCATCTTTTGGGTCTTGACCCAAGACAGCTTCTTAAGATGCTTTGTTGCGCAGGCAATGACTCGATACCCCTTGTGCGTATAGTAGGAGAGTAGCTCCTCGTAGTCCGACGGGAATGACTCCGCACGACAGATCTCTCTCATGCACTCTGGTGCCCCCTTCACATATATATCCACACTCTGCTGCCCAAACGCTCGTACAATGACGCTGGCACGGCGGAGCTGTGAAACAAACTCGAAGGATTTCAAAACACCCAGTTCAACCTGTACGTTTCTCCCCTGAGCAGATCCAAACTCATTGGTATCGTAGAGAGGCAAGGGTGGCGGGCGTGCAACCGAGGGAGACAATCCACCCTGCTCCTCGTCCTCCTGTTCACCACCACCACCATGGCCTTCTTCGAAGGACCATCCAGTAAACTCAAACATTTTGAGATCGAGAGGATCACCAACAAGCTCGTCGTCCACGGATCGAAGTGAGTGGCAGGTGGCCATCGTAAATAAGGCCGCCCGGCTGCTGTCGTGAAGGTTCTGCGGGGTGGTCTCGTAGTCCGTTGGGCGTACAAGCGAGGATGCCTTCGACACCATCTCATCAAATTTCTTGGTGGATCGAGAAACAAGCCGTAGGCCCAGGACATCGAGACCTTCCTCCGTCAGGGTACCTGTTTTGTCAAAGCACATGACGTCGAGCTTCCCTCCAACGTTGACCCTCTGGGGACTGATGCAGAAGATCTGCTTCTTTTTGAGCCGGCTCAGTGCAAAATTCGTACCGATCGTCAGAGTAGCTGGCAAAGCCGGGGGCACGACGATTGTGATCAGATCTAGGGCTCGGACTACAATCAAGTGCCACGCCAGTCCAAGGCGGATGAAGTTGACAAACGATACAACGAAGCCGAGGAGAGCTACGCATCCCATGACCGCTATGTAGCGGAAGGAGTCGCGGTAGAACTTAAAACCAGACGGCTTTGGGAACAACATGGAGCGAACGAGTGAGCCCTTTGTTGTGTTAAAGCCAGTCCTTACGACCATGGCTAACGCAACACCTTCATCTTCTCCGCCATCCTGGGGTCGCCTTGCTCGGATGATCTTAGTGCCGCAGAACAGAAAGTGGCGGGCGGTTTCGGGAGAGACTGTGGCAGCACCTAAGCCCATGGAGCTCAGAGTCTCATCTGTAGCAGGTATCTTGGATACAGGCACCGACTCGCCTGTGAGCATGCTCTCGTTGACGATGCAATCGCCACTCAACAGGAGACTGTCACTTGGAAACTGTGACAGACTTGGATCGCTGACCTCGTAGACATCTCCGGGGACCAAGTCGCTTGAACAAACATTCGCCCAGAATCCGTTTCGAAGTACTCGCACGTCGCATTCGAAGCGGGAGATCTCGCGAAGCCGCTTCATCGTCGAGCGGGTCTCGACAAGCGTAGCTATGATACTACCTGCAGACATGACAAAGATGCAGACAGCATAGTAATAGTACTCATCGAGGGACCAGAGGATCAAGCTGGCGATCTGGAAAACATAAAAGGGATGGAACACCTCGTCGACAAGGAGTTGCGGTATAGACTTCTGCTCGATATCGATCATGTTTGATCCAAATACATACTCGCGCTGCTCCTTCTCTTCTCCGTCTATTCCAGCGCGAAGGGCCCGAACATGGGTCCAGCTGGGGTCCTGCCACCCACTGCAGATGACGAACTTGTCTTTCAGAGGGTGGAAGAACAGGCGCACATAACGGTAATTCAACACGCGAAGTTCCGAGAACAGCGGATCTGCGTCGTCATCGAACATTTGCGCAAATAGCTTCTCAGGTGCTCCGAAGACGGTGGACAGCGGGCGGTCGTAGGGACGGGCGGACACCGGGAGTATCGAGAACTCGCCCCATTGGTTTTCGAGGACAACCCAATCGCACCTGTGAAGCGGGCATGGCTCTCCTATCAACCTGACATGCCAACGAGGAAGCCACCGGAGAAGTAGATAGGCAGCGCCAAGAGTGGCTAGACACAAGAATAGGTAGATGGCAAAGCCTATACGGCTGGTGCGGAAACCGGCAATGACAACCGTAAGATCCTCGTTGACCATGTATAGCTTCTGGCTTATGCGGCCAGAAAGCTCAGCACTTGTATCGGAGCGACCGCTGTTGGTTCGCAGTAACCTCGCGTGTACAGAGCTCCGCGAGTGGGTGGACGACCTTCGGCGCATAGCAAAGTCCTCGTTGCTGTCTTCTTGGTCAAGGTCTGCCATGGAGCTGTCATCGTCCACGGCCTGGGTCTCCAGACCAAAGGGGATATCGTCGATATCCAATGCGACCGAGCCGTCCTCGTCGTACAGCGGCCGGCCATCGTCATCGTAGACAGCGGGTTCCTCCTCGTCCTCGTTGTAGTACGTAAAGCTCGCGGTGGAATCGGCGCGACCGCGGCGATGTGAGAAGGCCGACACGCTGGTGGGCAAGCTCTCGGCGACGGGGCCGGAGAAGAGCTCATCGTGGGCCATCTCGACATCCTCGAAGACGCTTGTGCTGCTGTGGTTGGAGCTCATCCGGTACAAGGGCGCGTGCCCGTTCCCGTGCCCATGCCCATTGAGCCGGCGGCCGTTGGGACGACCGTCCTCAGGGCCGTCCATAGTGAGGGAAGTGGAAGTGTGCTGTCCCTATGTCTCACGATGCATCATACATACGCGCCGTCCGTTGCCATAGCCCTAGACCCCGAGTTATTGGTGTAGAGGTGGCCCAGGGATCAATTCTGTAGGAACAAAGTTCGGAGGACTAGTTTTTGGCACGAGCTGGATCGGATGACGATGTTTCACTGGCCGTGCCTGGTGACCCACCGATTAAGCTTCTCCGACACGATAACGATAAGACCTGGTCGGGGGCCGGGACGGCCAGGACAGGATATCCGAAGTTTACAGCACGCCTACAGATGGTTGGGTATATGTGCCTATGCTGTCGGGTCAACTGCAACACGGTGATGCAAAGATGCGATAATCATGATCCTACCACGATACAGGGCAGCGGCAGTGTATGCAGATGCCGCGCATTTCCTACTAACCGTGAAACGGGGTAACCTATTCATTAGCATCCTGGTGGGATCCATGAAGAAATAATTGTCGAATCCGGAACCAGAAATAATCCAAGCAGGAGGTTCTCTTATCATCCGGGCCGAAGCCGACGATATGATACTGTCCCTTTGCAGCGTTGAGTTTTGCTTTTCACTTTACATGGTCATGTATGCATGATGTACATATTCTGTCTCAGACAAGAGATGGCCTGGAGCGGATGAGGGCTGGGACCTGCCGGCCAAGCTGATATACGAGATGGCAGTCTCGTCCAAGACAGACGACCCCATGCCCGAGTTTGTTAGGTTTGTGGCGCGTGGGATGTCGAGAGCCTACTTCGTGCTGTAGCAAAAAACAGAAGAGTTCCCCAGGTTTCGTGGTTCGGTCGGTGTCGTGGCCGTCTTGCTTCCAAAATTGGCAATCTGGCTCTGGCTCTGGCTCTGGTTCTGGCTCTAGCACATCCCCCCCGCGAAGTCATCTCCACCACATGCTGCGATGGCAACCTCTAGCTGGCAGCGGCACAATGAGATCATGGCACGTTGCAGGAGGTCATGCGTGTCCACGTCTATACATATACAGCGCTGTCTTCTTTGCTTGTTTTCTCCGTAGCAAGGTACCCGGCGGCTCACCGCCCTGGGCGGACAAGGAGACGGCGGGCCACGGATGGATGGGATCCAAAATATCCAAATGGCTTTCTCTGCTCCCCCAATTGCAGTTACACGCGAGTAATTCATCAATAACAAAGTGCCAAAGACGGCTAGACCGGGCCGGATAAGCTGGGTGGACTCGACGGCCTAGCGTGTTCTACCGTGACCCAACACTTTTTTTTTCTTCCCTTCCCATGCTTGATAGACTTGAGGGGTGGGCAAGGTGGGGTAGCAGCAGCGAAAGAAAGCGGTGGGCCTTACTGGGCTCCAGCTCGGCCTGCCCAGCTAATGGGCGTGGGCGTGGTTGCTGGGTTTTGGGCTCTTTGCTGGGCTCGCGCTGCCAAGTTCCTCCGCCTGCCCACCCCCTCCAAAAATTCAGTCTGGCAGGACTTTGGGTTTCCAGTCGCTGCACCGCAACGCAATTGGGACGCACCAACAAGCAGCACCAGGGCTTTTTAGTTAGGTCAACGTGAAGCAGATCTTGCTCTGCATTCTCTGCAGGCTGGACTGGACCTCCAAGTGCCCCCCTCCCCCTCTCCACCCACCCGCCTGCCACTCTGCCACTCTGCCACTCTGCCACTCTGCCGCTCCAGCACGCACGTCGCACTTCGCCCTTGGCCTTGGCCCTCGACCTCTGGGCCCGACTGACTTTTTTGCTGGTCCCTCCACCTCCTTCCCATCTCCCCCCATCCCACCTTCACCTCCCTCGACTGCACATACACCACCCATCGTCGACTTATACACGTCGCCGTTTGAGACCCGTGCTAGCCCAACCTCGTCGCTGAGTGACGCGACGCCACCGACTTGCACAGAGTCGAGTCATCCCGCTTGCACCTCTTTTTCTCTGATACGCCTCCTCCCCTCCGGAGCCGAGTCTTCTTCCTCCCACCCACACAACAACATTCACACTCGTCGCCATGGCTGAGCCCATCAAGAACAGACGGGACGTCACTGCCCCGTGAGTTGCCCTCCTTGTCCTTTCTCGCCGTCAAATTCGAGCTGTAGCTGTGTTTTGCTGGGCGTGAAGGCGCATGGCGTTTGCTGGGCGGATGGACCTGACGGTGCTAACATTTACCTTCTAGGACCCCGCAGAACACTCCCGCCAACAACGCCCCCATCTCTTCCCACGCACAACAGCCTGGCGTTGCCAGCATCAAGGAAGGTAAGCTCGGCCCCGCCAATCCGCCGTGTTCCCGTCCATGGCCGTACTGATTTCCTGCCCCGTTCAGATGACATGGCTGAGCGCGCTGCCGCTGCCTCTCTCTTCGCCCAGAACCCCGCTCTTGTCTCAATGATCCAGGGCCGCCTGGGCTCCCTGGTCGGTCGCTCGTCCGGTTACATCGAGAATCTCCCTGCTCCCGTCAAGCGCCGTGTTGCCGGCTTGAAGGGCATCCAGAAGGAGCACTCGAAACTCGAGGCCGAGTTCCAGGAGGAGGTCCTCCAGCTGGAGAAGAAGTACTTCGCCAAGTTCACTCCCCTGTACCAGAAGCGTGCCGAGATCGTCAACGGTGGCACTGAGCCCACCGACGAGGAGGTCGAGGCCGGCGAGGAGGACGATGAGGAAGATGAGGAGGCTGCTGAGGGCGAGAAGGAGCCCGAGGAGAAGCCCGCCGAGTCCACCGAGAAGGTCGACGGCATCCCTGAGTTCTGGCTCTCTGCCATGAAGAACCAGATCTCCCTGGCCGAGATGATCACAGACCGTGATGAGGCTGCCCTGAAGCACCTCACCGACATCCGCATGGAGTACCTTGACAAGCCCGGCTTCCGCCTGATCTTCGAGTTCGCCGAGAACGAGTTCTTCACCAACAAGACCATCACCAAGACCTACTTCTACCAGAACGAGAGTGGGTATGGTGGCGACTTCATCTACGACCACGCCGAGGGCGACAAGATCGAATGGAAGGAGGGTAACGACTTGACGGTCCGCATCGAGAGCAAGAAGCAGCGCAACAAGAGTACGTCATTCCCGCCCGCTCTCCAGTCCACCTGTGGATGCTAACCGCATGACAGACACTAAGCAGACCCGCATCGTTAAGAAGACCGTACCTACCGAGTCCTTCTTCAACTTCTTCTCACCTCCCAAGGCCCCCACTGATGACGACGATGACGCCGCATCTGACATCGAGGAGCGCTTGGAGCTGGACTACCAGCTTGGTGAGGACATTAAGGAGAAGCTGATCCCCCGCGCGATCGATTGGTTCACCGGCGAGGCGTTGGCATTCGAGGAGATAGAAGACTTCGATGAGAACGACCTCGACGACGAGGACGATGAGGATGACGACGATCTTAGTGATGATCGTGATGAGGACGACGAGGAGTCAGAGGAAGATGTACGTTTGCCTCTCCCCATTCGTCCCTGAAGACACCCTTGACTGACTTGTGAACCAGGATGATGGTGCCAAGCCCAACAAGGAGGCCGCTGAGTGCAAGCAGAGTTAAGCAGCTTTCCAAACTGCCACCAACTTGTTCCCATCTTGTCTACGTACGCGTCACCGTCTTTTGAGGATGGACTTATAAAGCACCCGTTTCGAGATCAAGACCCAGCATTGATCTTACTCCATCCCCCGTGACGCAAAAAAACCCCCCACTGTCCTTCAGCTAGCATTCTCACCCACATCCCACGAGCATCGTCGCGAAGACGACTCGTCGCTTTCGCATGCATCTACCCCCCCCCGGATTAGACTGGCATTCCCAACAGGTTATAGGCTGATTTCGGAATCTCATTCTGCGTTGATTGGACCTTGTTATGTTTTCTACTGAGCACAGGCTGGTCGGGAGGTTCGGAGTGGTATCCCAGACCGGCAGTACCATAATCTGATAGAGACAGATGGAACCAGGATCGGATTCCCGGTTGAGAATGAGAGCAGACACATTCCGGCTTACAGGAGAAAAAGGTCGCGAGGTGAAGAATCGTCAGATTGCGGGCCAGGGCATACCAATTGCACATATGTAAATGTACGTAGCACATGGAAGTTGATTCTCAAGCTCCGTTGTTCATGTGCTACGCTACATACATGTTTTTTTTGGGGGGCGTCTCTAATTTCGATACATTTCCCGGACTCCAGCCTGTGCCCAGCCGAAGCCTGCCTATAATATTAGTTTTCAGCCCTCTGCGGCTTCTGTTTAAATTCTCTGACAGCAATGCATGCCTTGTGTTCATCTACTTGCGCCGCGTGTTGTCCGGATCAAGCCGGCTACGTGGTTTCCAGCCCTACCCAGGCGAAGGTCTGTCCGCATCCCTTCCATTAGTAACGGCGCTGGTCCATGATGCAATCCGATGGCGGAGGGCAAATGGGACGGGTGGGAAAATTCGTCAGGAGCTGTCACAATAGTGCAAGCCAAGACAAGCCCCAAATCTGGACCCTGGAGCCATATCCAGCCAATCAGCGGCCGAGGGGCTGCTTCGTCGACCCGTTTATGCAATAATTCTGCATCATCCCCCCAATCCATGCGAGATGTACCGCGGGGTCAATCCCGTCACTGCTATTCCTTCAATACTGGGACTCAAGGAAAATTTCCGGCCAGCGAATCTGACTCAACTTCCTGTCCATATATTCAGGAGTATTCCGCCCACGTGTGATTGATACCATTGAGAGTCTCCCAGTGTAACACATCCTCCACCATGGCTGCACCGCAAAACATTGTCCAGATTCCCAAGCCGGACTTCGCTCATCGGCTGAGCGTCTCGACGTCACCTACTGCCACATTCCACTCCCCGCCGGCCAGCTTCAGCGGGGCGCTCCCGACCCGGGCGGCACCCAAGCAGTTGAAGCCGTTCAACACACAGGACATCAAGATCCTGCTGCTGGAGAATGTGAACCAGAGCGGCAGGGACATCCTGACCGGTCAGGGTTACCAGGTCGAGGCTCTTAAGACTTCGCTGCCCGAGGACCAACTCATTGAGAAGATCCGGTGAGTCACTGGTGCTACATTTTCAGGATTTACCGATGAACTTTACGGGATGGCTGACTTCTTGTGCCTTCACAACAAAAGAGACGTCCATGTCATTGGCATCCGTTCCAAGACCAAGTTGAATGAGAAGGTCTTGCGTGAGGCCAAGAACCTGCTGGTCGTCGGATGCTTCTGCATTGGCACGAACCAGGTAGACCTGGAGTTCGCTGCCAAGCATGGTATTGCCGTCTTCAACTCGCCTTTCGCCAACTCGCGCAGTGTGGCCGAGCTGGTGATCGGAGAGATCATTACCCTTGCTCGCCAACTGGGAGACCGCTCAAATGAGATGCACCGCGGCACGTGGAACAAGGTCAGCAACAAGTGCTGGGAAATTCGTGGCAAGACCCTTGGTATGTAAGCCCCGTCCCTTTGCTTACAGAGTTGCGACTTACCAAAATTTCACAGGCATTGTTGGATATGGTCACATTGGCTCTCAGCTCTCAGTATTGGCAGAGGCCATGGGCATGAACGTTATCTATTATGACGTTATCAGTTTGATGGGACTGGGTACCTCTCGACAGGTGCCAACCCTGAACGAACTCCTGAACGAGTCCGATTTTGTTACCTTGCACGTCCCCGAGCTCCCCGAGACCAAGAACATGATCTCGACGGCCCAGTTCGAGCAGATGAAGGAAGGTTCCTACCTCATCAACGCAAGCCGTGGAACTGTCGTCGATATCCCGGCCTTGATCAACGCCAGCCGCAGCGGTAAGATTGCTGGCGCAGCGTTGGATGTCTACCCTAATGAGCCTGCGGCCAACGGCGACTACTTCACCAACGACCTCAACACCTGGGGCGAGGATCTGCGTAGCCTGAAGAACCTGATCCTCACGCCTCACATCGGTGGTAGCACCGAGGAGGCTCAGCGAGCTATCGGTGTTGAAGGTGAGTCCGCACTCACATGCCAACTACGTCCGATCCAAAGATCTCTAATAATTTGCGTATAGTTGGTGATGCTCTTGTCCGATATATCAACCAGGGTATTACGCTCGGCAGTGTCAACTTGCCCGAATGCAACCTGCGTTCATTGACCCTCGAAGAGCCAGACCACGCCAGAGTTATCTACATCCACCAAAATATTCCGGGTGTCCTCCGCAAAGGTGAGTAGGACACCTTCAGTACAACTGACTAAAGGCTAATTTTCGATTCCCAGTCAACGAGATTTTGGGCAACCACAACGTCGACAAGCAAATCAGTGATAGCAAGGGTGATGTGAGTCTAAATTCCAACATGTAACAACGATGCGTGTGGAATCTAACCCAGAATAGGTTGCATATCTCATGGCAGATGTCAGCAGTGTCGGAATTGAGGACATCAAGGAGATTTCTGAGTCCCTCGAGGCCTTGAGCTGTAAGTTGTCCAACAAGAAATCTAGCTGGCCACTTTACTAAGACGAAGCAGCACGCGTCATGGTCCGTGTCTTGTACTAAAGCAGGTAACGAACTGTCGCAGTAAGGACAGTTAAGGTACTGGAGTTACGTCAGCCCTAATCAAGGGAAATGTCCATAACCAGAAAGGAGCATGAATCATTCAACACGAGCGTCTGGAGCACATAGGTCTTTTTGAAAAGTTGGGAAAACAAGAAAACATTTTGAGACCATCGAGGAGCTCCAGTTGGTTGACGGAAAGCGAAAGGTTCAACAAGCATATACCACGGGAAAAGAGCAAGGAGAAACATAGAGTGCATAGCCATGGGCGAAATGGTCTTCAGCATGATAACTTCATTTCACGTCTACAGTGTGCATGAGCGACCAGTGGTTTGTTTTGCCTGAAAAACAAGAGCATCGGGCCGCTTCAAGGCCCGTGATGCGCCGGTAGACTCCGGCAGACTCCGGCAGCCTTGCTAGGCTCAATGTTTGTGAGGCTCAGGCTCCTCCGAGCTCCAATGTCCGAAAGTTGCGTGGTATACTCGTAAAACGGCAGAAAGCGCCCAGTGCTCGCAGGTATGGGGATTGGATGAACGGGGGGCCTTATGGAATTGCTAGATCTACATTACGGATTCATGCGAGTCCCGGGCTGAGGGTTTCTCGAAGGGATCTTCGGCGTTTCCTCTTTGGGACCACCAAGGGGACGCTGAGAAAATCCGCCCAGACCGCGTCATGCATTCAAATTGAGAACAAAGAAAGATGCGCCCGGAAGCTGTCTGGGATTTGCAACTGATCACCGACCGGCAGATCGCATCCCATGCAGACTACAATACACCTGCGTCCCGCCTCATCCGGAGCAGCTTTGGAAGGAAGTCGGTGGCATGTCATCTTGAATGGCGGTCGACAGTCCCCAGCACAATCGTGTGAAGGCCCCCCTGCAGAAAAAAATTAGAAAATAAGAAAAAACTGCCAGGGGTCGGCGCGCTTTCTGCACTCGACGATGCGTGATCCGGCCGTGTCCTGCCAATGGCCACCATAAAAAGTTTAGGGGGACGTGGAGAAGGGTGCCCCCAGGCTTGCCAGGCTTGTCCGCTTCGGGCCTGGCGCATGGATGCTGGTCCATTTTTCTGGTTCCTGGGCTAAGGTAGGGAAGGGGTGCCATGCGGACCAAAACCATCGAGGGTTGCACCAGCGGCAGCGCCAGTTGCACGAGAATCATGGGCTGGTAACTAGTTAACGTATTCTTCCCTCGCTTGACGACTCCCAGAGCCCTGGTTTCTGAGCAGGTTATGTAGCTACGGGGACATCGCGTCGTCTTCGGCGCGGAAAAGACATGGCTGGCCGCAGGGGCCCCCCGAAATGCTGCAGCGAGGTTGATGAGTGAACACAACGCCGTGAGCTTTCCTTCTCGGCGAGAACCCACTCTCCGTCTGCCAGCCATTCTCGGGGCGAGAGCAGACCGCTGCTTTGCTAAAGGGGGGCGTTCTCAAACCCCAGCCTCTGCCAGTGATGTGCTGTACAGTACCGTGTATACCTCGTCCGTAGGGACCCCATTCAAAGGTGAGAAGCCGTGGAAAAGCACAGGCTACGGTACGTAGCTCTAAGCAGCAGTGAGGAGAGAAGGGGGCCATGCGCCCAGTAGCATTTACACCAGAGCGCCACAAGAGAAAGGCTGGCCCCAGTGCACTGAAGGTTTCTGATGCATAATAATGCGACAGCAAGTGCAGACCATGCAGGCCAGTCGCCAGCAGCTTGTTTCATGCGAGCTCTTCGCAGGTGGACTACACGGTAGATTGGGGCTGGGGGGCTGGTTGCACTGTGAGCCGGCGCCAGCGTCTTTCTTCTACCTAGGTAGGTATTGTTGCTGCTCAGGGGCGCCCCGTGGCAAGCGGGAGGACCCAGTCGCGCGTACCGGACACACTGTAGAGCGGGCTAGGTAGAGAGGCAGAAGATGGGGGGCCTAGGGGCGCTAGGGGGCAGCTGGGTACTCTCAACTTGCCCACGGCGCAGATCCGCCGCCAGAACGGGTGTAGCGGTGACCTCGTGGGGATCGTCTGCGCCGGGCTTGGACAGCTGCAATTCGTAGCTGGAGGCCAGAGGGGAGAGACCAAAGGGGACCCTTTTCCCACGCCCCCCTGTCCCGCTCGTCGTCGATTGCTGGCGGGTGCTGCTGCTTTGGCCTGGCTTGGCCTGGCAACTGGCTAAGGTTGTGGCTCCTGATCCCCGAATTCTGGCTGGCGTAGCAGCAGCCTGGCTCTCTGGACGAACCGACCTGGACATTGCATTGGATTTCCATGGTGAACCCTTCTGCTGTCTACCGCACCCTGCGCATCTATCAGCTTTGCATCTGACTGCTCATCCTCCCCATCAGTGCTTCCAGGGACAAGACTACGGCGAGATAGACCTCCCTCCGCGTCTGGTCTCCATCTCATCCCTCCTCCTCCTCCTTTCCCAGCTTAGGTTGACTTGGGAAGCACGCACCAGCGGTACAGCTCCTCCTGTCGACGGGCCGCTCGTACTCCTTGTCTGCATCTCACCCCTGGTGGCTGTAGACCCTTCGTTCACCTTCTTCTTCTTCGGTCCCAGTAGATATTTTTGATCTCTCCCCCAATTCCCATCTCCGGCCCCGTTGGAGCCTCTACGAATGTATTCTGCTCCGGCTGCCCCTTAACAAACAGCCCACCCGACTTTTGATACCCTCTGGCATTTCCTCTCTGACGTGATACGACACCCCAACGCCCATCTCGTTCCGAGGTCGAGCTTCGGACACAACACCCGCAACCACCTTCCTCCCCTAATCTGAGCGACGACATTCACAGCTTCCGCCCCCATGTCGCAGAGCTACGATGTCGGGACAAGAGCCTGGCAGCCCGATGCCACCGATGGCTGGGTGGCATCCGAGGTTGTCAAGAAGTCAGTCGATGGCAACAAGGTGATTCTGGAGTTCAAGCTCGAGAATGAAGAGGTACGTCCCAACAGCTCCTTCCGGGATTCCAGAGCACCGTGGGAAACCATACGAGTAGACAGAAGCCGAGACTGACCTGCTCTGCCCCCCTTTCCAGATCAAGACGATCGAGGTCTCTCTCGACGGCCTACAGAGCGGCAACGATCCCGCCTTACCGCCGCTGATGAACCCGACCATGCTCGAAGCCAGCGATGATCTGACGAATCTGTCCCATCTGAACGAACCTGCCGGTATGAACGCCTATTGCAACACCCCTTGAAGAACTCCCAAGGCCGAGCTCGGTAGCTCGGCTACAGAACCATAAAGGATCCATGTGCTGACACGCCTGACTCTACAGTTCTGCAAGCCATCCGGCTGAGATACATACAGAAGGAGATCTACACATACAGTGGTATTGTGCTAATAGCTACGAATCCCTTCGCTCGAGTCGACTCGCTCTATGTCCCGGGCATGGTGCAAGTCTACGCTGGCAAACAGAGAGCGACCCAGGCGCCGCATCTGTTTGCCATCGCGGAAGAAGCATTTGCGTAATGCGGCCCCGGTGTTCCACCTGCAAGATGACAAGCGCTAACGATCTGGTACAGAGACATGTTGCGAGACAAGAAGAACCAGACCATTGTGGTTTCCGGAGAATCTGGAGCAGGAAAGACGGTCAGCGCCAAGTACATCATGCGATACTTCGCGACCAGAGAGTCGCCAGACAACCCAGGGGCCAAGTCGAAGAAGGGTGCCGAAGCTATGAGCGAAACGGAGGAGCAGATTCTCGCTACCAACCCTATCATGGAAGCCTTCGGTAACGCAAAGACAACCCGAAACGACAACTCCTCGCGGTTCGGCAAGTACATCGAGATCATGTTCGACGATAACACAAACATTATTGGAGCCAAGATTCGCACATACCTGCTCGAGCGGTCAAGACTGGTGTTCCAACCTCTGAAGGAGAGAAACTACCACATCTTCTACCAGCTCATTGCTGGAGCGTCGGACGCAGAACGGAAAGAGCTGAGCCTTCTGCCTGTGGAGCAGTTTGACTACATGAACCAAGGCAATGCCCCTGTGATCGACGGCGTTGACGACAAGGCCGAGTTCGAGGCTACGAAGAAGTCTTTGACAACCATCGGTGTCGACCAGACCCAGCAGGTTGGCATCTTCAAGCTGCTTGCCGGTCTGCTGCACCTGGGTAACGTTAAGATCACCGCCTCCCGGAACGACAGTGTCCTGGCCCCCGATGAGCCTTCCTTGGTGAAGGCTTGCTCCATCCTGGGAATTGACGCCGCCAACTTCGCCAAGTGGATTGTCAAGAAGCAGCTCATCACACGTGGAGAGAAGATCACATCCAACCTGACCCAGCAACAAGCCATTGTCGTGAGAGACTCCGTCGCCAAATACATCTACTCGAGTCTCTTTGACTGGCTTGTCGAGGTCATTAACCTAAGTCTTGCTACTGACGAGGTCCTCAACCGCGTGTCCTCTTTCATCGGTGTCCTCGATATCTACGGTTTTGAGCACTTTGCCAAGAACTCGTTCGAACAGTTCTGTATCAACTACGCCAACGAGAAGCTCCAGCAGGAATTCAACCAACACGTATTCAAGCTCGAGCAAGAGGAGTACGTGAGGGAACAAATTGACTGGACTTTCATCGACTTCTCGGACAACCAGCCATGTATCGATCTGATCGAGAACAAGATGGGTATATTGTCCCTCTTGGACGAAGAGTCCCGTCTCCCCATGGGTTCGGATGAGCAGTTTGTCACCAAGTTGCACCACAACTTTGCCGGTGGCGAGAAGAACAAGTTCTACAAGAAGCCCCGTTTCGGCAAGTCTGCTTTCACCGTCTGTCATTATGCCGTGGACGTGACGTACGAGTCGGAAGGCTTCATTGAGAAGAACAGAGATACGGTGCCCGACGAGCACATGGAGGTTCTCAGGGCCAGCACAAACAAGTTCCTCGGACAGGTCTTGGCCGCTGCTCTCGCTGTGCGTGAGAAGGACGTTGCGTCGGCGGCCTCGAGCGTCGCAAAGCCTGGTGGCGGCAGAAGGATCGGAGTTGCTGTTAACCGCAAGCCAACTCTGGGTGGTATCTTCCGTTCGTCGCTCATTGAGCTCATGAACACCATCAACAACACGGACGTGCATTACATTCGCTGCATCAAGCCCAATGAAGCCAAGGAAGCTTGGAAGTTCGAGGGTCCCATGGTTCTCAGCCAGCTGAGAGCTTGTGGTGTTTTGGAAACTGTCCGCATTAGTTGTGCGGGTTACCCGACAAGATGGACCTACGAAGAATTTGCTCTCCGTTATTACATGCTGGTCCCTTCGGCGCAGTGGACTGCTGAGATTCGACAAATGGCCAACGCCATCTTGTCCAAAGCTCTGGGTGAGAGCACCGGTCAGGGGCAGGACAAGTACCAGCTCGGTTTGACCAAGATCTTTTTCCGTGCTGGTATGCTTGCGTTCATGGAGAACCTCCGAACTGAGCGCCTGAACGCCGCCGCCATCATGATCCAGAAGAACCTGAAAGCCAGGTACTACCGCAGCAGATACCTGGAGGCCCGCAATGCCGTCGTTGGATTCCAGTCTGTTGCGAGAGCCTTCGTCATCCGCAAGAAGGCCCAAGAGTGGCGCACCATCAAGGCTGCCACTACAATCCAGAGAGTCTGGAAGGGCCAGAAGCAGCGCAAGGCATTCCTCAAGATCCGTGCCGACCTCGTCCTTGCCCAAGCCGCCGCCAAGGGTTTCTTGCGGAGAAAGGAGATCATGGAGACTCGTGTTGGCAATGCCGCACTCCTCATCCAGCGAGTCTGGCGGTCAAGGAGGCAACTCCGCCAATGGAGAAGTTACCGAAAGAAGGTCGTGCTTGTCCAGAGCTTGTGGCGCGGAAAGCAGGCAAGAAAGGGTTACAAGAAGGTCCGCGAGGAAGCTCGCGATCTGAAGCAGATCTCGTACAAGCTCGAAAACAAGGTCGTCGAGCTCACCCAGGCGCTGGGTACCATGAAGGGCCAGAACAAGACTTTGGTCAGCCAGGTCGAGAACTACGAGAACCAGATCAAGTCCTGGAAGAGCAGACACACGGCCCTGGAGACCCGTACGAAGGAGCTGCAGGCCGAGGCAAACCAGGCAGGTATCGCAGTTGCGAAGCTCCAGGCCATGGAGGAGGACATGAAGAAGTTGCAAGTCAACTACGACGAGTCCAACTCCAACGTCAAGAGAATGCAAGAAGAGGAGCGCGAGCTAAAGGAGAAGCTTCGCTCGACCGAGGCTCAGCTCGAGGAGGTTCGCAAGGAGAGCTCCGTCAACGAGGAGACCGTCAACGGCCTCAAGCAGCAACTTGCCGACCTCGTCGACCAACTCGAGCTGGCGAAGCGCAATGGCCCTGTCAACGGCGAGTTGAACGGTCATGCCCCTACTGCTCCTGTCAGCGGGCTAATCAACCTTGTGTCATCCAAGAAGAACCTGGCCAAGCGACGAAGCGCTGGCGAGGAGCCTCGCGCTACGGACCGATTCAGCTCTGCATTCAACCCCCGCCCGGTCTCGATGGCTGTCACCAACGGCGGCCAGCGTCCCTACACTGGCTTTGTTCCTGGTGTGGACAGCATCGAGATGGAGCTCGAGGGTCTGCTTGCCGACGAGGATGGGCTGAACGAGGAAGTCACCATTGGTCTGATCCGCAACCTCAAGATCCCATCCCCCAACCAGAACCCCCCTCCTTCAGACAAGGAGGTCTTGTTCCCATCCTATCTCATTAACTTGGTCACCTCGGAGATGTGGAACAACGGCTTCGTCAAGGAGTCGGAGCGTTTCTTGGCCAATGTCATGCAGTCGATCCAGCAAGAGGTCATGCAGCACGATGGTGATGAGGCCATCAACCCTGGTGCTTTCTGGCTCTCAAACGTGCACGAGATGCTGTCCTTCGTCTTCCTGGCCGAGGACTGGTATGAGGCGCAGAAGACGGACAACTACGAGTATGACCGCCTCCTTGAAATTGTCAAGCACGACCTGGAGAGTTTGGAATTCAACATCTACCACACCTGGATGAAGGTGTTGAAGAAGAAGCTCCAGAAGATGATCATCCCCGCCATCATCGAGTCTCAGTCACTTCCCGGCTTTGTCACGAACGAAAGTAACAGATTCCTTGGCAAGCTGTTGCAGTCGAACTCGGCTCCGGCATACAGCATGGATAACCTCCTCAGCTTGCTCAACAACGTCTTCCGAGCCATGAAGGCCTACTACCTGGAGGACTCTATCATTACCCAGGCCGTCACTGAGCTGTTGCGTCTTGTTGGCGTCACTGCCTTCAACGATCTGCTTATGCGCCGCAACTTCCTCTCGTGGAAGCGTGGTCTTCAGATCAACTACAACATCACCCGTATTGAGGAGTGGTGCAAGAGCCACGATATGCCTGAGGGCACTCTGCAGCTCGAGCACTTGATGGTAAGTTCCGACGAGTCGTTTATAGGCTTGGCACGAATAGCTAACAACATATACAGCAAGCAACTAAGCTCTTGCAACTCAAGAAGGCTACTCTGAATGATATAGAGATCATTCAGGATATCTGCTGGATGTAAGTTGGACTAATGCAAAGTTAGAAAGACATCCATGCTAACACGTAGTACAGGCTGTCACCCAACCAGATCCAGAAGCTTCTCAACCAGTACTTGGTTGCAGATTACGAGCAGCCGATCAACGGAGAGATCATGAAGGCCGTTGCCTCCCGCGTCTCTGAGAAGAGCGACGTTCTTCTGCTCCAGGCCGTTGACATGGACGACTCTGGCCCTTACGAGATTGCGGAGCCGCGTGTCATTACCGCACTGGAGACATACACACCATCTTGTCAGTCTCAATACAGTCGTCACTTGAAATGTAATACATGTACTAACACCTTTGCTACAGGGCTCCAAACCCCTAGGCTGAAGCGCTTGGCTGAGATAGTATCTGCGCAGGCCATTGCTCAGCAAGAGAAGTACGAGGATGATGACGAGTACGACGGAGAGGGCGGTATTCCTGAAGGTGAAGAGCCCCAGCAGATCGAGGCTGCGGCTTAAGAATCTTACTATACACATAAACACCTCGGACTCTTCTCGACGAGGGTTGCGGGACTAATCCGTCCTCTTTAAACACGGGTAATTTTGACGGTAGTTTCTTCGGGAAGGAACAAACTCATGTACAGCGTTTGCGCGAAATGAACAGATGTCTAGTGGATATCATGGGGGTTGTACTAGAAAAGACTCACATGGGCAACTTTGTATGGCATATGGGCGTTCTTTTTGAGAGCTGATCTAGGTGTCCTCTTCTTTCACGCACGAGGCGGGAAGAAGGACACGAGACAGGAAAGGTAGAAGGGGATGGAAATGAATCGGGTCAGGGGGTGGCCAGGAGGGACGTGTACCAAAAAAAGACTATGTAACATCTTCCCCGATGTAGGTTGTACGACTCTTATGTACATGCGGATGATTCATTGATCGACTTGGAGCTTTGCGACGATACTCATTTTGCTGTGCGTACCGGGCGATGGTTGTGGTTGTGACCGCAAATCGTGGTGCTGTTTGATTGCAATGAGGAGCGCTGATTGCTAACTGGGCAAGAAGGCGGTGCCGAGGCCGGGCCGACCATGAATGAAATCATGCGTGATCACAATCGGAATCCGGTAGCAACACTGATACTCCATATGACCTTCGTGAATGACCGACTTGGTTGTTGTCATCGAGACCTCGATCATACTCGGGAGGTTTTGGGCCATGATTGGAGAGCGCGAGATGCCCCACGTGACCAATGAGACGACGCACCCAGCGAAAATATTCACTTGGGCGGAAAAATTCTCTTATTCGATGCGAGACGGCAGACCCCAATTCTTTCCTTTGCAATTACAGATCCAGCAAATTGTACCCAAGTGGTGAAAGGATATTGATTCCTCGCATCGTTCTTGTGACTCTCAGCACATCCGAATCTGTCGGTGTTTTCGCTGATCGCATTCGCCCTGTTTCCGCGGCGCACCCTGTCATAGCGGGGGGTTGAACACGACGAAAGGCGCCAGAATCCGCCAGCCAGCCAGCCAGCCAGCAAGCGAGTAAACGCTTTTAAGGAGGGCACGGAAGAATTTGCAATCGGAAAAGGAACTCTTCAGAATTCTCAGAAAAGTTAAAGCGAGTGGAGAAGGAAAAGGAAAGGCGGAGACGAAGAAGAAGTAACAGAAAGCCAGCCATGCAGCGCTCAGAGCCCAACATCGTCGTCACCGGCACCCCGGGCGTCGGCAAGACCACCCACTGCGAAGTGCTGGCCGAGCGCACGGGGCTCCGCCACCTCTCGGTCAACCAGGTCGTCAAGGACAAGGGCGCGCACGAGGGCTGGGACGACGAGTTCCAGAGCTGGGTCGTGGATGAGGACAAGGTAGGCCGCCTTATGTGTTTCTTCGTTTGGTGTTGAGCCTGGCGGCCTCTCTGAAGCTGCAATGCTTGTATGGACATGGTATCAAACGTGTCAGAGGGGACTGCACTCCGCAGGCGCCTCATCGGCAGATTGAAGCGGACATCGGAGGCATTGTGACTGTTGTACGAGTTTTGGCTAACACACTGTTTCACAGCTGCTGGACGCCATGGAGGACGACGCACAGAAAGGTGGTTGCATAATCGACTGGCACGCGTGTGACCTGTTCCCGGAGCGCTGGGTCGACCTCGTGGTCGTGCTGCGGACGGACTCGACGGTGCTGTACGACAGATTGAAGGCGCGGTAAGTCTATTTTCACCCCCTCTTCCCCTCCGTCCTGTACTTGTCTCTCGGAACGGCTGTTGTGGCAGGCGCTGATGGGCGGACTCGGCTTCTAGGAAATACCCCGAGGCCAAGCTCCAGGAGAACCTCGACAGCGAGATCATGGAGGTTCTGCTGCAGGAGGCGCGCGACTCGTACAGCGAGCAGATCGTCGTCGAGCTGCAGAGCAACGACTCGGACCAGATGGAGAGCAACGTGGACCGCATCGAGGCGTGGGTGACGCAGTGGAAGAAGGACAACCCGGACCGGCAATAGTCGTCTGCGGTCTTATTGCTGCCATGTCGGAAATAATTGGTTTCGTCTTATTACTGGATGTTCTTCGTTGCTGGTCTAGGGAAATAAAGGCACGGGGAGGAATAGTATCAGACGCGCGGGCTCAAGGCTACGATTTCATGGTTTGTGGTGTAAGCTGGACATTGCGATTTGAAGGTTCATCGTAGTAAATAACAGGAACGCTTACACTGCGTGGAAGATTCGACATGCTTTGCATATTATGACACTGGGATGGGTGCTGGAAACGCTGCCACTTGAGGCTCTGTGTACCTTGTAGCTACCGTCATACCTGCATTTCGAAAGCATCCCGAGCGTCACTCATGCCCCTTCTCGGTGTCTGCCAATGGCCTTCCTAGACATCAAACTACCTATGGACGACCATTCCCCCTTCAATTTACTTAGAAAAGTTCCAGGCGCATCGACACGACAGCAATCAACATCCCCTGCTGGCGGATGGCCAAACCTTCAAAGCTGAGGACTGTAGGCTGGTGGTTCGGAGTGTGGTTACCAATGCCACCAATCGATGAGTCTACGATGTTTCGTAGATAGCATGAAAGACTCATTTCAATCGCTACCGAGGCCATTCAACCTGTTCAGCCGTGCAAGAACACAGATATACCACTTCACTGTGCCTCACGCAGTATAACCTACGTTTCCCATCCTTCTCATCGATAATCACACGTCTGAGTCAATAAACAGAGCGTTTCCCCCCGGAATCGGAAAGTTGCTTGGTAATCACGATGCCAGCAACGTTACTTTGCCTGTGCGAATGTGTGTCTTTTGGCGGTGGCTGTAGACGGAATTGCAACATGCAGCTGAAGTCGGGGCTGCCGGGCGCCAAGAAACGTGGGGACACCACCACAGCCGCACCGAAGAAAAACCCAAGCGTGGCCCGCCGGATGTGTCATACCGTTGCCGTTCCGGACTGATAGCGACGCCGTGAATATACAAGGCCCTTCGTTTTGCGAAAGATAAGACGGGGGAGATCCCTTAATCTATCAACTAGACAGACGCAAGACAATTACATCACACGCTAGAACCAAGCCCCACCTCAGAACAAGCGACAACAACTGGCAACCAATTTCGTTCATAGCCATCTATCTCAACTCAGCTCAGCCCATACACCATCACACGCTCCAGACTCAACTGTAGCTTGAAGAAAAGCATCTCAGGCCTCACCTCAGCCTATTTCCCTCTTCCTCAAATTCTCCCACGAGAAGCACCCTGCTAGAGACACCATGGCAGCACCCCCGGTCGTCAACTTCATAACGGGCAACGCCAACAAGCTGCGCGAGGTCAAGCACATCCTGGAGCCGGCCATCACGGTGGCGTCGCAGAGCGTCGACCTGCCGGAGCTGCAGGGCACGGTCGAGGAGGTGACGCTGGAGAAGTGCCGCGTGGCGGCGCAGCAGGTTGGAGGCCCCGTCCTGGTCGAGGACACGTGCCTGTGCTTCAATGCGCTCGGCGGGCTGCCGGGGCCTTATATGTGAGTTTTTCTATTTCATTCCATGCGTTGCTGTTGCGTAGAGTCGGTGTCTGCATCTTCGAGGGGACAGGGGGAGAGGGCTGAAAAGGGGCCTTCAGTGGCACAGTAGACGGCTAGGACAAGATATACGCAGCTTCGCAGTTCTTCATGGGTGCATGAGCTAATACACCTGACAGCAAGTGGTTCATGAAGTCCATAGGACATGAGGGACTGAACAACCTTCTGGTTGCGTACGAGGACAAGTCAGCAAAGGCCGTCTGCACGTTCGGCTTCTCGAAAGGGCCGGGCCACGAGCCCATGCTGTTCCAAGGTGTCACAGATGTAAGCGGCCAAGTATACCCTTCAGGCTGGCAAATAGATTCACACGGCTAATGCGTTCACAGGGCAAGATTGTGCCGGCGAGGGGCCCGGCGTACTTCGGATGGGACCCGATCTTTGAGTACGAAGGGCAAACGTACGCGGAGATGGACCAGGGCGAGAAGAACAAGATCTCACATCGGTACAAGGCTCTGGAGAAGCTCCGGGTCTGGATTGAGAACGGCATGAAGGATTGATTACCATAGCCGCCAACGCAGAATAGAAACGTTCAGTTCAAACTTCAAGTGACAATCTAAAGACGCCAGACTCCCTGCCAAATGCTGATCAGGAGTCGCTGTTCGCTATTGCTCCCGGAGAATGGGCATCCCTCCCACGGCAAACTTCCCCGGCAAGAGAAGGACAACTTGGCAGACTTGCGGATCATCTGTCACCGCGATTTTGCGCACCGGCTGGAAATGCTCGGTTCTTAATTTTGGTGGTGAAAGAGCTGCCGCTTCTCACGATGCCAAGGTCTCTTCTTGTTCCCTCGAATCAGAAGGAATCCTTGAAGTTAACCTAATCATGTTGTCGTCAGTTCCTGCCTCTAGAAAACGTGTGCAAAATCAGGTAGACATACTTGAGTAACTCAAATTCATGAAATCTTTTGAGATACTTGTTACCTCTCCGATATAGCTTGAGCGAGCTATCGGGCGATTTGACCTTGAACTCGCGACGGGAACCGACGTGCTTGACCAGCGAGTCCGAGTCGTGGAACATGGGGTCAAACACTAGCAGCTCCCGAGTCCCATCAGCGCGCTTTTCGATACCTACGATGGTCATGGAATGACCCCGGTGCTGGAAGTAGATTGGAGGCAGCGATGTCTTTCGGACCTTGGCTTCGGGGTCAAAGTCTCCGGACATGAAGTAGTCTTCTACATGCCTCAGCATCTGTGCTTCTGCGGTGCCGGGGTGTGGATCCTTGAAGCCTTGAGCATTGCAGCTGTCAAGAGTGTCAGCCCTCTCTCCGACCGCGGACACGGTGATTAGCTTACGGAATATCGAGGCTCAGGAAGAGTGCCTGGGCCTGTTCTCGGGTCAGTAAGGCTTCAGGTACACACACTGCAAACAACACACCTCAGGGGTTCCAATATATTTACGTGTCCCCCTCACGCCACCCGTCTCAATGCGTCCCTGCGTATTGATACCTCGATCCCATGCATTTTCAATGAGATCTTGAATCTTGAATATGGTAGGAATCTTTCCGTTGAGCTGGGCTGCCCCGGGCGCCTGCCTTCCCACAATGTAGGAGGAAAGCATCTGGATGTTTCTATATCCACAGAAGCCCCCTAGACTGGTGAGTTTGAGGTCGATTCATTGGAAGAGATAGCTGCGACTGACCTTCTCTCTTGAGTTTGGAGATGTGGTTGACAGCTGGGTGACACAGATATGCATACTTGGTTGTTTTGCTTTGCTCTAGGATCTGTGCAAGCACTGGCACCATGCCTGCAGATAATGGAGTCAACCCGTCAGAAGCGTGCCCGAAGGGGAAGGAGGAAGAGGAGGAGGAAGCGAACTTACCACTCTGACTGACCTGGCCCTTTTCTTTGAGCAATTGGACAAGCCATCCTGGCATAACATCTTCGTGCGCATATCTGCCGAGCTCTGATTTCTGTACCGTTTGTCAATAGTCATGTCAGAACTCCAGAACCGCAGCTCAAGCCAACTATCCGTGAGGCACTTACACCAAGCCGCTTCTTTGGAACGCCATTCGCTGCAGTGGCACCCTCCAGGCGCTTCCTAGTCGCCGAAGGCATGCTCAAGATTTGCTTCCATCTGTTAACAGTGCCGTTCTCCCGGTTAATATCATCCGCTTGGTGATCAGCTGCGTGATCCTTCCTGGGCGGCATGTTCTCCTTGGATGTGCTGTTGCCGCTCCCGCTGCCGCTGTACGGAGATCGATACTCATTGCTGCGGCTGCGACTTGAAGCCCTGGTGTCTGTGACGGGTGCTTGATTCGGTGTCAGATCCTCCTCGGCGTTGTGCAGCTCAAGGTGATCGTCGAGTTCGGCGAGGACGACATGCTCCTCGCAGCCATCGACGGGGCACAGTGCAAAATCCTGCTGCTCGGCGCTGACCCCAGTACTGGCGCTTGCCCCGTCGCGCACCACGAAGGGCGACTCCCCTTCAGCGTGGGCCTCCTCCATGTGCTGCGAATCCGTGTCAGTCGCGAACCAAGTTGGTGGAAACGATGATGCAGTCTGCGACTGAACCTACCATGAGCATATGATAGTGCGTCCCGGCATGAAACCCGCAAAACGGACAGTCCTCTACTGCCTCCTCCTCCTCCTCCATAGCGGGGGAGGCAGCGGTGCAAGATGCCATTGTTCGAAGTAGCAAGCAAAGTGGCAGCCTGGCTCATTCCTCAGGGGAGCACGAGTCTTGGCGAAACAGATGGTTGAAAGAAATCAAAGCCGCAAAACACTTTTCGGTGTTTCAAGGCAAAAGCCGAGTTGAAGGCTGTCACACAGAGGGCACTCAAAAGTGAATCGAGTGATGTCGGGTTGCCGACTTGGTCCCGGGGTTTCTGAATTACGTTCGGAAGTGACGGTCAGGCAAGGTCCGTCCCCGACAAAGAGAAGCCGCGGGATTCCTTGCTACGCACGCTCAAAGAACCAGGTATGGAGCACGAAAAGACCCGAGACCGAGGAATATGGATGGATATATTCCTCTGCTGTTGCCCCAGTCCATTCAGATGCGTCCAAATCCTGCCAATATTCAGCGAGCCCAAGGGTGTGTGCGTGGCCTGCTGCTATGCAAATGAGACCAGGCCGGCCGTTCGCGGCGGGACGATCATGCAACACGGACCAGGCAAGTCAGTCGTCGTTGATTTCCACTGCAGCCAAAAGGGAATGTACCCTGAACTCTTTTCAATGTGACACGAGCCTGTCTTTTTTCTTCTTCGTCTCTCACAACTTCGTTGTCTGCAAAAGCAGCCGACGCTCTGCTCCTGTTGCTGTTTTGTTGTCGGCCCTGCTGACTGTCTTTCCTGGTGCTAGCATGCTGCCCCGGGAATGCAAGGGCCCCCGAATCTGGTGGCGCCCGATTTGTGTTAGCTGGCTAGGTGGGCATGTAACTTAGGGGTTCGTTACCAAAACTGACCGAGCTCGCTTATAAGCATACGCTAATCATCATGTCAGGTATGCGCTAAGGACGGGACCCTGCGGATCCTTGTGCAGGACTGCCAATTAAAGCAACGAGCGAAGGCACTCATCGAGGCTTTTTGCATCGAGAAACCTCAAGGTAATATACTAGGCTGATCTTCTCAAGCAAGGTCAAAGCATTTTCACGCATGATCGATCCCTGAGACGTGAACACTGGGAATGTTCTCTTGTGTATCCCGACCCCATATTCATGGCATTTTGAGAGGCAGGTTTCCATGGTTCCAGTTTTTTACGATCTCTACCACATACAACTATAGAAACTAGAACACTTCAGTTCTCTAGTCTCTCCTTCACTCGTTGAGCGGAATTCTGAAGCTCATAATGTCAAGCTTGTATGTAGTACTTGTGTCACACTAAAACACGCGCGAGAGCATGGGAAATGACTTGAGTTGATCCTTGAGGAGCTACAAAAGAAATGGGCTGATGAGCCTGCTATATAGGGGGTGATCCCCCGGATAACGTTGTTCCGCTCCTCCATATATCCCTATATCGTGACAACTTGTCATATCCTTTGCAATAAAATCAAACTGATATGGTCGGAAAGGAGGACGTCCTTTCATTGGTCTATTCTAGAGTGAGAAAACACGGAGAGAAACTTGACATAAATCGACAGCACAGAACCTTTCAGCCCGCTGATGTTGGTATCTCTCTATGTATGGCATGCCTTTCGGTTTAGCCCCTTCATCCTTGCAACGTACCAGAGACCTTGACATTCGCCAAGCCATAGCCAGGTTTCCAAGCGAGAGCCGTGAAAGAAATATGATTCTCGGTCCTCTCAGCATTTCGAGCGTTCCAGTGGATAATCTTGCCGATTTCGGGGCCGTGAAGAGGTTGACAAAACTCTGCGAAGATGGATCAATCCGACCCGGTGCCAAGTCGTATAACACGACAAGTATCGACCTTCGATGACAAAAGAAACACAATAATACTCGACGTCTGTTGCAAAGTAACTCGCCCCGGCAATATACTTGGCATCTTGCATCAGCCTTCGAGTGTAGGAGTACAAAGGTGGCATGTCACTGATGCCACCTTTCGCTTCGGTTACTACGATAGACGACTTGGACTCCAATTGGCTTTGTCATGCCAGAACGTTTCCGTTGAAACGAAGAGGCGTTTGCACCAGCAAATTTGGCGTTCCATACGCATATTCTTCTATCAGTTTGCAGAGTCGCCACATGTTCGCCGTTTTCGGAGACTCCGAAAGTGTAGATATCATCCAAGATTCTAGGGATGAATGTCAGGTGGCGCACTTGGATGTTGATGTTTGACAAGAAATCCGTCACCCTGAGATCAATCATGCCCAAATCAGCAGATTTGCTACTCCTTTTGCCGCTGACATTGCCTATAAGATGGTGAGCTTTTCCTGGCAGCTTCAAAGTGCTTTGATATTTACCTTGAGAGATTTTACGCATGACTTGAGAGCTTGTGGCCGGATCAAGTTTGCCTTGGGTAAGCCCGCTGACCTGAGAATCCACGATGGCAATGGCCTCTCGACCATTCTCCACTTTTGTCGGTGGTCCATCCACTGCAGTATCTGCCGAAGTCTACTGATTCTGATTCTTTCCAGTGTGTTGACCCTCAGCAGGTCGGTGGTGAGCTCCAATTGAGCTGTTACTCGGGTCGTAAGTTCTTACGTCTGACTGAGGGTCGATGGAAAGCGGGCTGTTAGACTTCTGACCTCTATCAGAATGGATCTGGTCAAGGCTCCGCTGGCTAAGAGTATGCTGTACTTGGTCTCTAAGAGGGAGGTATTGATAGGAGGACACCAGTGGTGCAATTTTGGCTGGCAAAGGGCGGCGCTTGACAACATTACCACCACCTTGCACTGCAGCTGTGTACACGTGCGGAGACACGTTTTTGCCCATCATGGAGTCAAGATGTTCCGTCTGCTTTTCTGTAAACGAGATGTTGTCTCCACGCTCTGTGTTCGAATCTGACCGATCTGCATTCTCATCTGGTAGGTCGTCATACACTGTGGCGGCGTAAGTTGTAAGTGAGTCAAGATATCCCTGCAGAACGAAGTCGCGGTCTGTAGCAGATAACTTTTCCTCCAACTTTGCAATCTCGTCCAAGATTTGTATAGTGTCCTTTGTATAGTGTCCTGTTTAATCTCTCCAACATCCTCCAGTATGACACCAGTGTCCTCTTTGGTGGCTTTCGATATCGATCTGACGACAAGTAAGTGAACAGAATAACAAGCTGTATTTTGTTGACGCACAGATTGACCATCTCTAGTGCCAGATGTAATTCTCCCCTGTGAGCCTCAAGGGAATTCTTCAAGCTGGCGACCTCTTTCTTTCCTTCGAGGGCCCATTTAATAGGCCCTGCACGCCTTCGTCGCATATCGACCAACACCTGCTCAATTTTGGCCGTCACATCACCACAGTTCTCGATCACGGTCAAGATTTGCGTGCGCAATGATTCCGAGAACAGAGGATTGCCAGCATCGTCTTCTGTGTCTGCTTTGAGCAGTTCTAAAACGATTTTTAGATCAGAAAGCCCCCGATTCACCGATATCAAGTCTGCGCGTGCTTCGCGGCAATCGCGTATGAACTCGGTGACTGTAACAGTCGTCTGAATGACAACGCCCATGAGCGTCAAACAAGACGTAGTGATGGATTAAGGGTCCATGATGCTTATAGATGATGAGAAGGCTCCCCACGACTGGAAGTCCTGGTTACAACCAGTGACCTTTCTTAGGTCAGGCAGATTCAAGACATTCGGTATTCAGGTCTACAAATTGGCGAGTTGGTTCTTGCATTGTTGGGACACCCCGCACCATTCGGGCTTGGCGACGGGAGAAGTACTAAAAATATAGTCGGCAGGGGGTTGGGTGCTGTGTTGCTTCAGAGGGTTCCCAAGGACAATCTTGTCCGTATCGGCAATCCGATGGTACGTTCGCCGAGGCTTGCCTGCAAAGCCATACCTAGGCACGTATCTGAACACTTATGCGAATCGCACCATACAAAAGTCCATGCAGCATTCCAGAATAGATTTCTCGGCAGCGAGACTCCGTGCCTATTAACGTCAAAAAAGCCTCCAATTTGCTTGATGTTTTCTGAGATTTCTGCTTGCCTTCAGCGCGTTGGCTTCGGTAACTTCATGTCCTGTGAGTCTCTAAGAGGAGGTTCCCCACAGTGGTAATAATGATACCTACGAATAAGTGGTACCATTTCCTGTGTTGGATCTGACAATTTGTTGCTGCACAGGATCCATGGAAGCATCCTACACTGTAGGCCACACCAACGAGGATCTTTCTCCATTCCTGCAAGGGTCAGTTCCGAAGGAACGGGGCCTATTTGAGCGCCACGTTCTCTCGTCCTTGGGAACATCCAACAAAGTGAACATGACTTTGATAGACCCGACAGACTGGCATTTCGAAGCCCATTCCCACAGCACGGCGGTTCGAGTGACTTTTCCGCAATGTTATTTTCAGACCTCCCGCAGGAAATTATCCAAGAGATCCTGATTGCCGCCGTCAATGTGCGAGGCATTAAGCGCGCAACCCGGTTAAGATACGTCAGCAGGTCATGGAACGCCGCTGTAATGGAGGCAATCTTTGCGTCGAGGATCCTCGATCAAGGGAACCCCAAGTACCTGTTCTGGCAGCGCAACCTCGCATACAGGGTAATGGATAGGCCTGGGAGACTCTCCCGGCCACTACGCATCATCCGAAAGGTTGCTGAACACCTTGTGGCTTATCGAAGTCCCAGTGGCAAGAGCTTTACCGACGATGCCCTTAGATGTTGCGTCTTCGAGATATGCAACGTTCCCTTGGAAATGAACTGGAGCGGGAGAGACAGGGATAAGTGGTTTATGGATTCAGACCACTCTATGGAGAGCATCGACCAAGATGATAAACAGTTTAAACAAGCATTACTGGCTGCAGCGGCTTGGACAAACGAAATTGGCTTAGTCAGGGACATTTTGCCGTCTTTCCAAGACTGCGAGTATTTAATCTGTCAAGATGGCCAAGGGCGGCAAGATTTCGGGTAAGTATGCTTGAAAGCCAATTTTAGACATTACTAAAGCATAAGTTGGTGTTAATTATTATACAGGCTTATATTTGGCGAGCCTGTGGACTTGGCTGCCTATCGGGGTCATGACGAGGTGGTCCGTCTATTAATGAACGCCATCACTAAAGGAAGCGAAGAGAACGGCCTATTCTGGGGGAAAATTCTCAAGAACGCCGCTAAAGGAAACCATATCTCTACTGTTAAGCTTGTCCTCAAACCGGAGTACAACTATTGGGATCCATCGCTCGTTGCCGGTCTTCAAGCAACCGCAAGTCTAGAGATTTTCCAGACTCTGCTACCTCTTGCCAAAGACTTTCTCCAGGTCGAACCCCAAAGAAAACCAAATCATTACCATAATAAGTTCTTACCGTCGCAATTGCAACTTGCCGCACGATCGGGCAATGTACCGATGATGGAATATCTTTTCTATTTGGGGGTGAAGATCCCCGCCAAATGGCCGAAGTCCCGCAATCCCGTACTCGAGGCAGCAAAACATGGTCACAAAGACGCTCTAATTTGTCTACTTACCAAAGGGTTCACTTTGGATCAAGACTCGTTCGACGCTGCTGTTCGGTACGGGAACCCTGACATAGTGCAGGTTGCATTGAACAATGCCGGCAAACGCCATTCCTTTACCCAGGCGCTGCTATCTGCGGTAGGGAGAGAGAATCAGTCAGTGACGAGGATGCTACTGTCTCAAGAAACAACAGATCTCGATAATGAAGTTAGGACCCAAGCCTGGTGGACGGCCAAGAAGATGGGACTGGAGTCAATGGCGAGGATGCTTAAACAGGTGCGAGTAATCTGAATTGCGTCATGGGAGACCGCGTGTCTGGAGCACATATCGGCAACTATATGACTAGCCATAGGAGTAAGGTACACTGCCCTCTCTTTCACTACTACGCAATTCACACACATCACCTACACTTCCATGCGCACGTGGTCTAATGATCTATCAGATGGTGTGAGGTAACTCAAACACACTATTCTTTCAGCGATGCCATGTGTAAATTACGCTGCTGATCCCGCTAAACCCTTGAGGGCTAGCTCTAAGTCTGATATCTTCACGAGACGTAAGCCACTGTAAGGTCAGTACCCAGTTGGCGAGCGAACCTCGAGCCGGATAACTGGAAAGAGCCTCGAAACGCTCTAAAACGATACCATCATCTTATTCGACTTATATATAAAAGGGAAAGATGGGTTTAAATGGTAGGGCCTGATGTTGTATTAGTAACCTTATATCGTACCCTTCTCCCTTGTTGTTCTTGATTACTCTAAACTGAGATTATTTCTCTACGGCGTAGAACAATAAACAATTAGCCAGAGCGCACAGTTAGACTCGTAGATATCAACGTCCCTCCCCAGAGTACCCGGTGCTGACAACAAGGATAGATAACAAGCACAAGCTGAGATTTGGCTGTTTAAGAGTTTCTGGACGCGTCTACCATAGCCTGGGCATGTCGACACGACAAGCTTTCAGGGTGTAAAATACAACAGTTGCCTATCACATACAATACTAGGAGCTCACTAGTACAGCGCAGAGTTCGGCGGCCCCTGGTTAGTGCGAATTGCTGGTGCTTGGAGGTGCGTTGCCAAACCACCTAGGCAAATGTGAAGTCACGGAGGTGTATTAGATCCCCCGTCCTTTAGTAATACATAATTTACATACTTCGACTACATTGCCGTGCTTTCACCATTCTGTAATCTATGATGTGGGGCAGACCAAGCATTTCAAAACTCAAGCAGCCCTAATTTTGACTTCAGCTTATATACGACTGCTTGTGCAATGTCTTAATTAAAGTCAGAAGTGGTTGGCAGCCGATAGCGTATTTGTCTTGACCAAAGATATAGTATAGTATCCAGAAGGTAGGCTCGTCACATTGCAGTATGCCGATTATCTAGCAGGGTCTCAGGGTGAGTTCCTACCGACATTGCCGGAACGTCCTATTCAAAAAAAAATCTCTTTAGTAACTTCGTTGCCAACAAAGCTCGGGACCAAAAATAGAAATCCCTGCAACCCAGCCGACCGGTGGCCTATGCCAGAGAATCGTAGAAGAATTTGTTCTTTAGCGGAGAACGGCTATGTCCATGGGAATCTGTTCAAGCTCAAGAAATATTCGAAAGGTCAAGTAGGTGGTGAAGGAGTCACAGGATTCATCGGCGAGTGACGTGTGTCGTGCTATAAGCAACGACAATCATTGAACCGCTGATTCCTTGTAGGCTACAAAACACATCTTTCGGGTTCGTCTATTGGAAGCCTCGTCCTGAAATACATGACTTGGCGGGCAAACACTCGGCGATTGTCCCGGTCTCCGGCGATTTACGGGCATGGAACTGCAGTGATGCACAATAATTGTCACATGCGCAGAACGACACTTGTCAAGAATGCCCACATGATATCTCCTAAATGTTCGGGTTTGTCTTCAACTTTCCGCCCATGACTTTGCCATAACCAAAAGCCCATGCACATGAGGGTAGCCATAAAACCTCATTTTGTGGCCACATTTGACTATTCGAGCCCGAGGCAGGCAAGTTCTTGGGAACATTCAGGCTCGGGGGCCAATTAGGAAAAGAAAATATATCAGCGAGCGCATCCATAGTCTTTGGCCTTGTCCTGTGCGGCGTTTCTGTCACTTGGGTAGTAAGTAAAACGAAAGGAGCACTCCTCTGATTGAACCAGGGGTCCCTCCCCCTTGCTGTGTCACGTGAAGCGTTGATGCACGTTGGTCGTTGGTTGGTTGTGAGATGAAAGGCAGGCTAAGTCAACTTCCGCCGAAACCACAATCCTCTCCTTTCAGGCCTCTCACTGAACTGTCTATCGTGGACGCCACAACGCAACATGGCAGAAAGGCTGTCCCCATCACTACTTCAAAACCTCCAGGTGCGGGTAGGCCCGGAGCTTGAGGTATTGACCGACCAGAGCAGCGCCCGCTTCCAGGAGTTCGCTCAGGGATGGACCAATATTGGCCGTCAGATACCTGGTGCTATTGTCCTTCCGGAGACTGAGCAGCAGATTCAGGAGACGGTTCGACACCCCGGCTCCCCAACTATACTGCCGTTCCTAACATCTTCCTTATGCAGGTACGATGGGCTGTTCAGTCGTCGGTGCCATTTGTCACCAAAAGTGGCGGTCACAGCGAGTGGTCAAGCATCAATGAACGCGGTATCGTCATCAACCTGAAAAAGTTCTCTGGCATCGACGTTGACGCTCCGGGCAAGAAGGCTATACTGAGAGGGAGCATCTTGTCAAAAGATGTCGCCGTAGCTCTGGCTGCGGCGGGTAGCTTTACCGGTGAGGCAATCCGATAAACCCAAATACTACCAACCAAACTGACCCTGGAGATCTCAAGCATTGGGCAACGGCAACACTGTTGGGGCCATTCCCTATTTTCTAGGCGGGGGAGTGTCGGTCACTAGCTCAATCACTGGGTTTGGATCAGACCAGATCTTGGCAGCTCGCATCATTGATGCAAAGGGTAGCCTTGTACAAGTCACAGGGGAGAAGGAACCGGATCTTCTCTATGCTATTCGAGGTGCTGGCCAGTTCTTTGGGCTCGTCACGGAGCTCACTATCAAGATCACGCCTCTATCCGAGCTTGGTAACGACCAAGGCGTTATATGGGTGGGAGCCTTCGTGTTTCCTCTCGAGCGCGCAAGGGAAGTCGCCGAAACCATGAAACCGTTGATGGATGACAGTAAATATGCAACGTCCGGTCTCATCATGATCATGGCCCCTCCACCTGCACGAAATAAAACTCTAGTCATCTCGGCAAGATACACTGGGAACCCAAACCACGCCAAGATTGCTTACAAGCCCCTGTATGACTTGAAGCCCCTAATGGCAAACGGTGGGCCAGTCCCTGTCCAGAACACTAGTGACGCCCGCGAAATGCTTTGTACCAAAGGCGACTTCAAGCGATTCGGCGTCGTCGGACTGAGGCGGTTTAATGTTGACAGCTTTCTTGAAACCGTCAAAGTTTGGCAGACTCTGGTGGAGGCGTGTCCTGATGCTATCAACACGGCTTTCAACTTCCAATGGGATTCTAGACCCCCCAAGACACCCCAATTTGAGTCAGCAATGTCACTGCACGATATAAGGTACTGGCAGTAAGTGGTCGTCTAAACTTCGAGCCTCGGCTCCACATCGCTAATCACATAATTCGAGCAGGAACAATCTTATATGGCATACCGCCGTGAACAAACGGCAACTGGTTGACGAGTTCAATGACAAGTCCATCAAGATCATGCGCGGCCCTGACAAGTCTGAGTATGCCGACTTTCAGAATGGCACTCGTTCGGGGCCGATCGAGTTGCGCTATCGGGGCCCTGGTAAGCTTGACAAGTTGAAGGCGCTAAAGAAGAAATGGGATCCCACAGGAGTCTTCACAACACAGCTTCTGGACTAGAAGAGCATGCTTGGCCGATCCTATGCCGGAGGCGACGGAGGGTGGTCTCAGCTGTGACATCCCCTTTCCGCTTGCTTCACGAAAACTGTAGCGTTGGGAAATGTGTAGAGCATCGATTATGTGTTATAAAGCTGGCTTGTTTTTCACCAACCATATCACAGATGGAGAACACTCCAACCTAGAACTGCGTGTGTCTACTTCAAATGCTCATCACACGGAGGGCAAATTGCCATCAATTCTTACCTATGTCATGGGAAAATGTTTCCCATCAAACGCTTCTCGCTGCAACTTATCCAGCAGAGCTAACTCCTGCTCCTTCTCCAATCGTGGTATCTGCTTCAGGTAGTCCTGAACTCGAACAAGATAGCCCTCTTGTTCAAGCTCGGCTGCAAAATCTGCCGAGGACACTGTTTCGCATTCGGCCGCAATCTGTGCCAAAATTTCCGGAAGTGGCATGCATCCCTCGTTCTTAGCGCGCCACCATGCCATACTTGTAAGATTGCGGCTGACTAAGGTTTCAAACATTTGTTTCTGGGAATGTGTACGAAGTTTGTGAAAGAAATGAAGTCTCGGGGGGTCTATCATAGTTGTTCGAAATGCCAAGGGCTCTAGGACTGCTGGCGTCTCGGTCAATGCTGTGTGCTGCAAGAGCGTCTCAATCGCTTCCTTGGAAAGATTTTTCAGCAAGTTGGGCCAATTTTGTATTCCATACAACGCCAATCGAAGAAGATGACCCGGTGTTGTCTTAAAAACAACGAGCTGAACGTGAGTGCCCTCCGCCTCGTATACGGGTTCGAATATTCCCGACCTCACGGATTCTGGGGTGCCGTGATTAGATTCGGCGTAATGGAAGACCATTATGCGGTTTAGACTGGCTTTGTTGTCCAGAAAAGTATGTATGACTCGGAGTAGGGGATGTATGCAACAAGAACATGGATCAAATAGGCCCAACGCTAGTGTTGAAACAGATGACTGAAGCTGCGAGTGCGTGAAATGCATGGTGTCTATCGATATTTGGTCTAAATCAATGCTGGAAAGGCCTTCCATGTGGATGTCTGCGCCACTGTCCAAGAGATACCGTGTGGTTGACTCTACGTCGGAGCATAGATCTTCAATCGCTCGTGCCTCAGGCTCGTCATAATGATATCCAAGGCCTCCTAAAAGCGTGCAAATGCATATCATGATATATCCAGCATAAGCGGGTGGCAGCTTTTGATCGAAATAGTTCATGTATTGCGGCACCAGCCCCAGCCAGGGGCTTTGTGATAGCACCATGATAAAGTCCGGAGAATTATCTGGCGACCAGGACCAGAAGTTGGGTCCCCTGAAAAATGGAAAGAACGCCTGGTTATCGATTCTGGCACGAGTGTAGACAGAACCTCCGAGCGAAAGTAGGGAATGACGATGTGTTTCGGAAAGAAAATGCGAGTAGCTGCCAAATGGATGTCCAAATAATGGAAACAAGTAGGATCCGAGCGTGAGACAGGGTTGAAAATCTTTGACTTCATCGCACAACTCCCACATCTTGGCCACAGTCAAGTCAACATGGTTTAGCATAGCCAATTGTTCTTCCGGTGTTGAGTCATCATGTACCAGGATGTTGCTTCCTTCCGAACTTGAGAATATGTAGTCCAGCGCCGACCTGTGAACAAATTCGACACGAAGGCTGTGAAACCTAAATTGGCTATTGTACTTGCTTTCCTCGGCAGGCGAGAATTTCATCCTGTGCTCTTTACACTCTAGAAGGCCTGCACAGCGAGTATCGAGATTTCGTATCACGGCATCACATCTTTCCTCGATATATTTAGGACTGATGTTACTTCCATTGAGGAGTTGATGTCGTAGCGTGTAATTTGTTGCGAGCATCAACTCTGCAACATTGATCGCCTGGGCTTCGCCCATCGCACAAGACCATGGGCGGATTAGGGATGTTTTGACGAAGTGGAAGTACTTGGCGGCTGTAGAAAGGTACTCCGAGATTTGGGCGTCCTCTCCCAGGCGACCCCACATATCACTGAACAGGTCCTGAAGTTCTTTCGGTGTTTGCTCTAGTCGTTGAATAAGCTCCGTGATGCTATCTTTGTTCGTCAGTCCTCTGTGGAGCCTTTTCAGGACCAGGTAGACCCAGAGAAAAACACCGTCAGACCTTTCACTAACAAGATCCACAAAGTGTTGAATTTCTGGAAGATTTCTCGTTCTCTCATCCAGATTGACAGCTGATTTGAGGAAGTCCCAGGCGTATCTCCGGATGTCGCCGTCTGTCAGAGATTGAACACGTAGTTTAGGTATCTTGTCAAATAGCGCTTGGAAAGTAGGTTCTGGCCGACTTGATACGCATAGTTTGACACATGGAATACGCCCAAGGGTCCGAAGAAGGGACCGGAGATCGTCTTCGATCTCGGAGGGTGCAAGCTCATCCAAGCCGTCGATGAATATGCAAGTCGCTCTGTCTGCGGTCTTTAGAACATCTCGTATGGCCTGTTTTAGCTCTTGAGGGGTCCAGTCATCCGGACTATCCTTTGAAAGTATCAGAGGGAGTCTTTGAGCCAAAGATGGTAGCAACAGCCGTTCGTGTCTGTCATCATCCTGTAGTATCTGGTGAAGAAGTGAGCAGAGTATGCCCTTGGTGTTTCGCTGCATCGGATGCCCAGAACTCAGCAGAAAATGTCCGATTATGAGGGTGTCCGGGCTTCTCATATTAAGGAGACCCTGCGTTCGAGGATCCTTGAGTAAGAATAGCATCAGAGTGCTTTTCCCAGAGCCTGGTTTTCCAGATATCCAGTAGGTCGTATCATTAGAGAGCAGCCAGGTGACAAAGCTGTCTCCTAGGGACGGTCTAACATCTCCTGGCTGCTGTAAATCTGCCTTCAATTCTTGAGTCTCGCTTGCTGTCGATGAGCTATGTATTGAGTCTGAAATAGACGATATGGAGTCGGATTCGGAGTCAGAATCCAGATTTAATTCTTCCCGAGCACACGTCATCTGCGAAAGGTCGCTCTTGAATATCCACTCGAAAGTTTTGCGATGGTTTTCTTTGATGTCGTTTTTTCGACGATTCATCCCTTCATACTTCAGACTGCCGAGGATTCGCGCTCGTGTTGCTTCATCTTGAATGGCGAAGAAACCCTTTTCGATTCGTTGATCAACAGCCTGTAACAACTGTGACAGCTGCAACTCTTGTTTGGATATCGAGATGATGAAGTGTTGCAACGCTCCATTCAGTTGTTTGAAGCCTTCTCGACTCTGAAGATCGGCAGCTTCCCTCGCCGTGCTGGAAAAGGAATTCTATTAGGGGAGTTTGATTTCATAGATCGTGAGGAGCCTCACCACAGTCTGACGAGAAGTCCAGATTCTAGTACCTTCTGATAGCCATGTATCTCTTTTTCGAGGTTGCGCAAGTCGCCAGACTTCGCCAGATGCTTGCAGACGGAGACCATTGTCTTGCCGAGGTGTCCCTGGCTCCTTGAGGCTCCGATTTTGTCCAGCTCGGCGGAGAGTCTGGAAGTTGCGTCCAAGCACTTGCGCGCCAAGTCCTGGAGTTCTCTGGTGGCCTCATTGCATGGCGAGCGGGATTCTGGAGACGTCAAGGAGTCGTGGAGCGACGTGATGACACTGGACAAAGCCTTCGCATTCCCTTCGAGGCTGGGGTCTTGCGACCCGCGCTTGTAGACCTGCTTGCATAAATGGATGACTTCGCCAGTGAAACTGATGACTTGCATTAGATTGCAAGCAATTCCCAACGCTGACAGCGGCTCCATTGTGATGAGTTACGATAGCAAACGAAGCGACTGGATGGCACAATTGACCTTTGGGCTGTCGATAATGTCACCTTCCTGGCAGGACGAAGCCTTGGTGCGGGGAGGGGGTATCAGGCTGCAGAGTGAGGTGGTACAACAGCCTTGGGACTTGTGCCGAAGATCGGAGATATCAGCAGCTGCATTCACTGCGTTCACTGGTTGAGATAAGTATGCGCCAGCAAATGATATAGGAGACGAGAGGGTCGCTCCCACGATTCAGGTGGGCGTGATTCCCACCCCATAGTGGAACATTAGAAAAACCTATAAATTTCTCTAATATCAGTCCCGAATTATAACCGTGACCGTCAGGGGTTTTTTTTTTTTTTTTTTTTTTTTTTTTTTTTTTTTTTTTTTTTTTTTTTTTCCGCCAAAGATGATGAGAGAGCCCTTTAGAAGACCCTGCCGGCCTCCTTCGTCTGGTAAAAAATATACCGACAAGCGATTATGCATATACGACGACCACAAGCCCCATACTAGTTGCGGATTTATTAAACTGCGCCCATTTCCTCCCCTTTTGTTTTTCTGTACCATTATCAATAATAGCCAGTGATTCATTGACAAGTGTGTGGGTGTTATTCCCACACTTGAGTTGCCCAGATCGGAGCGCTGCAACCGCTGATCTTAAGACTACTTCACACTCAGCAGACATTCCTGTAATCACCTGACGGATAAGCTGGGTGTGATTCTCCTGATTACCCACAACCTCCAGTAGTCAACCTATACAGTTCAAAAATGCATGGCAACAAAGTCATTGTTCATCATTGCTCATCTATTTGGGTAGTCGTCATAAAAAGCAGGTGTCGACCGTGTTCTTCAGCAAGCAAAATCTGACATGTGAATCAAATCTGGCTCCCCTCCCACCGCTTTACACAGTGACGTTCTTCAGCTTCTCGCCGGCCTGCTCGACGGCCGCGGCGACCTTAGCCTTAGCACCACCCTTGTCCGCCTTCGCCTTGGCCTTGGCCGAGGTGGTGTCCTTGGGCAGCTCCTTGCTGAAGGGGATGAACTCGGGGGCGCCGGGGAGGAATTTCCGCAGAACCTCGGGCACGTTGAATCCCTGTACGGGTTAGTAGCTGACCTTGTGGAACAGATTGAATGGACTCGACTTACATCTTCGGTCTGGTAGTTCTCAAGGACACAGCACAGCGCTCGCTCGGTGGCGCACAGAGTCGAGTTCAGGGCGTGGACGTACTTCTTCTTGGCGTCGGTCTGGGTCTTGGTGCCGAACCTGATCTCGAGCCCGCGGGACTGGTAGTCGGTGCAGTTTGAGCACGAGACCAGCTCCTTGTATTCGCCCTGGAAGGGGAACCAGGCCTCCAGGTCGTACTTCTTGGAGGCGGCGTTGTTCAGGGCGCCGGACACGATGGCGACGACGCGGTAGGGCAGGCCCAGAGACTTGTAGAACTCCTCCGAGTTGGCAAACATGATGTCGAACATCTCCCACGACTTCTCCGGGTCCGTCAGGCAGAACTGCTCAACCTTCTCGAACTGGTGGACACGGAAGATACCCCAAGCGTCGCGCCCGTGGGCGCCGGCCTCTCGTCGGTAACAGCTGGAGTAGCCAGCGTATTGGATGGGGAGGTCTCGGGCCTGCAGCCACTCGTCGGCGTGGAAGGCCGAGATGGGCTGTTCCGAGGTGGCAATCAGGTACTTGTCGTTCTGGGGCTCGCCGTCGACCACCTTGTACAGCTCGTCGTCGAAGGCGTCGAGCTGTGCGGTCTTGCCCATGTAGTCCTTGTTCATGAACTGGGGGCACTGCAGGGGGGTGTAGCCCTTCTCGGCCAGGAACTGCAGGCCGTAGTTGATCATGGCCTGGTTGAGGAAGACACCCCACTGCTTCAAGAAGTAACCGCGGTGGCCGACCACCTTGACGCCGCGCTCCGGGTCGTAGCCGTCCAGGCGTGTCAGGACCTCGTGGTGGCTGAGCACATCCTTCTTCTCCGGGGTGACGCCCTCGGGTGCCCAAGTCCTCAGCACGGCGTTGTTGTCTTCGTTGTTGCTGACGGGGACGCTAGGTTCTGTTGTCAGCATGGGGGTCCCCGGTGGCCGACAGTCTGCCTTTCTCCTCCTCCTCTCTCGGGGTGAATGTACCTGTCGTGGACGTAGTTGCCTATCGTCTTGACCAGCTTCTTGAGCGCAACGTCCTTCTCGGCGGCCAGGTCAAGCAGGGCCTTCTTCTCCTTCTCGAACTCGGCCTTCTGGGCGAGGAGTTCGGAGGCATCTTCCTTTGCCTGTATACAGGATCGGCTGCCCCGTTAGTCACACGAGGCCTCTCTCTCTCTCTCTGGCTGTCTGTCGCCGGGGTTGGTGGGCTGACCTTTTTCTTGGCGCCAATCTGCTTCTGGGTATCGTTGATCTTGGTGTTGACCTGCATGGCGGCATAGTTTGTCTTGCGGTGGTCCTCCCACTTCTCAATGACCTCGTCGACGACCTCGACTTTGGCGAAGCGGCGGCGCTGCGACTCCCTGATCTTCTCCGGGTCGCCGCCCCTCTCCTTGATGAAGTCGGTCACGTCGAGCATGTTGGGCTGGTCCGAGGCGCGGTTTGCCGGTGTCGCGAAATGTTGGTCTGTCCGTCTGTCTGTCTGTCTGGCTGGACCGGGCGGGTGCGGGTAGTTGCTCGGGTCGCAGGCCTGTCGTCGGGTCTAATGTCAACAATGGTGTTTATTTATCAGATATAGTTTACGGTCTGGGCGGCGCAAACGTGGACAGTCAAATTGTGGTGGGGTTGTTTTCTCGAGGCGAGGGGCTCGGAGGGGTTTCTGGACGGGCTGAGGGGCACGACGACGAAAGAGTGGGCAGATTGCTTTTCCGTACCTTATCGATTGGATTTAGTTATTTGGGACACTAGGACTGGAAAAATTAGGGGCAAGGGGAGACTCGGCGGCTTTAGTTCTCGACGGGCTGGGGCTTGGGCTTGGGCTTGGAGGGGTTTGGCGGGGCATTTTATCCAGGGCAGCCCCCGGGGCCCGGGGGGGCAATTGGGCAGTCGGGTAGGGGAGGCTGTCTCAGTCAAGCCTTGAGTCACCCAAAGCTATTGGCCGCCCCTCGTTCGTCGGCTTGACTCATGCTATTCTCGCCATCTTCATCGCTGCTCTCTACCTGTCCGGTGTCGGTAGATTTCGTGCGAGTCTCATTGGTATTGGTATTGGTATTGGCATTGGCATTGGCATTCATTAGACAGCCCACCAGAGATCAGACGCGCGGGCAGACGGTACCAACACGTCCGTCTGGTCTCAAAGAGGCCACTTTCGAGGAACCCTTGTAGAAAAACAAGTATATCATCCAGCTGTGTACTGTATCGTCCAAACAGGAAAATGATTTCTCTGGTGCCCGGAACATATATACAGGCCGGCCGCGAATCTTCTCCTGCCTCAGCCGGCCAAAGCGCATCTCAAGTAGACACAGGAAGCCCACCGCGAAACCCAGCAACATATGCCTTGTCTGACCTGCCCTGTAAACCAACACCTGATCCCATATAATCCCAGCATATCCAGCAGTGCGAGATTCCACGCGTCTATGCCCAATCGACGTCCCCTAACCAGCCATGTCTTGGAGCAACCCTGTAAGATAAAAACAGGCCTAGAAAGACGAGAAGCATACAAACACTCCGCTCCTCTTCCCCCTACATCATCTGGCACTTGCCCCCGTCCGGTGCCTCGTTGGGGTTCTGGCTCTTCTCGATCTGGGCGATCAGCACCTCGAAGGCCTTGCCGACGTTCTCGTTGTAGCGGGCGCTGGCCTCGGTCCAGCCGCAGTTGAACTTCTCGGCCAGCTTGCGGCCGTCGTCGGCGCTGACCTGGCGCTGCTCGGGCCGCAGGTCGCTCTTGTTGCCCACGATGACGATGGGCACCCAGTCCGTGCCCAGGTGGTTGAGGATCTTCTCGCGGATCACCTGCACCATCTCGAACGACGACAGCGACGCCACCGAGTACACCAGCATGTAGCCGTGGATGCCGATGAAGTGCTTCGAGTTCAGGATGCTGTACTCATCCTGCCCGGCCGTGTCGACGATCTCGGTCGCGTAGTCCTGGCCCTTGAACCGGATCACCTTGCTGAACGTGTTCTCGATCGTCGGGTAGTAGCTCTCGACAAAGTGGCCATCGACGAACTGGACGGCGAGCGAGGATTTGCCTGGAGGAGGGGGCCCCGAGATAATGTCAGCAACTTGCGCACCCGATTTGTGATGCGCCTTGCCCTGCGCCCGCAAAACTCGCACCAGAGGGGGGCGTTGGCTACTGACCGACGGATCGACTGCCGACAATGGCGACTTTCCGCTGCTTGGAAGGCGCAGGCATTTAAAGGTCGAGGATGGGGGGGCGATCTTCTGGTTTTCGTGGGTTGGGCAGGAGCACCAGGGGCGTTGGCCGCGGACGTGGGGGTTATCTGGTTTTCAGGCAAAGTCCCCGAGCGGGAGAGGCACGAGACGACGAGCGGGGGGGAGCTGAGATATGCGATGCGAGATGTGAGATGTAAGATGTGGGATTGGCGAGATGTGGGATGGGCCAAAACGAACGCCGCCGTCCGGGGAAATCGACCTGGGACAAGTCTCGAATTAATAGTACGGATGACGTAGGAATGTTGCCCAAGGTCGAGATAGCAGCCAGCGATGCCCAAATATGTTGCAATGGCGAGAAGGGATAGAAAAAAAAAGCGCAGGTCTCGGTTTTAGCCTATTGAGAGTGTCGTGTTCACCAGGGTTGTTGCAAAGAAGTGATGCCCTCCCGAGGGAATCGGCGTGTGCTCGACGAAGCTGGTCTCTGGGGGATAGAAATTCTCACGGGTTTCTAACTAGTGCTACTACTAAGACCCTAACTTAGGTACAGTCCTGCACATAGCATAGCTCCTCGCGGATCTCCCGTATCCTGAGTGAGCAAGCCAGGTCCAGCAAGGGATGGATGCAGGTGGATAGGGGTGGCCAGGGGGGGTCCCGCCGCTCGACATGCAGATTGTGGGGTGCGACTGAGGCCTAGCCCGCTGCTAGCTAGAAGCTCTTTTGGCCTTGAAAAGGGTACCCTAGGTACCTAAATTCACGTCGGTACTGGAGACCTGGAGACCTGGAGACCTGGAGACCTGGAGACCTGGAGACCTGGAGACCTGGAGCCTGCTGCTGCATCTGTGGCCCAGAGCCCCGCGCGATGGTGTGTCTCAGCGAGGTGGAAGAGAATCCATCCAGGGCGATAAGCGAGCCCCTCGCGAACATTCACATGCCACCCCTCCAAGGGCCCTCTTCTCTCTTCTCTCCAAAAACGCGCGGCTAGCAGGGCAAGGATCCTGTCAAGGTTTGGATGGTTGTGTTACCTGTCACTTTTGTTTGATAGCCATGCGGCATTATTGTGGCAGGCAAACCGGGTAAAGGGCGTGAGGACTCTCGAGTTGTATGCAGAACCCACGTGCTGACCCCCAGGCGCCCCCCTCTACCTCGAGCTACTAAGCCCCAGGATCTGCCCTATTGCTTGCTTTTTACAAGCTCTAGCCTGTCTCGCCCTGACAAGGGAGGAGCCAGCTCCCGTCCAATGGGCTTGCTCCCTCCGCATGTACGTATGGTAATCAACGTACATCGCCGTTCTCTGTGGGGTCCTTATACCTGCTATTATACTGTGGGCGCTGAGTCGAGGGGGATTGGGCTCGGCGCGCCCAACCGTCCGATAGACACTGCTGACGGGTTGCTCTCCTTGATCTACAGATCAGCTGAGGGATTCTGAGACTCGAAAGCAACCATCGTTTGACACGGTCGATGCTTGGATTCTATTGAGCTTGGACGACGGGGATGGGCTGGGCAGCAAGAGGTCAGAGCATGTCGGTTTTCAGTTTTCTTTCGGAGCATCTGCTTCTATTAATAAGTCGTTTGGGACTGTGGCCGAGGGGGGCCCGGGTGCTCCTCCGATATGAACTTTGCTTTTCTACTGCGACTCGTGTGTCTGAGAAGCCACCAAATATGTCTATCTGGTGATAATTCCCGCCCTGCCTGACGCTGCAACCACAAACAATGGCCACCGGTAGATGACGCCCTGCAGGTGCCCATTTGACGGAGGCGAGATGGCTCCCGTGCACGCTTCACAACTACCGATGGTTCTACTTCGACCAGAGATAATATTGCCGTTGAATTTGGTGGATGGAGCACTATTGAGACTGTGATAATTTGATTTAGTCTCGAAAACGCGCCGGTGTGGCGGTATTCCCGCTCGCTAGATATTAGTCAAGACAATTATGGATTGAGAAGTTGGGTGGAAGAAAAGCGAGTTTGGCTGACCTTCCGTATAAGCCTTCCGTGCTTTTCTCGGAGAGCTAGTAAGCAACATACTCTAGTTTTATCAACCATTTATCCTCACATACTACCCTTGCTATTTTCTTCCAACTCCACCGTCCACAAGTGATACTTTGACTTGGAGCGAAGCCACGGCCCGTACGTGTAGAGCGCCCATGGGACCGGCGCCATTGCCAAGGCTATGAACCCCAACAGACTACTCGCCCACGGCGTCCCTAACCTCACATACATCTGCGCCGCGAACAACGGGAATCCGGCGCTGAACAGCGACCTCAGCACCGCGTTCGCCGCAAGCGCACTCGCCGAGAAGCGGCCGTAGCAATCTGTGAGATAGGCATTGGTCCCCAGGAACAGCGTCACGAAGCCAATGCCGAACGGTGTGCCCGCCGCAATGGGCGCGGCCCAGTGCGTGGGCGGGTTCGCCGTCCATCCGAACCAGAAGAGAGCAACGGGGATCAGCCACGCGAGGACAATGAGGTGCGGCAGGCGGGCTTCGGGCTTTGGCCCTCCGAGTTTCTTCACGAAAGCAGCGTGGATGTCATTGATCCACGGCGAGCTTGCAGTGGCAATGGCCATCCCTAGTCCGATCCCGAGGAATGACAGACCCGCGATACCCTGACTCCATTGCCGAGACTGTTGAAACACCACCGGGTACGCCGTAAAGTCGAGGTACAAGATACCCCAGACGAACGCCGAATACAGGCCGAGAGTGAATAGGATGGGCTCCGTGAAGAGCATCAGCCATGGTCGTGTAAGGTTGGTCGCGTACTGCTCCTTGAACGATTGGCACGCTGGCCGGAATCCGGTCTTCACCTTCTTCTGCTGAAGTAAGACCACGACATATGTCTCTGGAAGCAGGAGTAACATGGCCACATAGACTATTCCAGCTAGGATGCTCACTACCCCATAATTCCTACTCTATGTGTTAGTGTCAACCACCATTTCATCCGGGCTATGGGATTGTCCTAACTTACCACCTCCATACTAAATGCTTCACGAAAATTCAGCAGGTTGGATGGCATCGGATGAGACTGCTTGAGCTTACCTGTGAGATGAAACCTCCCACTATCGGGGCAACGACCGGTCCGAGTGAGCTTCCCGTGATAAAGAGGGCAAATGGCACCGAGCGTTGGCTTTGCGGCCAGATGTCAGCAAGCGAGCCTCCACTGTTCGTTACTACCGACAGTCAGAAAACACAGAGCTCTTGTGAGGGTGAAATATTTGAAGCAAAATACCCGTCGGCGATCCAAAGAAGCCAGCCAAGAAACGCAGCACCAGAAGAGCCGAGATGTTGGGCGCCGTTGCACAGCCGATGTTGAAACAGAAGAACAGCAAGAACGTGATGCGGAACACCAAGCTTCTCCCCCACACCTCGGAAAGCGGTGCGAACAGCAACGGCCCCGTGGCGAATCCGAGCAGGAAGGTTGTTACTCCTAACGTTGCTACGGTCTTGGAGCACTGGTAGGACGCGGCGACGCCTGCAATCGCCGCAGTGTGGACACTGGAGCAGAAGGTCACGGTGGCCGTCATGAACACCACGACCATGGTCGAAGACCACTTCTTACGAGCTGGCCAGTTTGTAGGGATCTCTTCAGGGTCGAGCGTGATCTGCAGTGGCTCGGCTTGCACAGCTGCTTCCTCGGGGTCTGTATTCTTAGGCACAAGGCCCTCAAACATCTGAGCAGTCTGTCTCTCCATGCTGAATCAAGACCCTGAAAGCCTGATTACGGGATAATTCGGTGAGAAGGGAACTGCAAAAGAGACACCAGAATCCAGTGTTCCTTGGCAGCTTATATACGTCCGCAGCATTGCCCAATGGGACGCTGAACCGAGCTAAACGCCGAGCTCGAGACATAAGCGAAATATATACTAATGTTTACCCATGCGAAACCTGGTACCCTGGTTGTCAGATCATGTAATGGGCACATCGGCCGGTTCAGGCGTGCGACTCTGCAGGGGTCAGCGTAGTCTATCGCCTTACGAGTTTGTCAAGTTCACAAAAAAAATCTTCCGCGACTGAAAATCGGTGAAAGGTGTATGCAACAGCTCTCGTATGAACTTCTGGCTGTGTGTTGCTCTTAAGAATAATTTTTTCTTCGTGGAACGCACATAGCAGTTGCCATGACTTTTGCGGATCTCCAGCAAAATCAACGAAGCACTCAATCCTATTGCTGTACACTCCAGACACCATTCACTTTGTGTAGAGTCCAGCTAATCATGATGGACTCCAAGCCAAAGGAAGTTATTTGCAGACAGTATAATATATATTTAGCTCCCATATGGACGGATGACACATGATCTCACCGTCTTCCATTGCGCGCAGCTAGGACTGTCTAGGGACATCTTCACACTTGAACATGGATGAAAAGGGGTCACTGGTCGAAGAGGTAGTGCGGACAAACTCCATGTTGTTCGCAATGTCCGTCGCCTTTTCTTCTCCAAATATTGACCCCACCCAGGCCAGGGCCGCATCGATGCCGGCGCTGACCCCCGACGAGGTCCAGATGTTCCCGTCCTGCACCCACCGGGCCTGCGCGACCCACTCCGTCTTGGGGCCGTAGGCCACACAATCCTTCCAGAAGGCCTTGTTGGTCGTGGCGCGCTTGCCGTCCAGGAGGCCCGCCTGGGCCGCGACCGCCGAGCCGTTGCAGACGGTGATGAGGTGGCCGGTCTTTGGGACGACGCGGCGGAGGAACTCGAGCGTCTCAGGGCCGGTATTGAAGCCGCCCCAGCCGCCAGGGATGAAGAGCACGTCAAGAGGCGGGGCATCGGCAAAGGTGTGCGTGGGGACCACACTCTGTCCCACGGCGTGCACGCCCTTGCTTTGCGTCGACACCGGGTCACGCGTCGCCGCAATAACGGCCAGAGTCATGTCGTGGGTGCAGGACAAGGTATTGACCACCTCCATGGGGCCAAAAGCATCGAGGGCTTCGAAGCCGGGGTAGACGAGGAGCCCGAAGCTCTTGGGGACTTGTGAGTATTAGCCATGGCGGACTGTGCCAAATTCGGTATGAGAGAGCCCAGCTTACGGTCTGAGTTGGGAGCCATTGTATAAAGATTGCCTATGGACAATGTTGTAGACTAGTGTTGCTAGAATAGTTGACTAGGCCGAGGCAATACCGTTTTATATAGGTCTAGTCCCGACTATTAATGCCGTAAGGTCTCGGAGTTTGCTCGAATAGGGAAAACTTACGGGGCGGCGTAGAGCTTGTGGCGGCTGTGGCTTAGCGTCAGCCGGGGTTTAATTCTTATAGGTAGCTCACCACCTCCCCGCATACAGATTTTAATTAAGCAACGAATCTCTTGGATTTGCAAGGCAAGAAGCAATGCATTTGGGACAAAAGCTATCCAATCGATTTGATCGCTGCGAGCTAGCTGTACGGAGGCCACGAACCTTTCTGTTTGACTTCATAGGCTGAAGCCATCCTAGCACCATGCTACAAGCACTGCCTTTCATATCCCGGGACTATTGCATGTTGAAACGAATTCGCACATCTGGAATATGCCGCCTATAAATTATGTGCACAGATCAAGCAGGTCTTTCTTACAGAGAATATCTGAAAGAGAAAGCGCTGTTCTGGGCCCGGTTTCGGCAAGCACGGGGCTCCTGTTATCCTAAAACGGTGGCGAACTAGCTACCTTAAATGCATTATATCCAACGCTTCATTCATTCATAACAAGAGCTACAATATAGTACACCAGTGAAATAGATTTAGCTGTGAAGTAGTCATGAATAGGCAGAGAGTACATTGTTGAAATGACTAGCTGGCTATTGAGTGTCTATCTAAAGCGGGATCCGGAGACCGACAACAGTAAGGAAGGTTCAACGGAAGAAGACAAATAGTGTGCCGGGGGGGGGGGGGCTAGGTAGAATATGGTACACCCAGGGATGCGAGTGACTTGCCATTTGGGGACCTCCACTACTAGAAGTATGAAATCCTCGCACGACCCGGACTGCTGGCTACTCTCTCTACTGAACAACCTTGTATACATCGTAGCTGGCCGGGATATCGGTAGCATTCCCACCATTACCCACGATCGTTGCACTACAATTAACCAGAGAGTTAGTAAAGAAGGTCATGAAAGGGGGGTGAAATATCCGTAGGAAATGAAAATTGTTTTCATGTTGAGGGGCTTTTGGCTTACTACGAGAAAATCAAAGTGTCAGTACATAGACTTCAAACGAGTTCGGGATTCATTCGTATGTATACATACCAGTTCGGTTAGACTAGCATCATCAATGCCGGCAATGCGGTATAAGGTGCCATCTTCTAGCTCCAACATGTCCGGCTTCACGTGCTTGGTACAGCCTTCAGTGGTGGCGCAGGCCTCGGTCGCACCATCGAGGCGCTTCCTGGAGGTGAAGCCGTAGCCGCCGCCCGAGAATGGGCCGGATGTGAGACACACATCTTGTGTGTTACGGGCAGTCAGAACCTGTCTAAGGTCGTTGCACCTGCCATTAGCATGGCCATGGCATTGGAGAACCCAGTCCGTCGGGATGGCGTGGAAGCCGACGCTGGGGTAGACGTTGATGTCGACACCACTGCAACAGAAGTCGGGGTTGGCGTTCTGGCAAAAGAAGTTGGCACCGCCGCAATTGTTCCCGTTGGTGTAGAGGCGGATGTCGATGGCAGAGACAGTGGCCACAAGGCCGAGGAGGATCTGGGAGATAAGCATATTGGCTAAGATGTGATAATGACGTCGTAATTGATAGATTGATGGTGTGATGGAGGAAGAGATGGATGAGAACTTGAAAGTGATGACGAGTGGCCTTTTATAGACGTCTTGACAACTTCTCGACACGAGAGACATGACGATGAGCCAACTCAAAATACCTACTTCTACGTCGGTAGATCTATGGTCTAGATTCTTCATCCACGTTAGCCAATAACGAGCGACATCCCAGAACGGGGATAAAATATGTCGCAAGTCACGTAACATGTTGAACCTTAGCGTGTGAGATCTTTCCATGCTCACTGCGTACATTGGTAACAGAAACAGTGATCATCTAGGCCAATCAGATGGCGATTAACAGCAACCAGGTGTTACATGTAAGCCAATATTATGCGCGGCACGTATAGTATACCTCGAGTGTTACGATTCTACAATTACTTCCTGGTGTGGCTGACCACAAGTATAGCCAATTTAGACCACTTCAGACTTGCATGTCAGCTTACGCCTACTATGCGCAACCCGTCTGGTATGCTTCAAGCGCAATATGAAATCGTCATTTTGCCTGGGTTGCTATCTGAGGGTTCTTAAACTGCACTTTAATAAGGCTTTATCCATTGTCGGTTCACGATATGTGATTGGTCCTAGCTAACATGAAGAAATGCAGTTCAAGTACATTAAATACTCACCATACGGCAATAATCGTTGGGTTACATGTGCCATAACAAGACTTCGTCAATTGTTATGTTTTGAAGCCAAGTCCAGCGTGTCATATAGAATAAATAGGATATTCCAGCTCAATCGGTGTAAAAACACTCTAAGGGGTTAGTGTTAGTGGACCATTGATTGTGTGGCTGATTCGCTGGCTGCATCAGCCCATTTGCATGCAAGTGAAACAGTTTTGCTGGCTCTAAGCGAGATGTTGCAGCTTGAATCATATCATTGACAGCCCTGGCCAGGCAAAGCGGCAGAAATTCGCGTTGCCTGCATTCGTTGGCAGTCAGCCTGCTGTTGATTGTTGTATCTCGTTCTGGACTGGCAAATGTCCCCTTGTACCATCCTAACTACAGCTCTTTCATAAATCTATTTCTGACTATCAAAGCCGTAAGCTCTCGGCTTTGTGCGGAAGGATGGTTTATCAAGTGTTATTGTCTTGAAGAATTTAACGTCACCTACCTGGCACTGACACCAATCTCTCCATACTAACCTGCTTTCTTTTCGTGAATGGTGGCCAAGCCGTGGTTACCTCGGTCTGCTACCAGCCTATTTTCTTATGCTTACCATCATCACATAGAAGCATACAGCGAGATTCCTGCGGTGCGTTGCATGAGTTTCTAATGAATCAAAGAAGACTATCAATCAAAACTTATATTTCAATTGACGGTAATTAGGCAAACTTACTTGAGTCGATTCTATAGGAATGTTCACGATGCATTGCAATGCTCACATACTGCTGTGGAGGAGTCGATTCAAATCGAAGTTCATAGATACACAGATCTTTCCGGGGCCTTTCTTTCCCTTCTACTCTCATCCTTCTTCTCTAATTCCGAACGCTGTCTTGGACGTGGCCCTGCAAATCCAATTAGGCTAGACTCCTATCTACAACCAAACGACCAATACTCTGAATAGCTGTGCCACCCGTAATTTCGAACACAGCAACTTCGGCTTGGAAGGTCTTGCCGATATAATTGCGTAGCTCGACCGCCATCAGTGAGTCGACACCATAACTTGAAAGAGGTTTGCTGGAGTCCACATCATCTGTAGATATTGACAAAGCCCTTCCTAGTTTCGTGGCTAGGGCCGCAATGACAACTGTTATACGCTCTTCGGTGCTAGATGCCTGTTTGAACAACAGGGTTGAATTCTCTTGATCTGGCGCCGATTGATTGGGCAAGAGAGATCCGCTTTTGAATTGTGAAAATCCTGCATACAATGGCTTCTGCATCGTCGGGACAGGGGCAAGTCCTTCAGTAAGTCGATGTGTCGGCAACTATCGTGTACAGAGTCAACAAGTGATCAGGAATGAAGTTATAGGTGTCAAGTCGGGGGGCCTTGACACCCAGCCAAGACACGGTATTGAACTAGAGGTGGCGGAGTACCTACCATGAGACCGATTAATACCTGGCATTCAGCGACCGGAAGCACTGGTAGTCCTGGGTTGCAAAAGACGTCGAGTATTGAGAGGAACTCGGCTGTCTGGATCTGTCGCATGTCCGCGGCATTCTCACGCTGCCTTTTATAAGCTTCATTCTCTGCGATGATGCCAATGTCTTGCATCCATCCAAGGTCCAATGATACAGCTTTGGCGCCACAAGAAGTACGATAGCGAGCCAGTGCGTCTTGAAAGGTGCAGCCTGCGGCATAATTGGACTGCGCGATACCTCCTGTGATGCCGGAAAGTGATGATAGCTGTACAAAAAAGTCGAGTGATTGCGGCAGCAGTTTATGTAGATTCCAAGACGTATAAGCCTTCGACCTGATTGTGAGATTCCATTGCTCGAATTTCATGTTGCTGAAAATGGCGTCCTAATATGTCGATTAGAACATTTCTTGTAACCTGTGTGTGCTAGACGCAACGAACCTGTAATACCATTGCCGCATTGATGCATCCTGATATGGGAGGCATTTTGCTACATTCTTTCAGGGCATTCGATAAAGACTCAGTTGACGATGCATCGCATGTTGGAGCCACAATAGTAACACCCCGAGCGAGGAGTTCAGTCATAACCTCTGAGGCCTCCTTTGATGAACCTCCAGATCTCGAAGGCACAATTAGATACATTGCGCCCTTCTCCACCAGCCACTTCAGGATTTCGCGGCCAAGACCGCCCCATCCGCCAGCTACAAGATAGGATCTGTGTTCGCTCAATCGCCAGTTGCTCTTCTGGGCCGAGTATTTCTGATGAATCGATTAGCAGGAGTCATGTAATAGTAATAAGTGTCCTCACCTGAACCACATCAGAAGGTCGCGGTGAAACGATGATGCGTCCTGTATTCCGTCCACTCTGCATCAATCGGAATGCGTCCTCTATATTCGATGCTGAGAACAAGTTCAGCGGGGTAGGACTACGTATAGCGCCTTTTGTCAAGAGATCTAGCGTTTCCTGCTGCAACTTTGCCAGTAGCTGCTTATTAGACGTGGCGATTTGAGCAAGGTCAATACCTGAAAAAGTAACGTTTTTGGCAAACTGAGCCATCGGTAGTGACGAATTTGCTCCAATGTCGGCTTTACCAATTTCAAGGAATCGTCCTCCCGGGGCAATGCACTCCCATGACGCTATCAGTCCATCCCCCGATAAAGAGTTCAGAACTACATCGACGCCATACCCGTTAGTCATCCGCATGATACCCTGCTTGAACGTTGAGTTTCGGCTGTAAAGTATATGCGTTTCCGGGATGCCGAATTGCTCAACTAGGAGCTGCTTCTTGTCATCAAATCCGACAGTAGCGAACACTTCGACACCAATCATTTTGGCAATCCATACCGCCATTTGCCCAGTACTGCCGGCGGCGGAATGTATCAAAATCTTGTCGTTTTTCTGCAGTCGAGCCACCTTGACCAAGGCGTAGTATGCCGTAATACCAGGCGTCAGAATCGAGGCTGCCTCCTCGAATGACATCGAGTCGGGAATTTTGGTGATCAGAGTCGGCGGTGTCTGTAACAAGGTGCGCATGCTACCAAAATGGGCCAGACATACCCGATCTCCAGGTTGTATAGTAGACTTGCAGGAAGCGCCCACACGTGTCACGATACCAGCACAGTCAGATCCCAGCCCCCACTCATCTCCTTTCAATCTGCCAAGTGCAAAAAACAAGTCTCTGAAGCTCAAGCCCCATGCTTTCGGTTCCACTTCTATCTCACTTGGAGCTAGCGCGAGCCGGAACTCATCGTCCTCGATAAATCGCAAAGTTTCCAGATCACCACGAGCTCCGACGACGAGCTTTGTTGGTGGCCCGGTATGCAAAGGCTCAGTCCTTGCCCGTGGGTAGGTGAGAGATCGCATCCGCTCATCTGTAGAGACATCTTCTACCAGTCTACCAGTCGCTATCAGGCCGTCTCGAACAATATACTCAGACTCTGAACAATTCATGTGGAAGGCGGCTTTGAACACCTGAATTATGTATTCAGTGGCGACCTCCGTGGTGACTCTGCTAGATTCGATGGCAAGCTGAACGATATGTTTCTCAGGTGACTCTGTCGATATAGCTCTTAGGAATCCCTGAATGAAACCATAGAACGAGTAATTCGGGCTGCACAAGTCTGTTGACGTGATCCAAAGCAACTTTTTCGTGCGTGTGACGAGATCGTTGACAGACTGGAATGATTCCTCAGAAAGACATGCCAATAAAGGCGCCTCGATCTCAACCAGACATATAACAATGGTATGCGCATCTAGATTGCGATCCGCTGTCTTTTGGATTGAGGTGACATCTACCTTGTAGTTGTATAGACTGTGCAACCGATGTTGAACATGGGTTGCTAGGTCAACTTGCCCTGTGGATTGTGGATTAATAATGAGCAAGGCCTCCCCATTGGAGGATATGTCTGAGCACAGCTCTATCGCCTTTGACAGCATAATACTTGCTAAGTGGCAACTCTCATCTTCGAAATCTCTAATGGAAACATCAATTCCAGAGAATCCATTCTGCTTCAGTAGCTCATCCCAGATGGGCTCATCAACCGTCGGCGAGAGAACTCTCCACTCGTCTCGGAAAGACCACCATCCGGGAAGCACGCCAAAGGTGAAGTTCATAGCAATGTCTAAATTCTTCGTAATCTCAAGAATAATGAGATAGCCACCGGGGCTAAGAAGCTGCCGGAGGTTCTGAATTGTAACTGTTAGATCTCTTGTTGCATGCAAGACACTTCCAGCAATGATAATGTCGTACTTCGCATCTGTGTCAATGCCTTGATCACCGGCCGGTTGATCGATATCGAAGGCCTTGTAGATCATCCGATCCCCAAATTCCGAAAACTTCACTCGGGCATCTTCGAAGAACACAGGGGAAATGTCGGTATATGTGTATTGGGAAAATCGGACGCCTCCTGAGCTCTTCTCTGACTGCTTCAAGATCGACAAGAGACGAGACGTAACGCCTCCTGTGCCGGCACCAACCTCTAGAAAACGCGAGCATGGATTTTCGTGTGAGATCAGGTGCATAAGCGATCGTAGTCTGTGGTCGCACATCATATCAAAGAAGTCCGCGTAAAATATCTCTGCTAGCTTTGTGTCGAAAGCAATCTGCAAAGGGTCTATGTCTCCACGAAGAATGGAGATCAAATTGCGAGCAACCACAGGGATGAGCCTCCAGGCAGGTCTTAACTCCTCAACATTTCGAAGCTGAAGTTCTAGTGATTCATCACTAAGTTTCTCCAAGGCTGTTGCTGCAGGGGTATGATGAACATAGTGGTCTATCCACCTTAGATATCCCTGCAGAAAGCCTGGCACATTTTGTCGATCCTGCTCAGAAAGCTGCGCATGAGTCCGGTGGATGACCATGTCGAGGACCGAATCAAGATTGATGCGGTATTTTTGCATTGCCGTTTGGTCTGTCATGTAAGTTTGTGCGTCGCAAGCGTACTTCAACCCTGGCTCGTTGAGCAACCCCAGGGCGGGTGCCCACTCAACACGGTGTAGAAGGCAATCCGCTGCATGCTGATCCGGCTTTCTTTCTGCCACAACTCTCATTCTCAGCTTTTTGATTAAACAAAGTGGCGAACCGTTATCAGAAACAACCTGGATTTCTCCTCGGAAACCTCTAGCTTCATCCTCTACTTTGGTCAAGTAGCGGAGTGACGTTGTGTTAGGAGGTTTCCAGCCAGAAGCAGAGAACCAAGCATCAGAGAGGCGATATGGCACATTCGTGGCAGTGTGATCCAGTAGGCCTTTCGAACCAGGTGCTATCATGAGTTGAAACGCTGTGTCAAGAATCACTGGATGCACTATGCTGGAAGTATGATGGTGATCTCCAGATACATCGACGTCAGCGACGGCCGTCTCATGCCCGTCCCATCTGATTTGGTCCAGGAGTCTGAATGATTTCCCATAGTTAATACCATGATCCGAACAATATTTGTAGAAGGCATCTCGCTCCACAGGTTTTGTACAGTCTTGTAATGCAAGCTTCATCTCGTCAGAAATCTTCAAGTTAGCCAGGCGTCTTTCCAAGCCATTGTCAACTTGTTGCGCTGTATCATTGTATTGGATCTGGATCATTGCTTGGAAGCATTTGTGCCACCGATCATTGTAGAATGAGAATATCTTAACATTAGACCAGAGCGCTTCTTTTTCGTATTGATTCATCGTGGGTATCAGATGAACCATGGTTTCTGTTTTCTGTGTTGAACTTTCGCTTAGCATTATTGCTTCAGAGAAGTGGGCGCTTTTGATGTAAAACCCCGAGACTATGCGCTCAGAATGAGACATCTGGTTGACAGCTTCAAGTGCCATCAAAATCATGCCAGCGCCCGGGAAAACAACAGCACCGGATACCTAATACATAGTCAGACACCATTGTTCAGCAGATGTAAAAGATACCCACCACATGGTCGCCAATCCAGGGAGAAGACTCGGTACTCAAGAAGTTTCTCCATCTAGGCTCTAGAGGGTTCCAATCATGGAAACGCCAACCCAGCAACTCGCCTCCCGCTTCTCGAAGCCGGTAATCGCGGCTTAGTCGAGACTCAGCCCAATATCTTTCCGAGCGGTCAAATGGATACTGAGGACAGTCAACCAGAGGTGCAATACCTTTGGGCGGAGTTTGTTCATATCCTATAGGAATCGACACTTGATGCCCCCGGCAAAACAAGTTCCCCAAGAATTCCAACAAAGCTTCGTGTGCAGGCTTGAACCTGTACAGAACTGATGAATATTGTACCTGACGTGTTTGATCCAGATTGTCCTGAATTGGGCGGCGCAGTGCAGAGTGTGGTCCTATTTCAGCAATGTCTGAGACCAATCGGATACCTGACTGTAGTGACGCTGGCTTTGACAAAAGGCAGCTCAGAGCGTCAGAAAATTTGACAGGAGAGACCATATTCTCAACCCAGTAATTAGGGTCAACTAGTGAGCTGGCAGAAATGGCCTCCGCAGTAACAGAAGATATCATGACGGTGTCGATGTTCTTACGCGGCATCCATGATTCCAACGGACCCATCAACCGCAGATAGTCTAGCGTTAGCTCCTCCATGGCTGGCGAATGATAGGCGACACCGGTCTTGAGGATTTGGCAAAATGTACCGTCTCGGTGCAGCTGTTTCATGACAATATTAATCGCTGCTTCATCTCCTGATAACGTGCAATTATAAGCACTGTTAATGCATGCGACATGTACTGAACCTTGTATGCTCGGCTTGAACTTGGAGAGATAATCTGGGACCTGGCTCGCTCTCAAGTTGGCTGATAGCATGGCTCCTCGTCGTAAACCTAAAGCTTGGAGTTTGCCCGCTAATTGGCCTCTGAAGTATGATACCTTGCAAGCTGATTTCAGTGATAAGCTTCCCACCGCATATCTATAGAATGTTAGTTTATCTTTGCTCTTGATATTAACATACTTTTGCTTCACTAACGCAGCTGCAATTTCTCCAGAGGAATGGCCAATGACAGCCATAGGGCAAATGCCAAAGCTGAATAATAAATCGGTCAAAGCAATCTGCAGTGCTGTGGATAGAGGCTGGCTGTATTGAGGTTTGTCGATATTCTTTCCACATTTGATTTCATCTAATGACTTGTCAAAACGGCCGTAAGGAACTATCGTTTCCGCCGCTCATACTCACCAAATATCGACCATGTGCAGCCGAGATTCTGGTAAATACTATCAATGTTCTTGATTGTTTTGCTGAACGTCTGATATTGGAGAAGTTCGTAGCCCATCCTTTCATACTGAGCCCCCTGACCCGTGAAGACCCAGGCCAGTCCCGCTTCGTTAGAGGCCCGAACTGCGATGGCTGGAGATAGGCAATCCTCTTGCTTGTATTTCCTGGCGTCTACAACGGCGAAAGTGCGCCACGGCATGTGACTCCGGCGTTTCGCCAACGTGTATACCAACTCATCAATGATCTTGGGGTTTGATACTAGCTTACTTTGAAGGTAGATGTTGTAACCCTCTGTGACTCTCTTAAGTGCTTTCTTGTTCGGTGCTGTCCAAACAAGGAGCCGAGTAAGAGATACGGGATCTACAGTACTCTTAAGCGATGCTGCTCCGCTCCGGCTGCCTTCGAATTGATGACCCGCGCCGTTTGTCGACAGACCTGTGGTACGAACCGATTGGGGATTCTCTTCGAGCCTGAGACACGTTTCATTTGTTGCAGTGGGTGACAAAGGGATGTGATAGTCTTCGTGCGAATTTTGGATGAATCCTGCCGCCTGGGTCATTGCGTGACTTGCTTCATCAGTTAGGACTGGAGAGGATGTGCAATGATGGCCGTTCAGTTTCTGCATTTGCATATAGCTGCAAGCATCATCTAGGATTATATGAGTATTCGTACCGCCGAAACCGAACGAGTTGACGGAAATACGCCGAACTCCATCTTGAGGCCAGGGGATCCTCCCAGTTGGTATCTGGATTGGTGTTAGATTTGTTCATATCAAAAGTTGGTATTGTTTGCACACCCGAGTATTATGATCGCTTAACATAATGTTTGGGTTAAATTTCTCAAACAATGCGTTCGGAGGAATGACGCCTTTCTCCAAGATCGCTATCGATTTGACAATACTCGCCAACCCACTGCATGCCTCTAAATGGCCAATATTGGACTTGATGGATCCCCTATATTGAGTTTAGTACAGAACCCCACAAAACTGAGATTTGGAGTCCGAACACGTAGAGGGGTTCCACTGCGGAACGCACTGGGCCAAATACCCTTCCAATAGCCTCCAGTTCAACTGGATCGCCAACCGGTGTCCCAGTTCCTGCGACAGCGATTAGCGCTTTCTTATCTACGATATTTATCTCTTTCGATGTCTGTACCGTGGGCTTCGACGTAACGCGTTTGCTCCAAACCAAGACCAGCCTTTTGATACACTTCGCGAATTAGTGCTTCTTGAGAGTTCACGTTTGGTTGCGTCAGGTGCGAAGTTCGTCCATCCTGGTTGGAACCTGTAGAGCGGATAACCGCGCGAATCATGTCGCCGTTCGATATAGCAGCTGATACAGGCTTCAAAACAACTGCCACGACTCCTTCACCCCGAGAATAGCCATTTGCGCGGTAGTCAAAGCTGTAGCAGAGACTATCTGGGGAGAGGAAGTTTTGGTTGGAAAGAAGTATTGAGCTTTCTGGTCCTAGAATCAAGTTGGTTCCGGTCACTAAAGCCTAGAGCCACTATAAGCAACATAAAAGGTGGCATTGACATAATCACCATACCGCAGTTGCGCCGCTATTATGTATAGACTGGCATGCCAAGTCAATCGCTACGAGGCTGCTAGAGCAGGCAGTGTCGACATGTACGCTAGGTCCCAACAGATCGAAATACCAGCTTAGTCTATTGGCAGCTGCTGAGGACGCGCACCCCGTAACAGCCATCCGCGGCATGTCATCTGGATCCTTAGCGAATAATCTTGCATAGTCGTCTAACATAGAGGAGCTGAATACTGCAGTGCGTGATCCGCTTAGGGACTCCAAGGGCAAGCCGGCTTGGACAAGGTTAGTCAATCGATAAGTCAACTTGATAGACCGCTGACCATTTTCAAATGCTCGGTATGAAGCCTCCAGCGCATATCTTTGTTGAGGATCCATCGCGATGGCCTCGTTCCTTGTAATCGAAAAGAACGGAGCATCGAAAATGGCCGGGTCTTGACTCAGAAAATGAGCGCCTCGAGAGCCAAGCTTCAGTAATATTAGTTAATGCTGCGTTGAGGATTGTCCTGGTTTGATAACTAACTTTGTTGCTTGGGTTAAGATTCGCATCATAGAAGGCGCCGACATTGCTGCGATGTTTTGGCCATTCTGACATCATGCTTCTACGATTTTCAAGAATGTCCCAGAATTGAAACTCATCTTCGACCTCTGCAGGAAATCTATAGGATAGACCTACGATTGCAATGTCGTCTTTTGTCATGGTGTTTGTGCTGTCTGTGCAAATTTACAATACGTCGGTGAGAAGTCCCGACAAGGCCGTGACTAAACGTGTAGGTCTATCGAAGGGGCAAGATGACGGAAACATTCGATCCCCTTTGCTTGTTATAATTCTATCAGTACCTAATATATCAAGCCTTGTTTGAATGTACGCGCTGTGAGAGACATGTTGATTTCTGCCTTCCAGCAGTGGGTCTCGACGTGGGTTGAAGATGTAATGACGTTGAGTTGCGCAGCATGTGTCCTGGACCATCGCCACTTGTCGTTGCACTGACGCGAAGTACGTCCTGTCGATGCACCTGTCCAAAACCTCATCTGCATGCAACGCTAATCTCGACCCGTTTGTTGCGGATGCCGCAGACCACTTGCTATCAATGGCTATTGATTTGAACTGGCAATTACTCCGTAGCAAGATACCATATAGGCCGTTAGACCGATTCCTGCACACGAAAGGCACAAAATGGGACACACCCCTGTTTGAGACCGAATAAAAGCGGCGTTCGGTGGCGCTAGTACAAATCGAGCGACAGCCAATATATCGAGCATTCAAAACGTATTCCAATGTAGTGGTACACCTGTGCCGTGTGTCGCACAGCGTGTGTAGCTGTCTCCCCCCATTACTACCCAACCGACAGCCGGATGCACTTCTCGTATGATCCTACCGGATGCACTGTCGAGGAGGATCCAGAGTCTGAAAAGCTACGAAAGACTGCTGGTTTGGCTGCCCATGCTCCATCAAGATTGAACACCATAAAGCCGTTCCAGATCATTTTCGATCGTTCTCGCAGCCCAGCCTTGTACCAAACCAGGTGCAGAGTCTTCTCCGAGATAGGATTCAGCAGGGGCGAGCGGAGGAGTTGGAATCCTGCCAGGCGCCAAGTTCAAGTGCTTTTGCCTTGTATTACCACACTGAAGCACCTATCGCTCCGCCGAGGGCGACGGCCAAGAGGGAGGATTCAAAAATTAGCCCTTAGCGATGTGGTTTTTTCTTCCCACTCTAAGGCCCTATCCAATCCTTTAATTCGCTTACTGCATTCCTTATCTCAGATCATTGTGTTCTCGATTCGTATGCTGTAGGTCAGACCAGACGTGCACCAGCGTTTATAGACCTGTCAGCATGTGCTCAAACCCTTTCTCTCGTCGCAGATAGCACTTTCCTCTTGTTCTCTACCATGACAGTTGTCCTGACCCTCTCACAATGGCTGATTTTTCTAAACTAACGCCTGCTCAGCTGCAGGCAGTGCTCAATGGCCCCGCGCTGAAACCACCTGAGGATGTGACGCCTAATTTTGACAATCCGCCCAACGACAATGCCTTAGCGTATACGGCGTTAAGCGTATGTCTTGCTGTAGCAACAATTACTATGGGAATTCGTTTGTATAGTAGGGTCGTTAAGGTCAGGAAGCTCCGGATCGAAGACTGTAAGTACTACAGCTCCATTGCGCGTTTGGCACTAAACACTGACATTCTCGGGTCAAACAGACCTCGCGTGCATTGGTTTTGTTAGTATACCATCGATTTAATCAATTCGTTTTGGGCTTTCATATTAATCATCGATGGTTAGGTGGCTTATGTGGGGTACTTGACGACTACCTACATGCGGGCGGCTCAGTTCGGAATCTTCGTACATCAATGGAATATCCGCCTCAAGGATATGTCTATAATACTGCTGGTTAGTCAGGTGAACAAAACACAAACTTGGATCCCACGCTGACTTGTCCCGTGTTCAGAGATCACACGTTGCTCAGAACATGTACCCGATCGTGATGATGACCATGAAGACAGCTATTCTGAGAGAGTGGATTCGAATATTTGTCCCTCACGGCCAGCGGAACGCTTTTTTCTGGCTTTGCACAGTCGTGTTGGTGATCAATCTCTTATACTACGCTTCTGCCATTGTTGCTGTCAACCTCACCTGTATTCCCATCCAAGCAACGTGGGATTTCACGGTAAAAGGGAAATGTTTCAACGGCAAAGCCTTAGCATCATCCGGAGTTTCCGTAAATTTGGTCTCCGACGTGATCATATTAGTTCTTCCGCAAAAGACAATCTGGAATCTGAATATGCCGCGACGCAAGAAGATTGGTGTCTCCATCGTTTTTGCTGTTGGACTGTTGTAAGTGTATCGTCTTGTAAAGTAGCTCTTCGCTTATACTGACGAACAGTCAAATAGTGCTTGCATTGCAGCCATTTGCAGGCTTGCAGCTTCAGTGATCTACAGCGAGTCCAGCGATGTAACCTACTACGGGTCTGCGGCCGGGCTCTGGGTCATTGCGGAGATGACTTGCGCCTTCTTAGTCTTCGCCTTGCCTGCTGTCCCCAGAGCTTTTACGGGGGATGGCGTTGCTACGCAGATACTCGTGTCCCTCAGGGCATGGGCGTCCATATCCGGATCACGCAATCAGTCGAGAGACGGGGTCTCCTCATTCCGCTCTGAATCGGGATCTCGCAGGGGAAACTTTTCCAAACTCAATGATCAAGGTATACCTCTCGAAGACCACCCTTCGACTAGATCCAATAGGTCCCAAGAGCAACCCGGAAGTGTTCGTCAAACGACCAAGATTGAACTCAGCAGCTCCCAGTACACCGACGTAGACCGAACAATGGGTCACCAGTTACACCATCCTTGGGAAACAAAGCAACCTCGCACGGCATAGATCCACAATTTATCAGCATTATCTATTAATCGACTAGTCTTTCACTTTGAACACCAAGAATGGTCGGCACTGGGTGAGATATGTATGTATGAGAGACGATCAGTAGCATGGCGCAGACAAGGCCGACCCCGTAATGGTTTTTAACGCTTTTTATTTTTCACCTGTCATCAAAATCATTCTGTTTCAATATTACTTAAGTGGTAGCCTGAGTGAATATAGTTGAAGAACGTTTTATCTGGACCAAGCTTAATCAATTGTGGTCGCAACGCAAATACCATAAGCCGTGGGTGCTTTCTGCGTATTCTCTCCAAGTTCAGCTTCGGATGTAGAGCGAAGAGGCATGCTTAGCTTGATCGACGTGAAGGTGCGTCGGAGCCCAGTGTTGTTGGGTCTATCGTGCGTCCGTTGGTTCGTTGGCTGCATCAGTTTCGTCGACCGGATGCAAGGTAACGGCTTTGTTGGCTCTAATCTATGTGATGCAGCTTCCTGCAAACCGCCGCCCATGTGCATCATGCCCGGACTTTTTGCGCAGCCACTGCAGTTGGTGCTGAATGTAGCAGGGTTGGGCAGGGTACCTTTGGTACAGTGCATCACAAGCCTTGGCTAGGTAAAGCAGCAAGTCATGCCTGCGGGCCGTGGCCCCAACCCTGCTTCGACCAAGCCATCTTGCTATTCTTCCCAACACCGCAAATGACTAGGTCACCCATCATACCTTTACATCGAGATTGCTCAAATTTGAAAGACATTTTGATTCCAGGACAACCGTCAACCCGTTGGCGTCACGCCGCCTCGAAAGGCCCTCGACACCCACGCCACACTGCTTACCTATCATTGGATGAAATATGGCTTTCTTCGACATTCTCAAATGCACCGCATTGTATACGTTCTACTCCGTCACCTTCTTTGTAAGTCGTTTCGAGATCAAATCACGCGTACGGTATTTTCCTGACACTTGAGCAGGCCATCGGCGTCTTCAGCTACCGACTCCTCCTCCATCCTTTGCGAGGATATCCCGGGCCCTTCGTGGCCAAAATTAGTGACGCTCACAATGGCTTTTTCGCCATAAATAAGCGTCTGCATATCGTTACACGAGAAGACCATATTAAATATGGCTCGGTTATGCGTCATGGACCCAACAAGCTCGTTTTCAACACAGTTCAGGCACTTCACGGTATGATCTTTCGTCATTCGACTGCATAATATAGCTAACGGACCAGACATCTATGGCAATGAAAGATTCATCAAGTCCCATATCTACAACGCAACGACACAGACACCTGGCGTTTACAACACGTTCAACGTCATAGATAAGGACGCTCATCGTTCCAAATTGAAAATTGTCGGCAAGGTGGTCAATGAGCGGGGAATGCGATTTTTCGAGCCGACAATGCAAGAGCAAATCAATATATTTCTTAGGACGCTTGGGGAATCTAGCAGTGAGTCCAGCGCCAGTCCAGTCAATATGACAGACAACATCCGGAATTTAGCATGCGACATCATTGGTCTTCTTGCCTTTGGCTATCCGTTGGAACTTCAAACGACGGCGACGAATCATTTCATGGTCAAAGGGATGGCTCTTGCGAACTGGTTAGTGAATACCCGCATGCAGTGGTTTCGAATCCAGCAGTCCAGAATCAACGATCTTCTTATCCTTCTTGACACCGGCGTTCGAGAGCAGTACAAGCGCCTATTGGAGAGAATGATTAAGGGCCGGTTAAGCGAAGATAAGCATATTCGACATGATTTGTACTCGATTGCTTCTGAAGCCAACGAAGACCTGGCCAACCCTGGAGGCAGCATCCGTCTGAGTGATATATGGGCAGAAGCAGCCGCATTCTTCCCAGCAGGTATGCTGACTCTCCGAGATTTGGTTATAATCGATACTAAAATATTTGAACAGGTGCTTTTTCTACGTCGGGAGCTCTTAGTGCCCTCTTTTTCTACTTGGTGCGATATCCGGAATGTTACGATAGATTGGCTTCGGAAATTCGCAGCACTTTCTCCAACAGAGCTGAAATCAAGAGTGGTCCACAACTCTCAAGTTGTCTCTATCTCCGCGCTTGCATCGATGAATCTTTGAGAATCTCGCCTCCGGTGCCGGGAACGCTGTGGCGGGAACGTGCAAGCTCTGATAATGACCCCAGACCAATTATAGTTGAAGGTCATGAGATACCGAAGGGCATACATGTCGGTGTGAACAGCTACGCCCTCCACCACAACGACGCCTACTTCCCCGAGCCATTCAGATTTATGCCTGAACGGTGGCTACCGTCAGAGTCATCGGAGGAGCAGCGAAAGATCATGAACGCCGCTTTTAGCCCTTTCTCAATCGGCTATCGCACATGTGCCGGAAAGTCAATGGCATATCTGGAAAGTAGCCTTGTAATAGCTTTAACACTTTGGTATTTCGATTTTGAAGCTGCCCCTGGAAAGCTCGCCATGGTAGGTGGAGGTACACCAGGAAGTTTAGATGGCAGGGCACATACGAACGAGTACCAGCTGTACGACACCTTTAATGGGGCGCATGATGGGCCATATTTGGTGTTCCGACCCCGCGAAGACTACATCAAAGATTTTCGTCTAAGAGGGCAGGGTTCTTCATAAATAGCTGACGTTAAGAGTCTACTGGTGCTTCCATTGAGACAATATCGGTTGAGGTCAAATGATCCACTATCTATGGAGCCTTCGGGGCTTACTAGCTTTAAATAGGAGTACCATTCCAACAATTGTACATTCTACATCGTCAAATTCCTGCCAAAGAATTTTCTCTATTTCTTCCTTGGTATCGTCGCGATTAAAGAACACTTGGACCCAGTTAAAGAAGTTCAAGCATAGTGTAGCAAGTACAGAGGTGGAGTGTTTGTGTCCAAGTACTGTACAACCAAATAATGTTCCACCATCCGTGAGAAGTTCTTTGTAAATGCTGATTCCATTAAATCTCTCTGGGCCGCCAGGTATACAATGAAACAAGTTGAACATGGAGATTGACTCGAATTGAGCACCACGAAGCGCCTCGGGTATTGGTGCGGTAACGTCTGCAGCCACGCACTGAAGTATGGCATCAGGAAATTGCAGCAGTATACGATTCTTGGCCTCCTTCAGACAATTGACATTGAGGTCAAGCAAAGTCAATTTGGCCACCCCAGAACCTGATTTGTGGTGGTGTAGCGCAGCAGCGGGGAAGTAGCCGTCTGCCACGCCACAGTCGAGATGCCTGTCAGTGAAATTTTGAATAAAAAATGGAAGCAGAACTGATTGGACGGGGCAAAGCCACACATATCTCAAATTGAATTGCAGTACCAGATACTGGTACGCAGGGGAAAAGACGAGTCCTGTGTAAATAGCTGTGCGGAGCGGAAGTCGTTGAGGCTGTTTCGCCGCCATCATCTCAGTCAGAACACTACCGATGTTGACTATGAGTAGTCATACTTAGCTCGTTTCACTTCCGCAAGACCTATATAAAAGTTGGAAGTGACACCAGTGCAGATCTGCTTTGTACGGTGTACCTAGGTAGTATCAGAACTCTCCCTTGCATGCATTGATGGACACGACTCAAGACTGTGTCCCTCTCCGATGCGTTACAACGCCTATCAGAGGTGCAGTATTTGGCCCGGGAAAGGGGAAACCAGACTAGCTCCGAAGAGACAGGGGAAAGAATAGGGAGGCTATTGGAGCAGACACTAGATTCTACCCTAGTGATCAACAGGAATAAATTGGTGTGCCTCTTCATTTGAGTACATGATAATCATATCGTAATGTGTATGATAAGCATGCATCAAACTGAAATTGTCAGTCGGGTGCGCTTCCGAAGATGCCTTCTCCGGCCTTGCTGCCGACGCTGCATGGCATGGGGCAGTGACCGGTCATGGACATCGCTTATGGATCTCGTCTTCTACGAATAATGCATGTGCAAGTCGTATTGAGACCAATTGTAGACCATGAAATCCGACGAAGGATCAGAGGCTGCGTCGCAAGGTTGTATCAAGAGGGAATATGCGACCTTCACAATTGCACATCCCTCAAAGTGCATACAGAGGTTTCGTAACCAGACTAGCGTGCTTAGCACGATCGAGCGGTAGGCGCGGGTGTGCCTGGGGGCGGCAAGATGGAGTTGCGGCGCCACCCGCCCGCAGGCACTTTTGCTAGCGAGGTAACGTTGGTTGGCAAGGCACATTCACCGCTAGACTTGGGTGAGCCGACTCACTGGGCCCCAGAAACTGGCGGTGCTGCTGTTTAGTGTTGCCGTGCGAGAGTCATGGGTTGGGCTCAAGAAAAGCCAAGATATGGTGGGAGGTCTAGGCTCGCCAATTTGCGCAGCAATTCGTTCAAAATCCATAGCAAGTCCTATTAAGCATACGGGTAACAACCACCTAAACGACGACACAACGAAGCCTAGTCAGTACAGTTCTGCGTGCCTCCAAACTGCAACATAGCTATCAACTTCGACAACATGGAATCCGCAGAGACGATCCCCTCATGGATGACAAGTGTTGCTTACATGATTCCCCTATTTGTAAGTATGTCTATTGTGATTGGAACAGGTAGGCATTGACAACGGTGCTTTTAGTACACATTGATATGCTGTTATAAAATTTTCACGCATCCACTAAGGAGCTACCCAGGACCGTGGCTTGCTAAAATTTCAGACTGTTATGGAGGATTCTTTGCGTTCAAGAAGATTCTCCATCTCAGAACTCACCAGGATCATATGCAATACGGTACTACTTTGCCATCGTCCTAGCAGCGTGACTCAACTGATATGTGAGCCAGGCTCAGTTGTGAGACAAGGGCCAAACAAATTGGTATTCAATTCCGTGACAGCTTTACATGGTATATATATGTGCCCATCGCTTGTGTTGATAGTCTAACCGTGATCAGATATATATGAGAACAATAGGATTACCAAGGATCGTGGATATCTGGCCTTCCAAACAGCTCCTGACACGTACAACATATTCAATGTGCTTGATTATGACCTGCACCGAAGCAAGCGCAAGCTCATTGGCCAGGTAGTCAACGACCGATCCATGCGGACATTCGAACCAACGATGGCAGAGCAGGTCGATATATTCAATCAGCAGTTGTTCTCCTCTTGCAATATTGATGGACTCGATCCTGAGCCTGTAAACATGACTCAGAGATGCAAACGTTTGGGGATGGATGTCATAGGACATATGGCATTTGGTTATCCACTGAGCCTCCAGACTAGCCCTATCAATCGAGCCATACTGGACGCAGTAGAACTTGCGAATTTTCAGTTCAACATTTTTATGCAGTTCCCTCTTCTTCTGAAGCTTAAACTACATTTTTTACTGGCACATTTTTCTATCTCAACCTTGGGTAATTATTGGCGTATTCTAAAAGAAATGATCAAGCATCGACTGGCCGAACCGAGGTCGGCCAAGCATGATTTGTACTCATTTGCGGCAGATCAGCTCAGCCAAGAAGATATTTGGTCAGAAGCAGCAGTATTCCTGATTGGAGGTTGGTCTACAATCCAAAGCCACATCAGAACCAAACGGTCCCAGGGCAGACGGCTAATACAGCGTAGGAGGCGACACAGTGGCTACAGCCATGACGGCTCTTTTCTTTTATATGGCACGCAACCGAGAATGCTACCGTAAGCTGGCCGAAGAAATAAGATCCAGCTTCAAAATGAGGACACAGATAAAAGGTGGAGCTAAGCTCACGAGCTGCAAGTACCTGCGGGCATGTATTGACGAATGCTTGAGAATGTCACCACCGCTGGCGTCAACTCTCTGGAGGGAGCAGAGATCACAGGACAGTGGAAACATTGTCGTCGATGGCCACATGATTCCGCGAGGTACAAGGGTTGGCGTCAACACTTACTCTCTTCATCACAATCCAACTTACTTCCCCGAGCCCTTCAAATTCTGGCCTGAAAGATGGCTAGCATCTCGTGACGAGAACAGAACTAGCCGAGAAGCATTCGCCCCCTTTTCGACTGGGTCTCGTGGTTGCGCGGGAAAGGCGATGGCTTATCTCGAGATAAGTCTTGTCATGGCTACAACTCTGTGGGATTTTGATTTTGAGGAGGCGCCAGTCAAGGGTGCTATGGAAGGTGGAATTTATCAACGGTTCAGCTATCAGACGTCACCCGAGTTTCAGCTGCATGACGTATTTGTCTCCTCTCATGACGGCCCATACTTAATTTTCCGGCCACGCACTCATTCTGTTACATGAACTTGATTGGTTGTCATACACCATAAAACGATAACACCTCCAAGTTTGTGTGTATAAGAGGCTTCTACAGTCGATTTAGATGTCAGCATTTCGACCTATAGACTTGTCAGGGTATGCAGTCATATTGCGTACTAACTCTGTGACGTGAAATCCTCATAAGAGAGTTGTGGTATGGTTGACTTTTATAATGAAGGCTTACGTGATTGAAAAGTCCCATTGCTAATTCCACACAAACATCACGCCCTCAACATTTATGCGTCATTTTTAAACATACAGGACCGCACCCATTTTCTCGTGTCCGCTACAGGCCCGACAATTGTCCATCATAAATAGTTGTATGGCTAGAACGTGTATGGATGTGGTTAGATGTTTCGCTCTCATACTATACGCAGAGACGGCAATATAAACAGGAGTACAATAGTCGCGGGGTGAAAGTCTAAAGTAGAGTATAGAATAGGTTGCTCAGGTTTGAAGGACCCAGCGGCTTTTGAATGTGATGCACAGTAAAATGGCAACGTGCACAGCAGTTCTTTAGACCACCCCAACCAGGATGGCATTGTGTACCTACACAACATTGACAGTTGTGCATCGCCGTAGAATATGGGCAGATAAGGCTGAATGCAGCCTATATAGCGTACGCAATTCATGTCTCTTACATCACACACCCTTGATTAAACCATACGTGAGTGCACACTATGCTAACTTTGCGCCAACCAGGCAGGCCTTGCGCCTTTAGAGTGTCTCATGGCGTGGTTTGAAAACTTTATGATGACCTTAATAAGTAGTGGTCACAATTCTTAGTGGCTTATGATCAGCTGGGTAGAGAGTCTCATGACATAAAGTAGCATGAGCAGGTAAAATGAGTAGCAATGATTTAAGGGCTGGGTCGGCTTGAATCGGCTACTTAAAACAACGAATCCTCATGGGCCATGCATCCTTATATAGAGATACGCGTAAACCTTACGCCCCTAACCACTTGTTCAGTTGTCATTAATAAAGGCAATAGCAGTAGTCTTTACATATATATGATGGCGGATGGAAGGAACTTGGCACTTGCACCAGTTTTCCCACATTTATAAAAGCTTTTGTAGGCAAAACAATTTAATAACTCTAATAGGTGTTCCACCTAACATAGCCCGATTGACTTTATGGTAAAGACTATGGGACATTTGGATGGAACGCACAATCATTGTTGACAAATGAATAGTAAAACCGCCAATTTGGATACCTCAGGACAATCAACTCGCAAATTTCACGAGAACAATAGGTCACCCCAACAACATAAATATGATATCAGCCCAACTTTAAATTGAAAAACTCCTCCCCTCACTAGGTTTATCTAACCAACCTGAAGCTTGTTTGAAAGTTGATGATCTGTTCTCACCTAATATCCCAACCATCGCAATCATACACAAGTTGAGACCATACAGTCGGCATGACCGAAGGTAAGAAGTAAGTCTCTCCAACCGATTATGTTATTAAACCGTTCGCTAATGCACTTTTTAATAATTCAGGATCTTTGCCTTCGACGGCGGTAAGCCGCTACACACTATGAGACTTGGCCTCTCACTGACCTGATACCGACAGACTGGTGCGCCAGCACTGCGCTTATTACACAGTCCCAAATTCTGGTAGAGGCCAGAACACGAGAAGGATTTCCCCTACAAGAACAGCTCCGTGAAGCAGAACGACTACGACGTGGCTACAGCCATGGTACCATAGCATGGTACTGGGCCAATTGCTTGGTCCTCACCATCAATGGTACATCGCCGGCATTTTTTGGTCCTTGGCCAAGAACGTCAGTTGATATGAACTGACAGTGAATAGACAGGATGCGCGGAAGTAAACTATGATTTCTACTCTCTAAGTAGATCATAGCTGGATGGCATGGCACGCCCTACAGTTTGGACTCATCTGGTGGACAGGAGTGACGTTGGAGAGGCGGAGGAAGACGGTCAACATGGAGACAGACATCTGACTCGCATAGAAGTAGCTACTTCTAGGTATGTCCTCTTGTGTTGCAAAACATTCATGCAGAGTGGCTTAATCGTGATCTCCATTTTCTAAATCGTGTGGCCTCACACGCGGAGAGCCCGTGGCAACAACTCCAAATGTTGCGATTGGCCTCGGAGTCGACATAGTTGATGGTATAATGTTTACGCGTAGGACTCCGAGGATACTGCAGTCATAAGCACGCAGGCACGACGTGCCACAAGCCATCCTTGACCAATGATAAGTTCTGGACAGGAAAGCTTGTCAAGTGAATACTATCTTGCCTCGGCGTCAAAGGGGGAAATAGCGAGGGTAATAAACATTATGCGGAGACTGATGCATTTTCACGAGAAACTCTCCTACCATGCACTGTTAATGATAACAACGCGTTTTCTTGAACCAGCAAAATCAAACTATGCCAAAAATTGTGCGTCAATGGCACAGAGCCCGCACAATCATCAATGACGAGAAAGTGGATTGTAAAACACCTAATGTGAAAACCTAAGGACAATCAATTAGTGAACTTCGTGGGACAATTGGTCAACGCGAGCTACATAAGAGATGATTTCTGGCCCGCACTAGATTGAAAAATCTTCTCTCTTTAATAATGCTTTCGCAAATAGGAAACCCTCTTCCTCTAGCCAGGCCACATCCTTACTTGGGATACGAACCAACACGAACCTGACACAACCCTAGAAGAGGATTCTAGCGAGATGGCAAACGACCACTCGTAAGAGACTTCACCAATCCTCTTTGTGAATCCCTTACTAATGTTACTTTCTTAATTAGGATCTTCGTCTTTGATAGAGGTAGGTAATCCCTTACAATAGATCTAGTACATCGCTGACCTGAAACCGGTAGACTGGTGCTCCAACACTGCGCTGGTGATACAGTGCCAGATTCTCGTGGAGAAGAGACTTCAGGAGGGCCATTCTATAATAGAGCAACTTCGTGCAGCCGAAGGGCTTCGTGATGGTCTTAACCGTGAGACCATCGCGTGGTACTGGGCTAAGTGCTTGGTAATCACCATCCAAAGTAGGTAATCCTTTTCTTGTGCCCGACCAAACTGTGGTTGGCATGAGCTTATAATCAGCAGGTAGATTCATTGGAAGCAAGCTGTGAAACGTTTCACTGTGAAAGCCATAGCTGAACGGGATACCATGCAATTTGAGGGAGCACACTTCTGGACAGGAGTGGCGACCAACTTTAGAACTCCAGTAGACAAGGCAGCCGGTGGAACCCAGCCCCAAGCAATGTAGGAAGGTTATGCATACAGTGAAAGGCAGTCATGGGTCCAAAGACTTCGCTGAACGAGCTTAGCATTGCAACGTACACCTTGACCACTCACTCTGACATAACGGCAAGAACTCAGGAGACTTGCAGCCCCGTACAAATGGCAGTAGAGCGTGCACCACAAGAGTAATTTAGAGTGATTCATAACTCGAGGGGAATGTCCCGCAGTTTTAGATCAAAGGCAATGACTCCGCAAGAGTCCCGAGCGCCATATAGTACATGGCAGTGCTAGACAGGCCCATCGTATTCTTCTGTCTCAAGGCAGAGGAGCAAGTTGCTCGACTTTTTGAGACCGAGGCAGCAGACAACCCGAGAAGAGAAGCTGAGATTAGAGAGCGTGTGGAAACCACAGCACACAAGCCCAGCCGTTTGTAATGTGTCGTGATTAGCAGCTTGTGGTCACACATACGGTATTGATTGTCTAATGCCTACGCGTAGAACCATTAGAATACTGCAGCCATAACCACTCACGCATGAGGCATGGCAAGCGATCTCTAAGATTTGATACAGAGACTGATGCATTTACTTCAGAATAGGCATCGCACCCTGCAGCATAGTAAAATTGTATAGCGAGGTATCAACAAAAGCGTAACTGTATAATGCTGATGCAAAAGTCAAAAAATTATGGGGGGAAAGGGGGTTCACGCAGGGGAAGACTGGACTATCAGTAGCGCGCACGGACCCGAGTGACGAGTGTGGGGGATGGCAGTCTGGCACATCCATGGATGGTGGGGGCGAACCCGGCGACGGCGGACCACGGCGCATCCATGTCCATCCATCACCGTGGCCTCGTCAGACCATTATTTCTGATATCTCATCTCATTTACCCGATCCCCGGCCTCCACAAACCCGATACTTCGAGCCCTCAGACCTTCCTCTGGACTTGCAACTGCTTCTCACCTCTTGGAATCACCCACGGAAAGAGGTACGCTACCCTGCCGCCCGCCATGGCCCAATCGACCGCCCACCGCCGGCTGCTCATGGAGTATCGCGCCCTGACCAACAACCCCCCGGACGGCATCACCGCCGGCCCCGTGTCCGAGGACGACATGCTGCAGTGGGAGGCGCTGATCGAGGGCCCCGAGGGCACGCCGTTCGAGGGCGGCGTCTTCCCCGCCGAGCTCAAGTTCCCCAAGGACTACCCGCTGTCGCCGCCGAGCATGAAGTTCCTGGGCGAGATCTTCCACCCGAATGGTGAGTACCATCGTGCTCTTCGTACTATTCTCTATCGCCTGAGGAGGCGGGAATCCAGTTGAGGGCTTCGAAATGGAAGGGAAACCACATACTGATCCGGGGTTCTTCTTATCTAGTATACCCCAGCGGCCTGGTCTGCATCTCGATCCTGCACCCGGCCGGCGACGACCCGAACCACTACGAGCAGGCCTCGGAGCGGTGGAGCCCCATCCAGTCGGTCGAGAAGATCCTGATCTCGGTTATGAGCATGCTGGCGGAGCCGAACGACGAGAGCCCGGCCAACGTCGAGGCCGCCAAGATGTGGCGCGAGCGCCGGCCCGAGTACGAGAAGAAGGTGCGCGACAGTGTGCGTAGGATGCTGGGGCTGTGAAAGGCGGAAATGGGGGAGTCACGCTTGCGATGTTCGGAACGTTATCAAGAGCAAGGGGTCGAGCTCGATACGGTGCTACATGTTACGTCCACACAGAGCTTGTGCCGATCGGTTGCAAGGAGCGGCATTCATCGAGCCAAGCACATTGGTCACGCAAACAGGGGACATGATTACGGTTATGATTCCTGACATTGGACATGATGGTGGAACGCAGAAAGGGGTATATATTCATTCATGACATTTATCAGATGCATAGCAAGGCGTTCAATGGTTCTAGACCATCATCTCAACTGTCCTTTACTTCATATCTCGCCAGTCTTCTTTGCCTGGCTCATCTGACGCCTGTCTCAGTGTGCACCAAATACCGTCTAGGCGGCACCACCAAGCACACCACCCCGTCCATTCTCGGCCTCGCTAGGAGAGCTGGTCTCGTACTCGCCGTGGTGGGTGTGCGCCTTGGCCTCGTCTGTCTCCTCGTAGGCGATAAGCAACTCGCCGTTCTTGCCGTAGCGTCGGGGCTCCTCGCGGGCCACCTTGACGACGCTGAACCAGCCCTTGGCGCCGGGCGCCTTGTGGAAGATGGTGTCCATCTCCTCGAGCGATCGGTATGCAGTCTCAGGGTAGAAGAAGTAGACGCAGGGGACCATGAAGGCATTGATGACGGCAAAGATGGTGTATGTGTGGTTCTTGATGGAGTTGAAGGCGACGGGTGTGATCATGACGACCAGGAAGTTGAAGATCCAGTTGCTCGACGTCGACAGGGCGTTGGCGGGGGCGCGGATCCTCAGCGGCACGATCTCGGCCGGGTACAGCCAGGTCATGCCCAGCCATCCGACGGCAAAGAAGGTGTTGAACACAAAGAGGAACACGATGGCGGCAACCTGGCAGGCAGAGTTGTCTGGCGCAGAGTTGACGCCCGCGAGGACAGCCATCGTCGCAGCCTGGCCCACGGCACCAAACAACATGAGCTTGCGGCGGCCGACGCGCTCGACAAGGAAGACCGCCGGCCAGGATGCGAGGAAATATTCCGTTCCGTTCAGCGCTGCCAAAAGTCTCGACATGAAGCTGGACATTCCCAGGCCCGCGTAGATGACAGGTGCATAGTACGTGATGAGGTTGATTCCGCTATAGGACCAGGTCAGCTTTTGCCTTTCTCGCTACCAAACTCAGTTTGTACTAACCTAATCTGCTGGAACATCTGATTGGTGAATCCAAGAACAGTGCGGTGGAAGTTTCTATGTCATGATTAGCCTCTTATCCCTCGCTGTATATCTGTGGGGAAACAAACCTGTCCTTGCCACTGGTGAAGAGATCACTGAACGTTCCCTTGCTCATCTCAATGACGGTGTCCTTGATAGCGATGAATTCGTTGTTGACTTCCTTGGAATTGACCTCTTGGTCAGCGAGGGCAGCGAGGACCTCGCGGGCCTCGTCCTCCCTGCCCTTGAGAATCAGCCAACGCGGAGACTCGGGCAGACCCCAGATGAAAGCCAGTATGAAAATGCAGAAGACAATCTGGAAGGCCAAGGGAGTCCTCCACGCAACGCTGCCATCGGCAAAGCTGAAGCCCAGATCGATCCAATACGAGATCATGATACCGCAGGTGATGAGGGCGCCCTCGATCATGACAAGCTTTCCTCGCTTGTGCGCTCGAGACGTCTCGGATTGCCACGTGGGGATTGTCGACGTGTTGCCGCCGTTGCCCAGACCGGTGATAATTCGACCGACAATCAGGTGAGGAAGTGTTGTAGCAGAAGCTTGGAGGATGGCCCCGACGATCATGATGCTCGTGCCGAGGATGATCATGTTCTTTCGACCAAGAGGGTTACTGATGAAGATGCTAATCACAGCACCGAGGAAACATCCCAGGTTGTACGAGGCCACGGCAATGCCTTGGGTCTCTGATCGGAGAGACTTCAGAGAATCCGAAATGCCGTCCTCTTCTGGGTTGATGTCGGGGAAGTCGCCCAGGAACTGGCTCATGGTCAGGATACCTCCCATGACACCCTGATCTGTTACTGTGTCAGTCGTGACGGTTCTTCTTGACCACCATAGGGGTGCGTACCGTATCCGAACAGAAGGAAGTCGCATCCCGCAATAATACCAACGGCATAGTTGAGCGACTTGCCCCTCAGGCCGAAGTATCGCTTCATGGTGGCGGCGGTGGCAGATCAGCTTATGGAAAAGGATGAGATGAATCGGTCATCAGGCGTCCCTATGCTCACGAAATCAATCTAGCGTTGCCTCATAAGGTAGAATACCAGATGAGGAAAAGAGACGGGATGGAGATCAGCCCACAAGCGGCGCGCCCGAGAGGGACAAACGGGAGTATTTGTATCGCTGCACGGCTGACTGCCAAGGCCTCGACCGTCTGTCCAGTATAGCACGACGCACGCGAGGATTTGGTAATGCAGGTGCCGATCCCTCGAATCCTAGCGTGATATCGGGTTACCATCTTACCTGCAACGGGGCCGATGATCACATCGAATCCACAATTAGAACGGTTGTGCGCAACTTGCCTCGTCGGGCTCGTGCCTTGGAGCATGGCACACAGGCACATGCATGGACTGTAGGCCGCCTTCTCCACATGAAGTCCGGGGCAACCTACCGCCTATTTTTGCACAGACATTCGACGCGAGTCGCGGCCTTGCTTGGTTGCGGTTCATGGTTGGATTTCAACGGCCACCGCAAGTGAGCATAAAAAAAAAAAAAAACATCCATCCTCACGGCTACGATGTGCCGATGGACCTGCGCGCCAAGAAGCCCCCCGGCTGTCGTTGTCGATGCCGGCAGCGTTGCTTAGCTGACCACCGGGCGAGTTCCAGAGGCGAATACGGCCCAGAGGCGGCCACGGAAGAGCAACCAACCCAAGCCAACCAGTAAAACTCGTCTCCCAGATTTGATCAGGTCATTGAGCCATGAAATTGCATGGAATTGGGAAGCTAAAGTTTTAGAGACAGGATCCGTCGTTGCGCAACCCCGGCCGCCCGGCCACCTCCAGCAGTCTCGCAAACTCCATATGGCAAAAAGCTGCGGGCCCAGGAGTGTGGGAACGTTGCGGTCGCCGGAATTTCCTAAACGGGCAAGCCGGCGGCGAGGGCGTCGAGTTGGGCTGGAGGCTCTGGGGCGAGTCTGGGGGGGCTACATAGGAATTGCGCGCACGACATCTGCCGGGGAATCGAGGGCTAAGAGCGGCCCTGACGTCATGCACGGCCGGGTCCCAGAAAATCTCTCGTCGCTAAACGTCTTGTCATTAGCTGATGGGGACTCGGCAAGGGTTTGGGTTTTGGGGGCTTTGGGGCACCCGCGAATGATGGACCGCCGTCTTGCGGGGAGGCTCTGGGGCCGGACGCGGTGTTATATCGGCGCAACTCGCCCGCATTTCACGCGACGCCCGATCCTTCAGCGCGTGCTTGGGGCTCCGGGGGAACAATATTGGGCCGCCGCAAACAGCCGAGCGGACGAGTAGGGTCAGGATTTTTGGAGATGGTTACTGAAGAGTATGACCGCCAATGGTTCGGCGATGGTCTTGGATTCATTCCCGGGCGGGTTCACACGGCCGTCCGAGTGGTAGCAGAGTTTCGAAGAAGGGCGCTGGAAATTGACAAGTACGACACTATACTCGCCAGGTTTCTTCCTAGCAGAGATTTCATGGCATGCTAACAGTATATGCTTGCGAGTCTTTTCAAAGTCTATCTTTATTCTAAACCACTGCCGAGGCGATGCAGACAGTGCTGATGCGGTCGCTTTACTAAACCCGACCAAGCATCACTTGCGCCGGAATCCGTCAAATACCTTTACTCACAGACCATTGTCAGCCTTAAACTTGTCCCAGCTCTCGTTCAAGGTGGCAAAGACGGTCGCCGCGATGAGTTTGACCTCGGTGCTGGCATCTTGGGGAAGCTAGTATATGGTCAGCCTAAAAAAATGCTCGCAATGGTGAGGGTACTCTGGAACAACTTACCTTGTCTGGATGGGTCTTCGCAATAGCCTTCATGTAGTGAATCTTGACTTTGTTGGCCATGACCAGCTCATGAAGACCAACTTTCTTCCACCCAGAATTCTCCCACAGCACTTGGTCCAGGCTGCCAATCAACGCCCGAAGGTTGTCTCTCTTGCCATCGCGCCAGGCTGAAATACGATCGTCGACCTTCTCACCGAGTGCAAACTTCTCGTCGTCCGCGGCCTCGGCTGCCTTGTTGGCTTCTCTCAGCCTTTGTACAGCCTCCGAGCTCTTTTGCGGAGCCAAGTCTGAGACCGCAGATGGTTTGGGCCGTGGCCGAGAGGTTTGCACTGGTCTGGCGGCCGGCTTTGGTTTTGGAGCAAGTGCTTTCTGACACCGCTGACGCCCGGCTGTGGCATTGGCACCGCCAACCCCTGCCTCAACGCAGAGCTGCCATACGGCGCCGGCATCGGTCCATTTCTCCATTTGTTCCAATGCCTCTGCCTTTCGGCTCAGTGCTTTGCCATAGAGGTCCTTCATATCACGGTGTTCTCCGTCGCCTATTGCTACCTTTTCACCCTCACCCCGGGATGGTCCAATAATCTTGATCGCTGCATCGGCATCGTCTACGGCCTGCTTTGGACTTCCAGTCTTCAATGCGGTGAGAGACCGGTTGGTGAGCAGAACAATGCAGATCGGGTGCATCTGAGGAATGCCAGCCAATGAGTTGGAGTAGGCTGTATGCGCTGCATCGAAGTCGCCGCGCTTGAAATGGGCTGTTCCCTCCAGGCGATGTTTGGCGGATGCCTGCAAGACGGCGGGAGAAACGTTGGGTATTTGTCTTGCCGGAACGGGGGGCCTTGGGGTGATGGTGCGCGAAGCTTGCTGACTAGACGGCTTACTGACGGCAGCGGATGACGAAGGCGCCCGCTGGGGCTGTGGTCGAGAAGACGAGGGAGCCGTGGTGTTAAACAGATCAACTTCAGGCTCAGGTTGCGGATGTGGCTGCGGTGTTGTTTTCTTTCTTCTCGCTGGGCTGACATAGGCCTGGGCGCTCTGCTCTTCGATAGCTTGCTTATTAAGGCGCGCACGAGGATCAAGTGATGGGTGGGACTGTTGCCATCTTGGTGTTGCAGATGATTGCGCCTGTGGTCTTATAGGCAAACCGGGAGAAGCATCACGAGATGGGCCGTATCTCGAAGAGCCTGTAGACTGTGGCTCTCTTGCCGGTCTGGAGGAGGATCTCTCGGCTCGTCTGTCAGAATCAAGCATTGCAGCCTCGTCGGTTGCTGCAGAGGGTTGTGATTCTCCACCGTATTGCCTGTCTTGCTGAGCAGACCTCATCCATTTGGGCTGATTTGGGTCTCCTCCGCCTTCTTGATTGAAATCAGCCACAGCCTTTTGGACTTGCTTTTGACCTTGCTTCCACAATGAGTTTGCCGTCTTGAAGAAGCTGGATCCCACCGCTGCCGCCTTCTGAGAAAGATCGCCAACGGCGGGCGACCTGTTATCTCTTCGGGGTGGTAAATCTGAGCCGCCCTCACCCATCCATGCCGGGCTTGCGTTGTTCCTTGACCGTCCCGCGTCGCCTTGACTTCTCATGCGGTCGGCAGGAGAGTCTCGTGCACCCTGCTTCGGGCGTGACGAGTTCTTGTGTGCATCATCAAGTAACCAGCCAACGGCAGCTTGCACGTTCAGGCCGGCACCGCTCTCAGTGAGGCCCCGCCGAGCATTCTCTGGGGTGAACCCCATATCCACCAACTCGGCGACTGCCTTATCGAACGGATCATCTCCGCCTGTCCTGCGCGGCCTCTCGGGCTCTGCCTCCGAGTCCGAGTCCGACCCTTCGATAGGTTTGCCCGGCTCCGGCTTCGGCTGTGTGGCTTGTGTCCGCCGGCGGACTTCTTCGACGGGTTTGGCAAGGTCACCCAGGAAGTCATCATCATCAGCTGCACCAGACGAGGTTCCAACTTGTTGTGAAGGCTTCGGTTTTAGCTGATTGAGTCCGAACGGATCGTCGTCGTCCCCGAAGTCATTGCTGCCGGACGTCGGTGGTGCGTTCCACGCACTCGCGTTGCTCAGATCCAACCTTGCAGCGCTGGCTGGAGTACTCTTTCCTGAAGATGGTTGTAGTGGTGGTGGGTAGTGGCTCGAGTTGTCGACTTTTGTGTTCTTGTTGAAAGCAGCAAACAGATCCTCGTCGTCGTCGGCTTTCTTCTGCCCGTTCTGGGCCCCTATTCCAGCCCCGCTCGAGGGGAACCCAGGGGACGCCGTACGTGATGCGCTGGCCGAGCCTTGGCCCAGAGTATCCCAGAACTGACCCCCTCCATAGTTTGCCTGGAGCTGCTTCCTCTGAGCTTCTTCCTTCTTGCGCTTCTCGGCCTCTAGAAGCTCCTGGCGTTCGCGTAGACTGAGGTTCGCATTGCTCTTGGCCCCACCTCCAAAGTTCACCAGGTTACTGAAGCTGTCGGTTGCAGGCTTGGTCGTCGTGGGTTTCGGGGCACTGAGGCCGGAGCCCTGTGCAGAGAGAGGCGTGTTGCGGCCGGAAACCTGGGGGGAGGGCGATGGGCGAAGGGATGGGTAGAAGGAATTCTGGCTCATGCCCATCGGGGCAGCGGGCTTCGCAGCCTGAGAGGAGTTGGTCGACGACCACTCGAGTCCTGAAAGATCGTCCATGGTTTTGGGTATCAATATCGAATCATATCATCGTCACAACATCAACATCTCGGTAGCGGCGCAATTCACAGGCACTGGAGCTTCGTAGAGCCTTGGATTCGGGCGCAAACGAAACGACACGCGACATGGAGCTCCAACGGCGCCGGGTGGCTTGAGGTCTGGCCGGGATGTGGCTCGGTCGCCTTACATAAGCATTCGGGCACCCACTGGACACGCCATGTCCTGTTCGTTCCACAACTTTTGTGAATTCCCAGGTACCTATAGAACCATCGCAGAAAGACGATAATCAGAACATTCATTTTGATGTCATTAGTATCCTCTGTCATAATACACCATCACGTGCAGGATGTGTTCCAGTGGCTGTGGACTGGGCGAGGGCTCTCCAGAGTACAGGAACGGCATCCATTGGAGCGAAGGCGGCGCTCTCAGCCACGGACGGCCCTGTCCTCAGACATCGGCCGAGTCCTCCGTCCCCCGTGTTCCCCTTTCAACACCACGAGGAGATAGCTCAGGATGATCACAAGCGCAAGCACCTCCCTGGCTCAAAGCCTGTCGCAAGTAAACCCCACTAGTCGATTATCTTCCCATAGTACATAGTTACTTTCTGGATTCGCATCATATCGACGAGTGCGCGCTGGCCATGAGCGGCCCTGCATTCCCAAGACTCTCTGTCATTGGTGCCCCTTGGAAAGAAGGCGAAGCTTTGAACATCATACAGGAACTGTTTGAGAATATGCGGCTTGCTGGAAGCTCGATTCGCCCCAAGACTTTCATCCGAACAAGTTTCGCACCCTGAGCCTGTCATCTTAATTTACTTCAGTAAACGAAAAAGAAGCATAACCCCATGTTTAGTTTGAAGTTTACCGTGGAAGGGTGGCATGGTGTCAGTCGTCCCATGCCCACTGCAAAAACCTGATAATATTTCTGGAGGCTGGTGGGTGGCAGGTTGCCTTTGGTGAGAGAAGCAGCCGCGACAAAGAATGTACTCCGGAATTATTGTCCAAGGCAAACACGATGGCAAGCTGCTGCTGCCATCTCAGCTCATCAGGTCACATCCATCACCATCACCACGGGATCGCCCGCAGAGAGAAACGTCGGACAAATGGCCGACATTGATCTATCGCACCAGGGGCGGCTGCGCTACGGTAAGACAGTCGCCCAGAACTAGGAAACCCATACGAAGTGCCGCTATATTCTAGATGGCGGATAGATTGGCTGCGCTGAGGAGCTTCCGAAAACTGACGGGCCGAGAATAGCATCAAGAGCGCCCCAAGATAGAAATTCCCAAGTTATCGCGGGCGGCAAAGCCATGTGAGATTCGTCAGCATGGGATGCCCTTCATTCAGCTCGAAACCACGCGTTAATTGAAAGCCAGGGGTTCATTTGGCAGAGGAGGATCGCCAATGCAGGCACCTGGGCTGCCCCGAACTCGCCTAAGCCAGGGAAGGCAATTCAGCAGTCTTGGGAAGCAGTCTCATTGGCGGGCGGGCCGTTGCTGAAACACTCAGCCCCTGCTTTAAAGTAGATCTGGGCCCCGCTTCGGAGAGAACTTTGGCAGGGTTGGGAGACTGGCAGGCTGGAAGGTGACAAGGGGCAAAGGGGGATTTTCAACGTCCTTGGCCCCCTCGTCCGCGGCACCGAGCCCAAAGAGCCCCTCGTAACCCCTCTTACGCCCCCTTTCACTTCCGTGATGGTAGAGCTGCCCAATTCTTCGGCGCTCAGTGCGTCGCCCGAGGTGCACGGCACCTGGGCAGTCCGCTGCTACAAGAGCATATGATTGATTCTTCGCATAGCTCATCTCCAGGGCGCCTGCATGCACGATCGCGTACTTGTGCAATGCGCATAGCTGCTGTGCCTTAGCACACAGTCAACATAATTTGGAGGTCGGTATGGCCTCGGTCAAAGACAACTCCCAGCCAATCAGGCGGCTGTTGTGCGAGGGTAAGCAGTGCTCCAAGGGACATACGAGGGGAGGAGGCAATCTTGCATTTCCCGTGCTGCTGACCGCAACAGATGCCAGCACATTAGCCGCAACAAACTCCAAGAAGCGAGGCCTGCGTCACCTTTAAGTCGTAGATGAAAATAAGGCAACGGCGGGCAGAGCACGGAGGGCCGATGTGAGATGCATATTTCCTGCCGTGCAAGTCGCAATCTCTTCCGTCGGGCTTGTCATCGATGGTCGTGGTGATCCCACTACCGTTGAGCTCAGCATACACACGGCAGATGTTTACTTTCATTTGCTGCCTTGGCTGCTCAAATCAAGTGCTTGTAGTCGGTCAACAGGCGTTTCCCTGCTTCGTACACGTTAGACTCTTGGGCGTACCACCGCACCGGACTTACATCCCCAGCTTGTACTGGTGACTGGCGCGGCCCGTTTGTAGTTTCATGCACCATATCGTTGGCCGCGGAGCGATAGTGGGCCTTTGGTGGATTGGCAAGCAGATGTCATAGAGGAGTCCGCAAAGTAAGCCGAGCCATACGTGCACATGAGTAAGATTACGGTCATGAAAAAGATTGCGGCTACAGATACAGCCTGTGTACTACATATGAAGTGGTGGGGATCCAAACTTGATGAAGTTGCTGCCGGTGTTCTTCTCTGCCAACGCTGCGGGTGTGTTGTGTATGGGCTGTGCTGGCATCAGACGTCGTTGTCCACGTTGAGGCTGCTGTCGCTGGTGGGCAGGCAAACGGGACCTGGCAGACAGGCTTTGTGCAGGGCGCTAAAGAATGCCCAGCCATGCCTCGATTAGGAATCAGGGGCGTCTTCAGTGGCTTCGGGAACGTCAGCCCAAGTAGATCGCGCTTGAGGGATTTCGCGCTGCAAGTAAGGCCCCCCCCAGACTGGTGGCTGCAACATGCCGGCGTTACAGCTAGTCAGGTGCCGTTCACCTTGACTTGCCTGACGAGCCCGAACGCTTGAGGGCGCTTGGAAACGCTTGGGGGCAGGCCTTAATCAATCTTGCGAACGACGGATGAGGATCACCAAGGATTTGCGGAGCGCAGGGTCAGCCTGCGGTCAGTGCCAGCCTGCAAGCACTGACGGCAGATTGTGAGAGACGGCCAATGGCCCCGCGCTGGTGGTTCGGACTCCAATCACGGGAGAGGGAAGGTCTTGGGAACACAGGGTTAGAGATTTGTATCCGGGGCGCCCCGACGATAGGGCCAGGTACATGGCTCCAGCGATTGGGCCTGTCTTGCCTGTGCCCGTAGAAAAGATGGGTGGATGGATCCTGGCTTATGGGTCGGTCGAGTGGCCGCCCGGGACAAGAGGTGACTGATGGGCCCCGGACCCATGCCCCTCTGCCTGACCCTTGTCCGACCTCGTGCTGGGATTTGCGGCTTGACCCCCGTCCCACCGTCTAGGACCGACAACCACCATCCCGCCTTGTACGCAGCCCTTCTTTACACCACATCTCCCCTTCCACTCACTCACCCGCTCACTCGTTTCGTTCCCTAACCACCACCACGCATTTTCGTTCATTTCGACTTTGTGTCCCGACGCTCATTCATCGATCATCGATATCCGACCCCCCGTCCGCCTGGTCCAGATTTCCCATCTGGCTCAGATTTAGAGACTTTACATTCTTTTACGGTCTGAGATCGCAATTCATTCTTTGAACCCACCAAACGACCGCCTCCGTTTGGTATCTACCTCTCCGTGTGGTTGGTCGCAGAAAGAAGAAAATAACTACACCCTGTTACATTGGACAACGTCCCCAAAAAGCTACTACGGCACTCGGTCTTGACCTGCATCAGTGACTCGCACATTGGTCCAGGCCTAGCTGGCTTCTCTGTCGACATATCACGGGGAACAGTATCATTATCTAAGTGAGATACTCAAGAACCCTTGAGTGTCTAGGGAATTCGTCGGGAAAGGAGGCGCCAAGAAGGAAAGAAAGAGTCTTTCCGGCCGAGTTTTCGTCGTGGTCGTAACTACGAGTCATTTGATATTTGTCGAAAATATCGTCAGGTGACACTGCTCCGGCCCACCAAAGGAAGGCGCGAACGGATTTCTGTCGAAACTTGAATCAGTCGCGAGTACGTCGACATCGTCAGAAAAAAAAAGGGCAGTCGCTATTCCTACCTCGCCGAACCTGTTGCATCTCCGACTTGCAACGTCACTTACAACAACACCACGGTAGTCTCAACACCGACCCGTTGGCGATCTTTCTGCACTGGTGCCAACGTCCTTGGTTCTTAACTGCAGCATTATCCTTCCCTCCCCCAAAAAGGAATCGACATTCGTCAATCTACCAAGATGGCCCCTAAAATTTGGACAGGCCTCGTCCTCCTCAATGCACTGAGCGGTGTCTCCGCGTTTTGGCGCATGGAATGTCGTGGACGAACCACTGTTTCGCGAATGGATCCTATCGTCTCCCTGGGCACCACTGCTCAGCATGCTCACGTAGTTCATGGATCCAGTGGTGAGTAGGCTCCTGGCCGTTGGCGCCCGTTGTGTCGCGTTACTCTCCTGGCCCACTAACACGCGCATAGGATTCAGCGAGTCCGCCGACTACGACGCTCTTACGGGCGGCAGCTGCACGTCTTGTGCCGCGACCGAGGATTTGTCGGCTTACTGGACCCCTGCCATGTACTTCGCTCACTCCGATGGCACGTTCGAACTTGTTGAGCAAGTCGGTGGCATGCTCTCGTGAGTTACTCGTGCCATATTCTATTCCACGTCTTGGCTGACGTTTACTGCCAGCTACTATCTCCTGCGAGACCCCAAGAACAATGTCAAGGCTTTCCCCAAGGGCTTCCGCATGATTGCCGGAGATACTAACCGCCGAAACTACACCCTTGGAGATGTCTCTCAGCCGGACCCGGGCCAGTCGTCGTGGGAGTCTCTGGGCCAGACAACCCAAGACGCCCTGGAGCAACGTGCCCTTGGCTTCAACTGCCTGAACTACAACAAGGATGCTGAGGCTTCACTTTACCGCCACTTCATGCCTGACAAGGCGTATCTGGACGCAAACTGCCCCGACGGACTGCGCCTGGAACTGGCCTTCCCTTCCTGCTGGAACGGCAAGGATTTGGACTCCACCAACCACAGAAGCCACATGGCTTACCCTGATTTGGTACAAGACGGAGCCTGCCCCGAGGGCTTCGAGACCCGTCTGGTCACCTTGTTCTACGAGACCATCTGGAACACGGCCGCTTTCGCTTCGAGCGACGGATACTTCGTTATGGCCAACGGAGACCCAACTGGTAAGTGCATCGCGTGAGAGCGTGAGCCATGTCGGCCTAACATTTTCACAGGATTCGGCTACCATGGTGATTTCATGACCGGCTGGGACGAGGACTTCCTCCAGTCCGCAGTTGAGCAATGCACCAACCTTTCTGGTGTGCTCTCGGACTGCCCCCTTTTCACCCTGCAGGATGAGGCAACACAGAACGAATGCAAGCTTGAAAGTATGCCCGCTCTCCTTAAGGTCGAGAACGTCATCGGTGGTGCCTTGGACACGCTTAACTCGCTCCCCGGTAACGTCGCCATCGAATTCGGCCCCGAGCCTGCGTCTGCAGGCAAGGGTTCCGGCAAGGCTACCACAACCACAAGCAGCTCGTACGCTGCCCCGACCCTGACCTACCAGCCCGCAAGCTCTTCCTCATTGGGAGGCATCTTCCTGCAGGACACATCGACTGCCAGCCCCACCTCCACTTCCAGCGCCGCATCCACCCTTGTACCGTCCGTTAAGGCGGCTGCTGCCCAAGACTCGACCTCCGCGCCGGCCACGACGGCTGCTCCCACCCTGTCGGATTCGGGTGTGCAGTATCAAGTTGTCAGCACCGAGTACCGGACCAACGGAGCTCTTGTCCAGGAGATTGTCTACGAGGAGGCTGTTGTCTATGTTACCGAAGACACCGTGACTACTGTAACGGTGTCACCCCCTGTTGTAAAGTCAGAGCACAAGAAGCAGCGCCGCGACCACCTTGTGCGCCACCGCCACCACGCTGGTGGTCGCCTGATTTGAGCTCTGATTTCATTTCGCTTCGTGAAGATACTTGCCGGTGACGGCAATGGATATTGCATCATGTTTCCAGGGACAAGCGATTGGACCCGGGCTAACCTCACGGCACGTGCCGCCTTGCACATGACTTTTGGAGAATTAAATTCAATACGGTTCAATCAACGAATGACCCATTATGACCCACAACCACCAGATGATGTTTGCAGCTTTGGGTGATGCGAAAAGAAGTGGTGCTGACTTGATATTGCATATTGGGAATGACACATTGGCGTTAGAAGGCAAAGGCGGGTTGCGAGCCCTCGCAGAATCTTGCATGGTGGAATGACGCTGCATTTGGAGAAAGCTCTCTTCTGGCAAGGGATCGATCTGCAAAACTTTTTTCAATTGACTTTACAGCTTACAAAGAGCATTCTGAGACAACCACAAACCTGACCCAACGCAGTGACTGTGCCATATATAGATATATGACTCCACCTGCATACCGTGGCCACGTCGTAATGCCTAACTCAAGTCGATGGATGGCGAGCATAATGTGCCAATACCGTGCTCAGAAGTTCATGGATCAACGCGTGGCCAGAGAGATGTGTATGTAGTCCACTGCGTCCGTTGCCGGTTATCGGACTCGTATGTATCTCCCAGCCTCAAATGTCTCAGAGGCTTCTGTGACTGGAATGTGAACACCGCAGAAAGCTGCATTCCACGACGATGAATCCCCATTCTAGCTCGCAACTGTTTACAGCTTCAATCCACTGTTACTAGTCTTCCCACAAGTATATCGTAATGATATGTTTCTTCCTACCCGCTGCCTGTCCCTGACAAGTCGAAAGACCGTGCATCTTGCGATGTCGAGGAGCCAGGAAACGCCTATCCTCGAATTCTTAGCATTACCGATCAACAGCCCTTTCAGAATGCCTTCCATACAGATGATAGTACAGCGTCAAGATGATGCCTTAGCGACCTCTTCAAATGATCTGTCCCGTGGGGCCATCATTGGGATCGCCGTTGGCGGAAGCTTTCTTTTCTGTCTGGTACTATCGCACTGGCTTGTGTTGATCGCCAGAAAGCAAGAACGTGGGCGGCGGTCCATTTTTGAGGGGATTCGATCTACCAGCGCAGCCTCGAGTCGTCACCCAGAGTATGATATTCGTGGTTTAGACTCATCAAAGAAAAGATGCCTGCGGAAGAGAAGCATATCGAGCAATCAAGATCATCAGGTTTTTATTGAAGGCGAAGCTGCTGTTTTTCGGAATCATAGCTCCCTCTCCTCGTTGCCACCCGCGTTCTCAAGACAGGAGACCCTCGGCCTAAGTTTACTTTTCAGCGATGAACCCAAGGACAAGCAGACAGCCCAAGAGGGCCACTGCACGCAGAAAGAGGAGGGAAGACAGGTCCATCAAATGAGAAGAAGGAGTTCGTGGATAGATGAAGATGCCCTTCATGGACCACGGATCGCCCCGCAGAAGCACAAAGATGAGAAAAGGGGTCGTCTATCTTGGCTTGGTGGCTCGGTAGGGCGCAGACTGGGCAGAGAGAGATCTATGAGCGACCCAATGATTTTCGGTAGTCCGACTCTACCGTCACCCGGGGGTGGTCCAACGAACGTGATTGCTTCGCGCCACGCGAGCTCTCAGGATCATGATGCCATTCGTCGACATAGAGGATTTATAATTATGGAACGTCGCTCGGTCCCTCAAATCAGCCCGTTAAAGCATCACGCTACTATCCGCATCACCAAACAGGCCGACATGACCAGTGCGCCCATACCCAAACTACCGTCAGCATTGATCCATAATCCACGACAGAGAGACGCTGTTGCGTTTGAAGCAGCGTTGAAACTTGCTGGCATGGCACGAGTTCCTGCTATCCAGCAGCCACCCCCGGTACTGAAGCACAGGGCCACAGACTCAGACTTGTCGGAGATATTACGCATGACGGCTGAAAGATTACAGGACGGCCAGAGAAGTTCAAGAAGACAAACAATCTTTATCCATTCGAAATACGGCGACCCAGAAATTCAAGAGCACTGGCTGAGCGACAGCAGAAGGTCAAGCCCCACTAAGACCCAACGAAGCGCGCCGGTCATCATGTGCGAGGAGCTCGATGCCGTAGAGACATCTATTTCCGGAATGCAACATACAGAGCATCCACCAATCCCAAGGCACAAACGACAAGCATCCCAGGTTTCTATAATTTCCGATCCTGACAGCCTAGTAGCAGCAAGGCGTGTCTCCCAACCTGACCACACCACCCCACTATCAAGTCCAAGTAGAAATATCAATATTGTGGAACCTCAGAGCAGAGAGGAATCTCAAGCACTACCGCGGCCTTTCTCCGTCGCTAGTGCTGAGTCATCCGCACTTTCAACGCTGTATAGTGAGGAAGGCGAGCAGGACGCCGCTGCAGAAGGCTCACGACAAGCTGCTTTAGATACATTGACTTCGAGAACACGTCGAACTTCCGGAGGCAATAGCAGCGAGAGCCCAGCGCCGTATAACACCAAGAGAGGTACACTTGGCGAGGTGACATTTCCTAGGCCTTTGCAAAAAACGGAGCCGGATGTACAACCGAATGCTATTGAGCCTCTGAGGCCACGTAAGACATCGTTACAGTTCACTATTCATGCTATGGATGACGCAGACGATCCTTTCACAGCTAAGACGCCACACTCTCAGGACCCCCTGAGGCTGTCACAAGTGTTCACTCCGGTGCCGCCTAGCAGAGACTTTGAGGATCATGAGAAAACTACTATCGTGGATACTGGCTTCTATCCAGTGGTAGAGGTAACGAGACCTCTGGAAACACCCACTCCGTCACCCAAGAGTCACAGGGTCATTCCGCTGCCGATAGGTCTTAGGACAATGACCAGCTCGCCCACTCTAGGGATGACAAAGCGCCAACCTAGCCCGGCATTCTCGGAGGGCGGCCTGTCTTCCGTCTACGAAAGCTACGGCTCCAGCGAGGGTGGGACATTGGATCAGAGCACTGCAACACTGGTTACTGTTCTGACGAACGAAACTCAATCCACGTCAGGCCGAATGTCGTGGATGAGTAATCGCGCGTCCTGCGGTGCGGGAGACTGGAAGCAGTCAGAACCCAGACATCAGGTAGAGCGGCTTACATCGCAGGCCTCGTTTTACTCGCAAGACCAAGACCAAGAGAGCGAACAGGACACGGTACCACCAATGCTAGCGCCGACACAAACAAATTCTCATGTCGCGAACGCCGTGGTGGAACTTCGGCGCATGAATAGCACCGTAAGCTGCACCAGCGGGTATAGCTCGGTCTCCGTCGAGTCAAATCCAGTACTGGTCATGGCGCGCGGGGGTGGGTTCAGCCCAGGGAAAACGGGCGGCGGCGGCAAGAACTACCTTGCCATGGGAAGCCCGGAGCGTGTCGTCAACAGGAATGGCCCCGGCAGGGATATCCCATGCCCAGGTTTAGCGAGGAGCGGTGGGAGATCGCGAAGGGGGACGATCATGGGTGGTGGGCGAGTGGGTTCGGATGGGAGACGGGAAGAACCGAAGGGGATGTTGGGGGAAGGGTGCTGTAATAACGCGGGAAAGGACAAAGAGAGGAAAATGAAGATCATAGAGCATGATGATGATGAAGAGGGTTATGACATTTTGAGGCTGTACGATGAGAAGTGGTTCTTGAAGAACTCTCCCCTGCCAAGGGGTCAAGTGGACGGACTATAATTCTAATAAGACGCGAAATATTTGGTGGGTACGTCATTGATTAATAGCGTGAACTGAAGAGGTACAGCACTGCTCTCTTTCCCCTTAGCTTCTCTCGAGCTGGGTATCCTTCACAAGTCCCAAGTTCATAGCTTTATCCCGTCCAGTAGCTGATATTCGAAGATGGGGGACATCACGCACATCCCGCCTCTGATTCTATATTTTGAGAGAAACCCTTGCCTATAGATTTGAATATGCCGGTATGGTGAACTACATTCCGTCTTCCATGCCACCGTGAGATGAGTCGTCATGGTTATGATCTGTAATGAAGTTTAGTGATTCTGTCTTCAACGCTATTAAGGCTAATGTGCTCGAACGTACGACAGATGCTCATGCACTTATCGCGCCCCTTCCCAGGTTTGGGGAACATCTTCATGCAGATGTTGTGACAGGTAGCTTCAAACAAGGTGCTGATTGTCCCGGTTAGGAACGCGGGGTCGAGATCGGGGTCAACGGAAGAATCAGTCTTGGCATCGCCTGTGAGCTTTCCAGGCTGAAGTGCGGGAAGGGCTGCAGCTGTGGCGTACAGCATGGCAAGGAAAGAAAGGGATCGCATCGTGAGGTATTTTGAGATATCGCTGAAAACACTCTGGTGCTTTTCAGAGGTAAGCAGGGCCTGATAGGTAGGTCAGGGATTCCAATTAAGTCGGAGCACCCACATATGGGCCCCCCCTACATTTGGGCCCCCGGTAATTAATAGGTCTCAAAACTCAACACCACAACTCAACAATTATTATTAAATTAATTGACCTCTACCACGATACAGGA